TAATAATATAAATAATAATAATAATAATTACACATAAAATATCATATTAAATAAGAAATAAAGCTTGATTAATTAAGAATAGACAAAATAAAATAAGTAGGAGGAATTGTATAAGTATACATCAGTCTTTATTAACAGAAAAATTTATAATTTTTAGGAACAATAAATTAAAATTTAGAGATCTAAATAATGAAGTTCCAATATAATTGTAGAAGTACTTATTATAAATATCTACTGTTAATTATCCATAAATATAGAGTAATCAATTATTTCAATATAAATTTAATCATTTTATTATGTAGAGATATAAATTAAAAAAATATTTGAAAATTAATTGTTTTAAATATAAATTTAAAATAATAAAGTAACATATCAAAGAATGATGAAGGGGAAATTAATGATTGGACGCTTTGAAATCAATATTTATAATTTTTCAAATACCTAATATCGATTATGTAAATATCAAGAATCTGATCACTATTTTATGGTAAGTAACAAATGCTTACATAGTAGAAGACCAGTAAAATATTCCCCCAAAATTAAATTTCTTTTAAATAAAAAGGTTACTCTCAAATTTAAAGCAATTTTAAAGAGTTTTATGCTGAAATTTAAATATTTTTTGATAAAATGTTATAAAATGCATACCTAACCATTAAGTTAAAGTAGACTTCCTGCTCAAGTATCAACAAATAAATTAGCAAAAGCCCTTCAAAACTCGAATTACCTGCAAGTAAAAGAGATAAACAGACATGTTCGTTAGTTCAAAATATTGAAAAAAGTATATTAAGTTATCCAAAAAATCATGTGAGCCAAGGAGATAGTGAACTGATCCCTTTGATAGAAAATTCAAAAGGGTTTAGTCAAATATACTAGATTTTTCAATTATTTCAATTCTAAAAACAAGATAAGAAAATCAAGATTCTTATCACAAAAAACTTTTATTATTATTGGATTATTCCTTAAGTTTTATAATTATGCGAATGTAATTTCTTTTTTTTATTTAAATTGTTTATTTAAAGGGGGTGCAAGTGTAGGAAAGTAATAAGATTTGATTTTGATAAATTTAAGGAAGGATATAAAATTAATATTAGAGATATTTAATCTAAGGTAAGTTGAATTTGCACAAAAAATGCAACAATTAATAGAAAGGAAATTTACCTATCTACTTCGGACACTTGAGGAGCATGAATATACATAAATTCAAAGAAAAATACAGGTTTTTTAACAAAAATTGGTCATCAGAAAGCTGCAGGAGCATTATTCATTTTTGATATTACTTGCAGAAATTCATTTAAAAGTTTAGACCAATGGCTAAAAGTACAAAATCAATTTAATTTATTATAATTAAAAATTGAATACATCAATAAAAGTTTTATTTTGCTTGCAAACAAAATAGAGCTTTAAGAATAAAGAAAAGTAAGTAAAATAAAAGCTGCATAATTTGTATTCGAGCACAGTTTGGCATATTTGGAAACTAAAGCAATTGATGGCTATGGCATACAGTAAGAAATGGAATAATTCCCAACTTCCACATTGATTAGAAATCATAAAATTATCACAATTAGCTGAATAATTTCGAAAGAATCATATTTACAATTAAATCAAACTACAATTTAAATGTTTGAATAGGAAAAAATCGAAAATGATATTGATTTCTTAATTGGCTATATTCTACTTATTATAATAATTTTTATGGAGCTTTCTTTCGCTCTAAAAAGTAATATTTATTAATACAAGAAGATTTGAGATTATAAAGTAATTGTAATAAAAATTTCCAAACAATATCAAAAATAAATGATTTTTATTGGTGAACCACAATTTAGTGTATGATATAAATATTAGAAAAAGGCATTTAATTTGCATATTGTTGATATAATTTGATTTAAACTCATTTCCATAAACCATTGGCTTAAGCCCATTTTCCAACATTTACTACACATCTGAATTTAGCTTGGGCTTTTTCCATTCTATCAAAAGCTTTTGGAAATTCCTCGAATTCAAAAGTCTCCACAATTGGATAAACATTGTTTTGGGCTGAAAATTCAAGCATTTCCTATACTTTATAAAAAAAAATACTTGTGTTTCATCATAATTACCAATCAAAGAACCAGCAACTCTGATTTAATTTAAGATGATATAAGCATGGTCTAATTTGAAGTTCACTTTTGAAGGAGGAGCTCCTACTTAGATGTATGTACCAGTTGGGGCAGTTAATCTTTAATGGCTTTTGAAAACTTCTTCATTTTCGATATAAAGAGTGTTGATGACAATATCATATTTTCCTTATTCAGCTTTCAAACTCTCTACATCAATAGAGCTGGACAAATTTGAAGCACCTAATTTCTTTATTTCTTATTCTCTGTTTTTGCTTGTTGTAAAAGCTGTGACAGTCATACCTAATTTAGCTGCATATTAAACAGCCAAATGTCCTAATCCACCAATACCAATGACGGCACATGTATAATTAGGTTTGTAGTATCTTTTTAATGGAGCATAGACAGTAACACCAGCACACAATAAAGGAGAACCCAAAGCATCATTGAATCCTATTGAATGATATTTTATTTTACCATCTGGAATTCTAAAGACCATTCTTTCAGCAACTTAGATGTGAGTTGAATATCCACCAAAATTGTTATCATCATATAAGCCAATGTTTTGTGAACATAATTAATTATCTCCTTTCTTGCATAGCTCACAGGTTTAGCACATCCATCTTTAAGGATTGCATCCAACTTTATCACCAACTTTGAATTTAGTGACTCCTGTTCCAACTTTTTCTACTTCTCCGACGACTTCATGTCCTGGACAACTTGGGTATTTACTAAAGTATAGAATTTAAATATACATATATGGATCCCACAATCCTCTTGAATGAAGGCAATCACTATGACACAATCCAGTAAATAAAATTCTAATTCTGACATCATCGTCTGCAATATTTGGGTATTTATATGGGTATTGCACAGGCTCACCAGTGTTTGATAGGAATGCATAAGCAACAGCATCTGCTGTTTCCTTACTTTCTTAAACTAAGTAAACTGAATGAGCTGGTAATTGTTGCATAATTAAGAGATATTTATTTATGGAGAAAAAGACGAATCCTCACATTTATAAAGACTTTTCCATCTTGAGTTCATGAATCACTTTATTATTAGGATTTTAGAACTTCAAAAATCATTTAATAATTAATCATTTACTAAATATCATTTAAGTTGAGTATATTATGCCTTCAAACAAATAACTTGAAATAGCGCTAAGGAAATTCCTCTCTACTTGCATGCAATAATAATTAGTATTTATTTTTAATTAACTTAATCAATTCATTATAATAATTTTCAGGCTATTCTGATAGTGAGAAAAAAATTGAAATTCAAAAAATATACGCATTCATCAGCAACTAATAATTGGTATCAAATGTCATTTTTATTATCAAAATTTTAGACTAAAATCATAGCTTGATATTATTTATTCCTAGAGCTATTTTAAATTTAATATTGATTTTTTTATTATATTAATATTAAATATTATTATGCCTAAATCTCATTCCTCATCTTCATCAGGTTCATCCTCTTCAAGTGAAGAGAAGAAGAGAGTGAAAGATTTAAATTAAAAGAAGTCAAAAAGTTAAAAGTCAAGAGAAAGATCAAAAGAAAAATCAAAAGAAAAAAAAAATAAAGAAAAAACTAAAGAGAAGAAAGTTAAAAATCTTCTACTTGTTCAGAATATTTCAAGAAATGTCACTTAAGATGTTCTACATGAAATTTTTTCCACTTATGGAAAGCTAACTAATGTAGAGATGTAGTTTGATGAATAAAATAATATGCTTCCTCTTTTATTTGCTTTTATTACTTATAATGATGAAGGCGATGCTTCACAAGCCACTTAATATATGCACAGAGCAATTATTGATGGTAAGAAGATTAAATGTTAAAGTCTTGGATTAGATAGATAAAAGTATATTATTATAATTAAGTAGATATTATACTGAGAAAATTAAAAAAGAAAGATTAGATAAATTAAGGTAAAGAGAAATTAAAAAGGAAAAAGAATAAAAGTAAAAGGAAGAATATGCACGAGCTAGAAATAGAGAAGATAAATAAAAGAATGAAAATAAAGATTTAGATAAAGAAAAAGAAAAAGACAAAGAATTATAAAAGAAGGATCCAGATTAATAGCAAGAATAATAAAAATTAAAAGAAAAAGAGAAAGAAAAGGAAAGAGAAAAAGAAAAGGAGCGAAAAGAAAGAGAGAGAGAAAAGGAAAGAGAAAGGGAAAGGGAGAAGGAAAGAGAAAGAGAGAGGGAAAAAGAAAGAGAAAAGGAGAGGGAAAGAGAAAAAGAAAGAGAAAGAGAAAAGGAGAGAGAAAGAGAAAAAGAAAAAGAAAGGGAAAGAGAAAGAGAAAAATAAAGAGAAAAGTAAAAATAAAAAGAGAAAAGAGAAAAGGAAAAGGAAAAGTAAGAAAGGATCGAAAGAGAAAAAAAGAAGAAATAGCATTCATCTAGAAGAAGATCATCAGATAGGCATCATAAAAGATCAAGTTCAAGAAAGAGACATTCAAAAAGAAGATATACTAAAAGATCAAAAACTCCTGTAAAATTTAGATATATTATATATAGAAAAGAAAATAAAATAGGAAAGAAAGTACATCAAGTTCATCGTCTGATTCTTCATCCTCCTCATCATCTAGTGGAAGTTCTAGTAGTAGCAGTAGCAGTGGCTCATCTTCTTCATCATAATCAGATGATTAAAAATAAACAAACTAAAACTAGAAAAAGACATCTTCAAGTAGTTCTTCAAGCGATTCAGATAGCTCATCATGATTATTATATTATAGGGTTAAGATAAATAAAATTAGCTCATTTAAGGTTTTATGATCTAATATATTTCTTTTAATTTTTGCCAAGACAATTTAAATCACATCTTAAATTTGTGAATTGAGTTTTTAAGTGTATCAAATTCTTTAATTCTATGATAGTACAGTTTGATGAAATTAAAATTTAAAATTCACAATATGAAAATTAAATAATCGCTCTTATATATTCAAGTAAGTGAACTATTCTGTTATTTGGACATCATCAAGATAATTCAAAGAATCCATTTATAATAATAATAAGTTTTAGCTTTGCAAAAAATAAATTTTTGAATTACAAACTCAAAGTTATAGAGGAATATATAATTAATTTCTTCGTAATTATTCAATGTGGCAAAAGATTGTTTTGAGAGCTTAAAAAGAATACATCCAATTTAACTCAAAAAGATATTCAATTCTATTTATTTTAAAGATAACTATCAAATAATTAGTATTTTTCATTTATAATTATAACTGTTATCAGTATAATGCAAATGGTCCACTTAAATAGGGCTAAATCTATCTTTATTCCACAAACAAAACATGTTTAAATAAATTATATCTATTTATGGTAAGATAATTTAGCTTAATATAAAACAAGGTTCATGTAGAAGTTATGATATTTCATTCTTTAGATGAAGCATATAAATTTGAAATAATTCAGTTTTTAGATTTTATGGAATTTAATTTTTTAAATTCACTTAATAATTATTCAAATAAACTCAAGCTATTTTAGCAAAATTTTGAAGGCATAGATTTTTTTTTAATTTCAGAAATTAATACTAATAAAATGGACCCTCTGAAAGACCCAGCGAATGATAGACATGTAAAGACTCTAAAGCCTCCTCCTCATAGGCCATTGATGAAGAGTCTCATGTTCCCAGACAAATTGAAAAGTATATAAAAATTTGATATGAAAGACAAACCTGATTGGAAATTGCTTAAGGATCATCTTCTAAAGGAAGGAAGAGTTTCTAAAGAAGACCTTTGCAAATTAGTTGGAGATTGCAATAAATTATTAAGTAGAACAATTAGTGATTTTTAGAGAATGAAGGGAATGTAATATACATACAGGATCCACTTACAGTAGTAGGAGACATCCATGGGTAAGATTAAAGAGAATATTAGATAATACTATGACTTATTAAAACTCCTAGAACCTAAGGTAGGAGGGAATCCTGAGACAACTAAGTACGTTTAATTCATAAGGTTTAGATATTTGTTTCTTGGAGACTTTGTTGATAGAGGATCTTATTCTATAGAAGTAATAATTTTGCTTTATGCAATAAAACTCAATTATCCAAATACTGTATATTTTTTGAGGGGAAATCATGAATGCAGATAGCTGACAGCATTCTTTAATTTTAAAGATGAATGTACTTAGAATGATTTACAAAGGTCTTTACAAGTATGATTAAGAGACCTACGATATGTTAATGGATTCATTTGATTTATTTCCTTTAGCTTGCATAATCAACTCAAAATTTATAGCAATTCATGGAGGAATATCTCCTGATTTAAAATCTGTACATGCTGAGATTCATTTTAGTTAGAAGATATTAAGAAATTGGATCGCTATCATGAACCTCCTAAAAGTGGATTATTTTGTGATTTGTTATGGAGTGATCCAGTAGATTAAGATTAAGGAAATTTGGATGGTTAATGGAAAGGAAATGAAGTGAGAGGATGCAGTTGGTTTTTTGGAAATGATGCTGCTTCTAAATTTTTACAGAAGAACAATCTTATATCTATCATTCGTGCACATGAAGTAAATGAAATTGAATTATAAAAGGCATAATTAGATGGATATAAAATGCATAGATGGCATGGTGGAAAAGATTTTCCTGTTGTTATTACTATATTCAGTGCACCAAATTATTGCGATGTTTATAATAATAAGGGTGCTGTAATTAAATTTGAAGTAATATCTTACTTTTATTAATTACAAGAATAATACTCTGAATATATAATAGTTTTAATAAACACCTCATCCTTATTTATTACCAAACTTTATGGATATATTTACATGGTCGATTCCATTTGTAGCTGAAAAAGTAAATGAAATACTTTACAATTTACTATAAGTTGGAGATCAAGTTGATGAAGAGGAAGTTAATGATGAAGATATCAAATAATTTAAAGAATTAACTTAATAAAATAAGAAATATGATAAATAAAGTACTACTGGATCCAATAATGCTAAAAGTATAAATATAATATTTATTTCAAAAGATACAGAGAAATTGAAAAAGAAAATCATTTTTGTAGCTAACATGATAAAAATGTAAAAGACCTTAAGAGAATAAAGTGAAAGCATAATTTAACTTAAAGGAGCATGTCCTGATAAAAGATTACCAAGAGGAGTTTTGACTGCTGGTAAATCAGCTATAATGGATGGTAATTTAGTGAAATTTGATATTTAGCTCTGGCTGACTTTAATATTGCTAAAAATGCAGATATAGTCAATGAAAAAATGCCTACGATGACATAGACACCATAACAATCAATTTCAATTAATAAATCAATAAATTCTACCTCATCTAAAACGAAAAAAAAGTGAGTAAAATTTATCGAATTATAAATTAATTTAAATTCATTATATTAAACATTATCCTGCACATAATCAATATAAAATTATAATTACCCTGGATTTTATGATTTTTCTTCTCCTGATATAATCTTTTGTTATTTTCCAGTAAGAGTTATTGCTAAATTACTTTAAGAATAATGTTTTTCATCTAAATTACCTTTTATTAAACTAGTTTTATTTTTCAAAGTTTATAAGATTTAATATATTTGTTATTTTTTTTTAATTTAAAGTTTCTTGTAATACCTCATATTCTTTCTCAGCTTCATTTATTTTTAAATCTAACTCTTTATTTTGTGTTGATAATTTTAATTGATATATTTTTAATTCATTTAATTCTTCATTTGAATTATAAACTAAAATCATATTAAAATAAATATACTTTACTTTTTAATTTTCAATTTCAGTTTCAATATCTTCAAGTTCATGTTGTTTATCAATGATTGTTTAACTCATTTAAAACTCTAATTATTAACATTTTTCATTTTGATTCTTATTAAAAAGTGAATTTGCTTTTTGTATTAAGGAAATTTCTTGATTTAGTGTATTTAATTTTTCATTAATTTATTTTAACCAATATTCTTACTCTTCAATCTGTAAATTATGTTGTTGATATTACTAAATAAAATATATTTTCAATTATTACAAATGCAAATTTCATTTCTATTAGAATGCAAAGATCGCAATCTGACAACTTAATACAAAATGAACAAACATTTCTAGAGCATTTAGGACTAATTTAGAATTTTTTAATTAATACCAAATATTAAGCTTGTCTTTTATAAAACAGATTTCACAAATAGACATTTGATAATTTTAATAAACAATAATATATTTCATTTCTACTTTTTAGATTTCTTATCTTTCTTTTATTCAACTTTCTTATGGCTATCCTTTAATGCATTATAAGCTAAATATTATTATCATTATACCTAAAATCATGATTACAAAAAATGATATAAACACTGAAGCAAAAATCAATATAGAAATATTTGATTATTTGTCTATTGATTAACCAAAAACTTAAGTTTCATATGGATTTTCCATATAATCAGGATATTAAGAATAGTTTAATCCATCAAATTCATCATCTCCCATCATTTCCCTTGATTTTGCTTAAAAATCCTAGTATATAAATAATTTAATACTTCCATGATTCTCCAAACAGATTCTTCATTTTCATCAAATGTAATTTTAGCAGATTGATTTTAATATTTTGATAAATCAAAGTCATTCATCAAATAATAATATTAAGTAACATTAAATTGTCCAACTTGTATTTCATCATACATCTAAAATTTTAATCAATAATTGAATTACTTATTTAGCTGTGATACCTGATTATCTAAGGATACAATATTAAGTAGCATCAATTTAGATTCTTTTACTAGCTTTTCTTTATGTTTCATATCTAACTTCTGGAGATTCAATAGTTTGATATGCTTCAATAATTGAATTTAATTAATTCATAACAACTTCATCATTATAAGTCAAATAAGATGATGATGTTATTACACAAGAATAAAAAATGTTTTTAGTATTGTTGACATTTTATTCATGTTCTAAAGGAATAGAGAGTAATATCAACCTGGTGTTTGAATTCTGATAGTATCATTTTAAGATTTGTTTCTTGCTTAAACAACAGCTAGAATTAGCAACAAGTGGAGCATAATTTTAATAAATATCAATAAATTTCATTCGTTTTTATTTTTTCATTAACTACCCACATACGATATTAGTTTATTCTGTTTAATATTGCTTTGGTTGGTACTCCATAGAGGGTATCTTATAATCTCTTCAATAATATAATCAATAGCCTACCATAATGTATAAATCAAAGACTTCATGTGATATATTCATATTTTTATGAATCAATTCAATTTCTTTTTATCTAAAGTAAGTCCGATTACTTAACATAAAATCAAGTTCAGTTTCCAATAAGTGATGTACATTAACTTCATAATCCTAAATATCATTTACACAATTTACATCATATATTTACATAAAAAATGGAATCTATTGCAATTATATACCAAATTCAACTACTGATTATTTCTTAATTTGTAATTTCTACACAAATATTGAATCAAGATCTTAATGAAAATCTTGGATTAATATTTAAGATGTATTTAATCTAGATATAACTTTTTGCATAGATTGGTGTACAAAATGGTATTATTTTAGATCACATTTCTTAATTGATCTATGATCATTGTTGTATAAATATTCAAGTATAAGTTCTATCGCTCTTCTTTGAATTGTTTCTTACTTTTGGTCAGTTACCATACAGTACATTAGATACTAATCTATAAGCTTTTAGCAATTTTAGTACAATTGCAAAGAATCAATTCCATAATGCGTTCGCATCTCATAACAGTACTTTTCCAATTATCTAATAATTTCAAGACCTTCTTGATCCCTCTCATTGAAATCTTATGCTTCAGTAATACTTTATATAAGAGAAATTTAAAATTAAAAAAATGCACATGATTAAGTTTATTTTTTTCAGCATAGTTTCTTATCTCTTTATGTAATTTTTAATTATCATCTTATGGTTGCAATATATTCGTTGAAATCTCCAACCAAATATCTTTCACGCTTTCATAATCATTAACATAATTTTGTAAAGTAATATCCATTTTTAAGTGTTCAAATAGAGATTTTAAGATTTGATTTAAACCAAAAAAGCCTTTCAATTCTTAATTAATTGATAACAATCTTAAATGAGACATTCTTATTGATTCTAATTTAAATAAGTATTTATTCAAGTCTCTTTCATGAAATAAAACTGTAATGAAATATGATTTAAAATGAGTGAAATCAGTTTTATTTTGAATAGGAAATTCATAACGATCAGTATTAATGAAGTTTTCTTCTTTTACTAAATCATAAAAAAACTCTTATAACATGTTAACATCATAGGGTTCGTGAATAGTTTTAAATTTAAGTGATTCCCATATTTGTTAATATTTGTCATTTACATATGATGAAGTACGTCGTGTTAATTTGGTTAATGTTTTAGAGTGAGAATGATGACCTTTGCTTACTTGAGTCATTAATTTATTTGTTAGAGTTTTGTGTAGCTATTGTCTCTATTTGATTTCGTTAGTTTTGCTAAAAGTATATAAATCAAAACTACAGGTAAGTACGTACGGGAGATTGGAATTTGAAGCGAGAGAGGGAGTAATAAAGGGTCACCTAGGAAAGTGGAATCATTTTTGGTATATTAATGGAATAGGTAGAAGAACTCCTGGGATTTTACATAAAAATTATAACATATATATAGCACTATTTTGTTATTCAAAATAATTGACCTTTAATTTACATATATAACCAAAATATTTATTGAGATTCCTCATATTATTCACATTCTTTAATAAATATATTAATTATCTATGATTTTTTATGTTCTCATCAATATTATATTATATTTTTTACTAATATCTGAAAAAATAATCAAAATTTGAAAGTTGATTTGAAATCTATATATGTAGCTTAACTTTATGAATATTAATATATCTATATCATAAATAATTATGTTGATTGAATATTTTAAACATGACTTGAAAATTTGAATAATTAAGATAAATAGATGACCATATATTTAAATCATTATTTGACTTCTTTAACTAAATTCTCGAATTTCTAAATCTCTTTTGATTCTTGTGTAACTGCTTTAAGAACATAATGATTATCACAACTTTAAAAGTATTGAATTATATTTACTGTGGACAATATTCATCTGATTCATCATAATCAGTAATGTCTTTACGGAAAACTTTCTTACATTTCTTACAAGCGAAAACCATCTCAATATTTTTTTGTAATGGATGATTTTCCAGTTCTTAATGACATTCAGCACAATCAAACCATCTTATAAATATATTAATAATCTATTACTTTTTACAACATGCTGCTCTGATAGCTACTTAGGCATTGAGAATATGTTTGCACATTTTTTATTTTAAATTTTAAATTGTATTAATAATTAAATCTTTATACATGTCAAGTGACAACCCAGATGGTTAGCCATTAGATTTCGAATATTATGAAACAAATTATCCTTATTTGAATGTCAAGAAGAATCTTCTGAACAACACATTATCAAAATGGAGAAGAGCTATTGCACCTTATAATCCATTTGCCATGCAATAAATCCCCAATTAAAAGAGAATGGGTATGGGTATAAGAAATGGTAATGGATTTTATTTCCCTGATCCATATCCTAATAGAGTTAATTGGAGTGTGTTTTTCCCAACTCATTATGATCCTTTGAGTGAATAACACTTTGGAAATCATGGATGGTAAACAAGAAAGTAATAACAAATACTAAATTTTTCTATAGAGATGCACCAATGTTTACAGCATTAGCAATTAGAGCTTAAGCACTCCCAAGAGGATGTGTAAGATAAATTGAAGCCTTTAAAAGATGCTAAAATGTAAATGGAGTAACTAAATGTCAAGAAGAAGCTGATAATATCATTTCTATTTGTCCAAAGTGGGCATTAGAAGGATTGAAGGAAAAGAAAAAGTAACTAGATAAAATTGAAGCCATTTAAACACTACAATATCGTTCAGTTTTAGAAGTGTCTCCCTACAATAAAGTATAATTAAAGAGTAAATATTTTAATAGGGAAGAACAGTAAAAGATGTTTCAGATAAGACCTGGGCTGATGGACATAGAGATAAATTGAGACCTGATACAATGTGGGCTGATGAGAGATATACAAGCATAACTTAGAGTGAAATTAATGAAGCTAAGAAAAGAGTGGCTGCAAGAGATGCTGCTAATGGAAGGTATAAATAAAATACTATGTTAATTTAGAGTTAAGGATAAGGTGTACCCTGTTCATCACCCAGATATGTCAAGTTCTCATATTAGAGAAGACAAACCTCTATATCCATGATTTATTAATAAAATAATAAATAAAATTATTAAAATAAATCTTTAAGAATGGTATGTGTTCATAGTAAATTAGGGATTGTTAAATATCATTAGAAAGATCAAAAAGTCAGAAAAGGAATTGAGAATTCTTGTCTTAGGATTAGATAATGCTGGTAAAACTACTATTCTGAAGGCTTTATCTAATGAGGACATCAATCAAATTGCTCCCACACATGGTTTTAATATCAAAAATTTGTAACACGAAGGATTTAAGCTTAATGTTTGGGATGTTGGAGGTCAAGAGGTATCAAATTTGGTGCATATTAGAAATTACGTGAATATTGGAGCAATTTCTATGAAAATACAGATGCTTTAGTATTTGTTATAGATTCATCAGATTAAATGCGTTTGGAAGAAGGAGGCAAAGAATTAGACAAACTATTAGGAGAGGCTGAATTAAAGAAAGTGCCCCTTTTGGTATTTGCAAATAAATAAGATTTGGTTCAAGCTCTTCCAGCAGATGAGGTTAATATGCTTACTTAATTCAGATTTCTGATAGTTTGAAATTAAATAAAATTACAGATAGATAATGGTCGATTGTAGCATGTTCAGCTAAAACCCAAGAAGGATTACAAGAAGGAATGGAATGGCTTATTAAGACAGTTTAAGATAAATGAATATTAAATAATAAATATTATTAATATGAAATCATAGATTGAAGTTTTAATTCATTTTAAGAAATTCACAAACATTGATCTTTTTACTCAAGGAATCTATTAATTAAGAGTCCATATAGTAATAATTCTTTTAATTCTAAATAGCCTGAAGCCTAACCTTATTTGATATTTAAGACAATAAGACATGATCCATATACAACAAATGAAGTTGATTAAAATTTTGTTTTTTATGAAGAAAATATAGAGGACAAATATTTCTATTCGTAAGGATTTTTGATAAGATATGAGGATGAAGAAATGCCTACTAATATTGGATGCGTATTTCGATAATAAGAAACTCAAAATATTGAAATCGTCATTGAATTGTTATTTCTTGATAAAAAACTTTTAGGAAATATTTTTGTGGATAATTTTTAGGAAATTGCTTTGTCAATTAGATAATAAATGTAAATAGTATCAAAAGCCACTTTAACAGTTTCTAATCCATTCACTTATAATTAAACATATTATCCTATAGAATTTGATTCAGCCCACTTTTGTTTAGTTGAAACCTAGATACATACAATTCCATTTCAATTTTCAATTTCAAAATAGTAATTAGCAGCAGAAATTCAAACAGAAGATTAATTATCTGAGCTTTTAAATTAGTCAATATATTTGTTGTTAGATAATAGAAAATTATTAATGAAATAACTATCTAATCTATAGAATGAAAAGAAATTCACATAGTTATAATATTAGGAAAAATAATTTGATTTAAAAGACAAAGATATAGAAAATTTAATTTTACAAGTATATTCTTATCCATCAATAGAGTTTACATGATCTTCATAAGGATATGTATATATTATGGTGTGAACTACTGAATGCAATCAAGGAAAACCATCAAAAATTATAAAATTAATTAGAATAAGAATTTTTATGTCAAATGATGTAAATATGGTAAAATTGTGTTCTTTTAAATAAATCTGAAGTTAAATAATTAGATTAGGTTCAATTAAATGGAAGAAATAATCATGAATAAGCAAAATGGTACAGAAATCAAATTATTTCTTAAGAAATTAATTAAATTAAATATATAGAATTACTATAGCCGTTAAACTCAAATCCATTTATATTCAAACATACTTGTGTTTAAAAAGGATTTATTCAGAAACCTCAAAGTTCCTTTATTCATTATGTTGTTTTAGTTCATGGATATTAAGGTACTTCATATGATATGAGATATTGGAAATCTATATTAACAATTCGTTTCAAGGATAAAATTAGATTGATTTGTCCAACATGTAATGATGGCACATCAAATAAACCAATTTAGGAATAAGCAAAATTACTTGCTATAGAAGTTTCTAATTTTATTAGTGATGAAAATGTAACTGAATTTCGATTGTCATTTATTGGACATTCACTTGGAGGACTTATCATAAGAGCAGCACTTCCTGAATTGATTGAATATAAAGAATTTATGCATACTTATGTGAGTCTTGGATCACCTCATTGTGGATATGCTTCATCTGAAAGTGTTTTAGTTGATACTGGATTAATGATGATTTAAAAATGGAATAAATGCAAGACACTTGAAGAATTAAGTTAAAAAGATCATAAAAATATTAAAAATACTTATATATATACTTTGAGTAAAGCAGAAGGATTAAATTGGTTCAATAATGTAGTTTTAATGTCTTCATTTTAAGATCATTATGTACCTTTCCATTCTGCCTTGATATAGAAAATTGAGAATTAAAATGATTAAAGAGTTTAGGCATATAATGAAATAGTTTCAAATATTTTATCAAAATGTGGTAAAATAGATAGATTTGACATTAATTTTTTAATAACTAAAAAGTAATAGTTATTGTTATTATTATTATTATAGAAAATTGGATAAATTTATAGGGAGAGCAGCCCATATTGAATTTATTGATAACTTAACATTGGTAAAGATGTTTATTTATTTGTATGATGAATATTTTCATTGAATTTAAATATAATACATAAATAGAAATTGTTCATTACAATATATAGCATCATTTATTATCTATTAAAAGTAAAAGAGCTGAGAAATTAAAATTATATATTAATATTGAAAAGTCCATATATTAATATTTTCAAAAATCTATATTATAATTTATAAAGATCTAAAATAATTTTATCTAACTATAATTTATAGAATCTAATATAAAAATATGAGTTGAATATTCTAAAAATATAATAATTTTGAATAATCTACTAAATAGATTATTATTAATTAAGATTCAAAATTAAGTGACATTCATTTAGATTAAATATTATAATCAAATCTAAGTACTGGTGATTTTTTTTAATTAAATATCTATTAAAGTATTTAATGCCTTAATATAAAAATCAATAAGAGATGAGTACATTGAATTTATACCCTCAAATAGTTTGAGTATAATCAAATGAAATTAATATTTAGGATGTTTAAATTTTATTTGAGATTTATATTAACAACTAAAATTAAATACTATCAATTAGGTGTATTTTTTAGTAAAACCCAAGAAAATTGATGGAATTCTATCAAATTTATTTATATTCATGATTATTAAGATTATATAAATTATTTATAATTTTTATATTTTAAATTTATTTTTAAATATATAATATTATATTTTGTATATTAGTCTGCATGTATTATTTAGCATTGAAGAATGTTTTAATTTAAAATACTTGATATATTATTATTATACATTAATGATCTAGATCTATTTAGACTAAAAACCTATAGAAAAAATAGGTAATGATGAAGATGGAAAGTAGTAAATAAATAATAACTCCAAAACTGAAAATGGTAATGATCTTGTTTAAAATAATGATGCAACAAATGGAATTGTTGAAAATATTATCATTAAACCTATTTAGATTTATTAATCAAATAGCAAAAGAAAATCAAAGAGTTATTCTAATTATTCATAATCAGATAGTTCTTCGTCATCTTCAAGCATTTCAAAAAGCTTATAATCTATAACATGTCCATCAAAAGAAAAATAATAACATGATAAAAACAAGACTAAAATGTTAGATTTTGTGCTTGATTCTCATCCATCAAAGAAAGATATTTAGATTAGATATTAAGTTGATGGAAAATAAAGAACTACTTCAAACAAATTAATTAATTACAAACTATCAAAAATAATTAATTAGAAATAAGAGAATTAAGAAGAGAAAAAAGAAGATACTATCAAAGATTAAACAGATTTTTAATAAAATTTAAAATAAGAATTAGAAATTGGTGTAAATAGATATTATTAAAAAAATTGTTTTAATTTATGTTTCAGATGTAAATAAGTTGGACATTTAGAAAATTAATGTACTGAAAAATAAAGAATTTAATGCATTTATTGTTTAAGTTAAAAACATCATGGTGATTGTTGCACTAATATTTCTTGTTTTCGATGTAATCGGAATGGTCATCGAAAATATGATTGTAAAGTATTTATTTATATATAATAATTAGATAAAATTGAAACTCACTTTTTGTCCATATTGTGGAAAAACTAGTCATAAAGCTGAAGATTGTGGAATAATAGTACCAGTTTAAACTAAAGGAAATAATTAAATAATATGTTTAGTATGTAAATAATATGGACATGCGAATTGTAATATTGATTCATTTTAACTTTGAATTATTATCATTATAGATATAATATATTTATACTCTTATAAAATAAAATAAAAGAAACATCTTATTTATGTTTAACTATATTTAATTTATATTAGAATTCTATATTAAATTATAAAAGAAAAATATATCATGATTAATCAAAAGAATTAACTATATATTTAAAATCAATTGAATACTAACTTATATTTTTTATTAATTATTTTTATTTTTTTACAATTAGAAATGTCTATAAATATGGATGATCTAAAAAAAGTTAATGTAGATACACTTACAGCAAAGGAAAAATAAAAATGTTATGAGGCTTTTGTAGCATTTGATAAAAATGTATCAGGATATATTGAAAAAGATGAATTAAGAGCAGTTCTTGAAGGTATTATATATTAAATATAAGTCTTAGAAATGGGATAGAAGCCAACAGAAGAGGAATTAATAAAAATGATTAATGAAGTAGATTTATCAGGAAGAGGAGCTATTAGCAAAGAAGACTTCTTAAAAATAATTGCTTATCATAAAATGATATTATAGACAAGTGATGAAGAAGATATAAGTATAATTATAAATAAACTTAATAGAACTTGCATTTATAGCATTAGGTGGAAATGAAGATAAATCTGGATCAGTGGATAGATAAAAACTTATTAATGTTATATAAAATGAGTTTAATCTTTCAATCGATTTAAATGTAATAAATATTAATATTTAATTAGAGACTAATAAAAGAATTGTCTCCAAACTAAAATGAATTGAAATATGAAGATTTTCGTAATTTACTGTAAAACTGAATTATCTAATAAATATAATATTCGCTTAAAAAGATAATAATTTATAATATTCTTATTCATTTTAAATATTGTTTTAAACAATTCTAACATTAATAAATCATTAATTAATTTACATAATCTAAAACATTATTTATATTATAAAATAAATAATAGTCAATTAAACATATATTGATCTTCTTCTATAATAAAATCCCCAATATTAGGAGTATATTATTTTAAATAATCATAAGTAAATTTAGAAGGCTTCCATATTTTAATCATTCTATCTTAACCACCACTTACAATAAGTGAACTATCATTTATGATATTAAGAGAATTTATTTATTAAACAGAAGCACTAATATCACTAACAAGTTAAAATTTATTTTCACTAATTCTAGTTGCTTTAATTTATCCATCTTTGCATCCAGTATACATCACTTTAAGTGTTTTATCAACTAATAATAATAATAAATCAATAATTATACTGGCCATAGTTAATATTGAATCTTTATGTATATCAGAATTTGCTTATCCTTATTAACCATTTATTTAATTCCACATTCTCATTCCTTTACCAAATGAACAACTCACTATCCAATTATCAAGTAAACCAACTCCTGTAACTTTATCATAATGTGGAGGTGTCATTTATGCAATCTAACCATATTTATTACTATTCATCATCATTTTTCTCACATTATGATTAAAAGTTCCCCAGATCAACTCTTATGTCTAATCAGATTATTATAAACACATAACATCACTTGACTTCTCAAATTCATGAATTTAACTTAATATATTATTATATTTTAATACTTATTTGATCTTGCATCCCAAACATTCATAGCATAATTAATTCCTTTTCCACCTGCCACTAATAAACCATTATGTCTAGTTATTACTCTTATTTCTTCTATTGAAGATTTTAATACACTCTATAATTAAAATGAAGTCATATCATATAATGAAATTTAAGATCCATGAGATACTGCAATTGCATTCCTCTCTGGCCAATGACATATTGATTTAACATGTGTATTTGCATCTAATGATATTATATGAGATTATGCATCCATATCCCATATCTTTACAGATCTAAATGCACTTGAACATAATAAATTTTACATTGTATATACACACAATATAGGATTCTCATGACCAGGTATTGATTTAATTACACTATTAAATAACTATCATTTAATACTCATATCTTAATTCTTGTTCTTCTTATGCCTAACTAAATTAATCAGTATATCCTTCTCTATCTGATTTACATACTTTTGCAATCTTTATTGCAGAATTTTATATTTATGGTTTTTAAAAACTTAAATTTAAGGATAATTCCTTCTATTTGGTTCTTTCCAATTTATAAGCATCTCTTATTTATTAATAACTCTAACTTTATGGAATTTATATTTAATCATTTAAACCAATACATTTATCTTTCTATACTTTATTTATATGTTCTGTATAGAATTTCTTATAATATTCTAAATCTGATATCATATTTTTATTTTCATTTTATAAGAATTAATACTTTCTTTTTTAATCATTAAGTTATTTTCTAAGTTCCAATGCATCATTAGGTTATGATGAAATTTATTATTTGACAATCTTTTTTTTAAGAGTAGGTGAATTACAATTAATCTCTTAAAGTGGTTTTTATAATTATTATACTAATTCTTAAATTACTTATTAAAATTCATCATTTTATTAACTAAAATTCTACATTTACAAATGATCTTTAATCCAATTATCAATTAAAAATTTAAATGTTCTAATACACCAATTTGGAAGTTCTCTAAATTCAGAATTAGTTAAAAAATTAGTATATATTTCTGTACAATTATTACAATTCTTTCTTAATTACTCTATTTTATGTAATTAATAATCTATTGTCTCATTTATATTTTCTCTTATTATTATTATATCACTTAATTCTAATTCAATTTAGTTTAAACTATTTTTATTATTTTAATCAAATGATGTTTATTCTCTTTTTATTTATAACTAACAAATTTTCTATTCTATTTAATTAATTTCCTCTTATAATTATTCTAATTTTGTTATTTCCTTTTTTATTTAAATATCTGCCTATCCTCCAGATATTAATTAAGAGAATAAGGATTCTATTTATTTTTCCATTTAATCATAAACTTAAACTTTTTAAGATTTCTTAAATGATTAACTTGTTCCTTTTTCTATAACTTTCTCATTTCTCTACTTTAATATTTCATCTTCTTTTCTTCTAAGAAGTACTTCTTTTTTACAATTTTCATTTTTTAATTTACTCAAAGCAGCATCTTATTAAATTTTAAGTTTTTTAATTAAAATCAACTCTTTTTATTTCTCCTCTTTATCTTTAATATACTTTTCATTATCTGATTTCATTTTTTTAATCAATTCTACTTTCTATTTTTTCATTTTTTCTATATTTATTTTTAAATCTTTAACCTAATTTTCTTATTCTTCCAATTTCTTTTACATTTATCTCATATTTTATTCTTTTTATCTCATTTCTCCTATTTTTTATTCATATTCTTATAATTTAATTTTTAATTAATTTAATTATGTTGCATCTTATTTTTAATTTACTTATTTCATTAAAGAAGCCTTTTAAGATTCTAACATAGAAATCTATTATTAAAATTCTTTTTTCATATCTTCAGCTAATTATCGTTTAAGTTCAAAATTTCTAATAGTCATAACCTATAAATTGCTTTCAAATTCTTCAATTTATTAATTTGTCTCTTTTATCATTGAATCATTGCAAATAATTTCTTCATCACATTCTGAATCTTGAATTGGAGATTCAAAATTATCTTTAGTATCTAATTTTTCAATTTTCCTTTAAAGAATCATTAACTCCTTTTATTTTTTACACAAAATGTATTAATCTCTGTGTGCATCCTATCCTAGTATTTAAACAATAAAAACTACCTATAAAAGTTCATCTATCTCTTTTTACATAGTTAAAATTTTATAATCTTTTTCCTTTGATTCTTATTTTAATTTATCAACTTCATCATACAAATCTTCAATTTCATCATCTTCATCATAATTAGTAAATGGTATATTAAACTTTTATAATATTCTAAATTAATATTTTAATTTACTTTTTAGCATCTTAAAATTATTTAAAAATAATATCTTTTTTCTTTTTTAAATTATGTAATTCTATTTCTAAATCATTTATTTAAGCTTATAATTTTTACACTTCTAATTTATGCTGAGATCCAAGACGTTCCCATACAATTAAAGCTTATTTCTATTTTTGAATTATTTCTACATGTTCCTCACAAGTATGTGGAATATTTGAAGAATACTATGATATTGACACTTTTTTTATTTAATCAAATTTAACTCCATTTACTTAAAGCAATTCTTAAAACTATTTATTTTATTCAATTAATGTTGCTATCTCCTATTTCAAACTTAAAATTTATATTGCATGAGGATCCTAATTTTTTATTATATATATATATATACTCTATTTTAAGTTGGTTTATTTTAAATTTCTCTTGCTCTTGATGCATATTTCAAAGTATTCAAAGTCTCTTCATAATTACTTTCTGCTGGAGACACACAAGCTATCATATAAGTATTTGAGTTACCACCTAAAGAATCTTACAATATTCTATTATTATTCAATTATATAATACCTTGTTAATTTACTCTCTCGATAAGGAATATGAGTTTAACTTTTTTTTTTTTAATCACTTAAAGTCTTTATTACATTGCCCAATACCAATAAACTTTGATTTATATTGATTCCTTCTTCCATTGTTTTTCCTTAAGCCAATGTTTTCTTTAATCTTTCACTTCCTGCTAAATCAACAAAATGAAATTTAGCATTCAAAGTACCATCCTCAGAATCATCTTTAGGATTTATTTTAAAATAGATTGTGAAAATTGCATGTGATCTAGAACTTGTCATATTCATTTATGTAGCTGCTGTTGTTCGATGGGCAGCTCCTCTATTTAATACTTAAAGCATTTCATTTGGATTATTTACTAATATTGTAGTTAAATTTAATATCGTTATTGTATGATCCTTTTCTTCTCTTATAGTAGGTTAATTAGATATTGAAGTCTCTAATAAGAGATCAATTATTTATTCATTATATAATTCTAAATATGAACATGAAATAAGAATTTCTTAGTCTATTTTTTCAATCTCTTCAAAAATTTATGTAATTACTCTTGGAATCATCCCCAAGTTATTTTTATCTTTATACATAATCTGCGATACTTGACAATTAATCTATTCCTGTAGTACCCATAGTATGTGTTTTCCCTGATCCAGTTTAACCATAAGCAAGGATTGTACTATTATAACCTTCAAAACATCTCTAAACTAAACTGCTAACACATCTATGATTAACATTTTATTGTACTTTTTATATATTTAGTCTTGACAAGCATTTTAATCAAAAACATAATCAAATGTGAACAAACGAGCACTTTGCAAAAGAGTTACTTATTTTTCGGATGTCTCCAAACAAACACCCTCTTTTTACTTCAATTCTTTTTCATTAAAAGGACGAACTCTAATAGCTACTTGTACATTAAGTTATGGAGGGATTTATTAATGTAATTCAACTTCCATTTTAAATTTAAATTATATAATTAATTAATATAAAGTTTTGAATTATTTGTTAATACTTTTAACAAAATTCTACCTATTTTTTAATATAAATTGCATAATTACTAATTTAAATAAGAAGAATATATTCTTTTATATTATCTAAATTTAAAAACCAGATTTTATATTTTCTTATGATTAATTTTTTATTTAATGAAAAATATAATAAGTGCATTAAAAGTTTTACCTTTTGAAAATAAGATATGTCAGCTTCCAATTGATGATTCTAAAATTAACAAGCCAAGAAAGGTATATAAAAATTTAATAGAACTCTTAGGTTATTGGTTATTGTTTCAGTGATGTAACACCAGAACAAAAGGAAAATCCAAGATTGATAGCACATTCAAAATCTGCATTTTCTTTGATCAATGTAGATTTGGATGTTAAAAATGAAGAGAATATTTAAATATTAGCTGGTAACTTAGTACCTTCTTTGGCAAGACCATTAGCTCATTGTTATTGTGGTTATCAATTTGGAAATTGGGCAGGATAACTTGGAGATGGAAGAGCTATTACTTTAGGTGATTTAAATGGATATGAATTATAATTAAAAGGATCTGGATTGACTCCTTATTCCAGATTTGCTGATGGAAAAGCTGTAATCAGATCATCCATTCGGGAATATTTATGTTCTGAATTTATGTTTCATCTAAATATTCCTACAACTAGAGCTGCTTCACTTGTAATTACAGATACAAAAGCAGAAAGGGATATATATTATGATGGACATCCTATATAAGAAAATTGTGCAGTTGTTTTAAGAATTGCAGAAACATTTTTAAGATTTGGATCTTTTGAAGTAGAAATAGATTTAAATCCTAAAAATACAATAATACCTCAACTTTGGAATTATTGTAAAAAATATTACTTTGCAGATAAAGAAAATCCATTTTAAGAAATTGTTAATAGAACAGCAAAGTTAGTTGCATAATGGTAATGTTATGGATTTTGTCATGGTGTATTAAATACAGATAATATGAGTATTATTGGATTAACTATTGACTATGGTCCATTTGGATTTATAGATTATTTTAATAAAAATCATATTTGCAACAACAGTGATAAAGAAGGTAGATATAGTTATGCTAATTAACCTTAAGTGTGTTTATGGAATTTAAATAGATTAAGTGAAGCTTTGGAAGGTGTCATACCTAAAGATTAAAGTAAGTAAATTATTTAAGATTCATATTGGGTTTAATATAAAAAATGGTATTATCATTTTATGCTAAGAAAGTTAGGATTAATTGATGAAAATTAGATGGAATTTACAAAATCTTAATGTATTTTAATAGATTCCTTTTTTGATATATTACATTAGAGTTGTACTAATTTTACAAAAGTATTTTAAATTTTACAATAAATTGAAATACCACATTAAAATTATGTAGATGAAGAAGTTGAATTAAATCAAGATGATATTAAAATTATATAATAATTGGTTTAAATTTCAGCACCTAGAGAGGTTTATCTTCAGATGAGAAAACCTAAAATATCAAAATAATAAATTGATTAATTTATTTAATATGCTGCTTCATCTAGATAATTATTACATATGTTTGGAATTGATGAAAATTGGCTTTAACAATAAATATAATTGTATAAAGAATATGATCAAATACAAGGAATATCAGAATAAGAAAGATTGAAAATAATATCCTTATTATGGTCTGATTGGGTTATGTAATATAAATCTGAAACAAATTAAGCAAATCGTATCTAAATAATGGAATAGATGAATCCAAAATATACAATTACAAATACTGTACTCTAAACTATAATATAAGAAGTGGAAACCAATTAAAATTTTGGTTTATTATAAAAAATTTAATCAGTTATTGAAAATCCATATGTAAAACATACAGAATTAGATGAAATTTTTAATTAAATTTGTAATAATGAAATTTGTGTTAGTTGCTCCTCATGATAAATAATTTGAATGAGTAGATTATGATTTATATATATAAATTTATTCATTAATAAAATATAAAATATTCATATATTACTAAATATAATTTTAATCAATATAAAATATATATGCTAAATGTTTTATCAATAAAATATATATCTTTGAAATACTAATGAAATATTATTATGCAATCATGATATAAATAATTTGTTAAACTTTAATATGAGATAAATTAATAATTTTAAAATACATTGAAAGATTATATTATATATTTTTTATCATTTTACAATAATATATATATGATTAAGTTAAGTTTTTATATTATAAATTTTGAATATTTATAAATATTATAGATGATTTTATATATACGAGAGAAATTATTTAAAATTTTAAATGGATATCGATAAATACTTAGAAACTTTAAAAAATGCTCGTTGTTTGACTGAGAGAGATGTACGTTTGGTTTGTGAGCATGCAAAAGAGATTTTTATTGAAGAATCAAATGTACATTAAGTTAAAGCCCCAGTAATAATTTGTGGAGACATACATGGACAATTCTTTGATTTGTTAGAATTATTTAATAAGGGAGGATAGATTCCTAATGCAAACTATATATTTATAGGCGATTTTGTTGATCGCGGGTATTTTAGGTTTTTGATTGTAGATACAATTCTGTAGAGACATTCGAATATTTACTTTGTTTGAAACTTAAATATCCAGATAATATTACATTATTAAGAGGAAATCATGAATCAAGATAAATTACTCAAGTTTATGGTTTCTATGATGAAATTGTGAGAAAATATGGGAATGCAAATCCTTGGCGATATTTTACAGATGTTTTTGATTATCTTCCATTGGGAGCTTTAGTAGATGGAAAAGTTTTATGTGTTCATGGAGGACTTTCTCCAGAATTAAGAACAATTGATTAAATCAGAACAATAGGTATAATGAAATTCTATAATAGATCGTAAAACTGAAATACCTCATGAAGGTCCATTTTGTGATTTAATGTGGTCAGATCCAGAAGAAGTAGATACATGGGCACTTAATACAAGAGGAGCAGGATGGATATTTGGTAAAAAAGTGACACATGATTTTAATCATATTAATGGTTTAGAATTAATTGCTCGTGCACATTAATTAGTTTAAGATGGGTATTAATATTGGTTTGAAGTAAGATAATAATTTATCATAGGAATAACTTGTAACAGTATGGTCAGCACCAAATTATTGTTACAGATGTGGTAATGCAGCATCTATGCTTTCTCTTGATGAAAATTTAAAAAGAGATTTTGTAATGTTTAAAGAAGTCCCAGAATCTGCTGCTAGTCAACCACCCAAAAATGTATTACCATATTTCTTATGAAATATATAATAACATTTAACATACAACATTCACTTCAATTTTATTAGATTTATTTTTATTTATATATTTTAAGTCTCTTTTTAATTACATATGAATTTAATATATGATTATAAGACTTCACTTAATAGTCTATTAATTTGTCATTCTATACCTTAGTAATTATATAAGAAATGTAGTTCTAAATTGATATTTTAATATAATGTTTATTCTATTAAATCTATATAATTTTTAATTATCCTATATATTATTAATTATGCTTCTGTTTTTTGCATTAGTTTCTTTTATGATTAATGCAAGCTAAACTATATTTAAAGACATCATATTCATAATTTAATTCGAATAACCAATTCAATTTTTTCATTAGTAGGAACTTGGTAATAACAAATGGATTATATCTTTTTAATTGTTAGTATTTAAATTAAAATGTTATAAATAAGGTTTACTTTTTAAATTGCTTCTTAGTACTTTTCAAAGCTTAATCAATATAATTGAATTTCATATCAACTAAAGCTATCTTTGTATTATTTCCCTTCAGCTTAAATATCTTAATCTTATTTTTATGTTATTCTAAGAGAGAATTTAATTAAAGTCTGTTCAAAGTACATCTGCAATATATGAAATTGCTTCCAAAGAACTAGAACTAGTAAATCTATTGTTTAACAAATTCCTTATCAATCATATTTACTTTAACAACTACATCAACAACTTAAATATGTATTTTTGAATTCTAAATGTTATTTTATTTGTTTATCATTCTGAAATCATTCAATTTTCATTATATATTAATTAAATGATATTACTAGTATTACTAATAGCATATACAGTAAATTCTTAACCTTATGATACTATTTGTGGAGCTAAGAAAGCAGCATATTATTAAGAAATAGTATCAGCAACAAATGTGATAGTTGGATTAGGAACTACACCTGCAGCAACAACAGATTACATTTAATTACAACCTAAATTGACTAATGATCCTAATACATTCCTTTTTGATAGTTTAGACACTTTCATGATCAAGTTGATATATTAAGAATATATTTTAGCTTGTGGTTCCGACCATCCATTAAACATACAAATCTAGCTGATAGTTCTGAACCTACAAAACCTGAACAAGCCATATTTAGAATTTCAATGGATACATCTGATGAATCTCTAATTACTAATTAAGGAGTTCGAGTAGGTATGTATTATACAGCAGATTACACATAAACTACATAATTTTTAATTAGATATGCTAAAGGTTCAACTCCAAGTGTTATGGTTAATTCACCATTTCCATATTTAGAAGAGAAATGGTGCTTTGGATCTGTAGGAATATCATATTCTAAAGGTAAGGTTGTTTATTATGCTTTTTAACCTGCTTCTCCTAATATTATTGTAAATCCTATGCCAATAACTGAAGCTGCTGGATTTCATTCTTCATTAACATCATTAGCTGTGATGTAACTTCTTTATTGGGGATCATCCTATCAATATCATTATGGTCAAGTTAGATCTATATCAATTTTGAAGGATTACATTGAATTAGATTATAAGCATAATTGGTTTAATTTGATGTTCTTAGATCCTAGTTATTCAGTTTCATTATTTGCTAGATATAGATTGGAAGAGATGACAGGTTAAGTAGTATATAATAAAATTTAAATGACATAATAAGGATTTTTAGGAACAGATAATACAGCTTAAGCCAGTGATCCTACTTGGGGAACAACTATTGGTTTATTATAATTTGCATCAACTTAAACAGTAAAATTACCAGCAATAGTATTTGGAAATACTAATACTATATTTGGAATAGCTTTATGGTTTAGATCAACAGCTGTTATAGTAGGAGATGCAGATAATGTTGATTTAACTAAAGATATGCAAGTGTTTAAAAGGAATTATTAAGGATCAACAGAAGTCCTTACACTTTTATTTTATTCAGCAAATGCAGCTTAACTAGGTACTAAATTAAAGATTGGAACTACAATATTTCAACCAGCTCTAATTTTACATAATACTAATGTTTGGCATCATATTACATGTACTGTTTTGTATCCAGGTTCATTAACAGAATAATCCCAAATCATTTATGATATAACTTTAGAAAAAGGTGTCTATTAAGCACATTAAACTACTAGTTTAAGTAATACTTATTAAGAAAGTGCCACTGATACTATTATATTAGGAAGTGCTTTGAATTCATTTTCTAGTGGAAATTTGTAATTATCTAATATCAATATTTTTAATAAATATACTATTTATGTAGATGAGGATGGAGCTGATACAAACTTTTTGAATTGTAATGGAGATTGTTAAGTTTCTTTGAATAGTTTCAGTAGTTAAATTTGTCTAATTTGCAAATCTCCTTTATTAATGAATGAAGGTAATTGTGTGGCTTCTTGTTCAGCTGGTGCTAATGCATTATCAAATGCTGCAGGAACAGTAGAACTTTGTAGAAGTTGTGATTTTAAATGTAGTTCATGTATTTCTAATGGGAATTGTAATGCATGTAACACTGGATATTATTTAATTATGCCAGCTGCTAATTCATGTGTGATTAGTACTAGTTGTGGAGGTAATTATGTTGGTAATCCTGCAACTTTGGTATGTACACTATGTGGTAATGGTAAAAGAGATGCAGGAGAGACTTGTGATGAAGGTAATTTGGTTGCCACTCCAATTGCAGTTTAAGGGCCTGGATGTAATAATTGTGCTGTCAATTCACCTACTTACAAGTGTTCAGGAGGAAATGCAACAACAAAAGACACTTGCTATTTAGCTTGTGGTGATCATATATGGGATACAGGAGAAATATGTGATGATGGTAATAATGTTGATGGAGATGGATGTTCAGCAGATTGTGGTACCATAGAAGATTTATATTATTGTACACCAACAGCAGCTCCTATAAATTGTTTTAAGAATTGTGGAAATGGATTATTAGAATCAAGTGCTCCTGATACAGAATAATGTGATATTGGTAGTGGTACAACAGGATGTACAAATTGTAAAGTAGATATTGGTTATGATTGTGATAATTCAAATCCTCCTCCAACACCTACTCCTGCAAATCCTGTTAGTGTTTGCACAAAATTATGTGGAAATGGTATTATTAATGCTGGAGAAGATTGTGATGATTCAAATAATACATCATCAGATGGATGTTCAGATTGTGTTACTGATGTTGGTTGGGTCTGTTCAGGTACACCAAGTGTTTGTAGCAAAACATGTGGAAATGGAGTCAGAAATTAAGGAGAAGAATGTGATGATGGAAATGCTGTAAATAATGATGGATGCAGCAATTGTAAAATAGATACAGATTATATTTGTACAGGTGGTAGTGATACAACATCAGATAAATGTAAAGCTATTCCTGATATTTGTGGAGATGGAATATAGAAATCAACTGAAGAATGTGATGATGGAAATACTTTAAATGGAGATGGATGTTCAAAATAATGTAAGATAGAGATAGGATATAGTTGTTTAGGTAACATTTGCACATCTATATGTGGTGATGGAATCAAGATTTCAAATGAGAAATGTGATGATGGTAATGTATTAGGAGGAGATGGATGTAATGAAATGTGTATAATAGAGAATTTATATTAATGTTCAGGTGGATCATAAGCAGGAAAAGATACATGTATTCTTAATTGTGGTGATGGTATTAGAGATGATAGTGAATAATGTGATGATAATAATGTTGATGATGGAGATGGATGTTCATAATATTGTAAAATTGAATCTGGTTATGGATGTATTAAATAAACATAATCTCATGATTTATGTTTTAAATGTATTAGTAATTGTGCAATTTGTACATCATCTAATATATGTGATACTTGTTTAACAATGTTTTATTAATTAGGAACTTAATGTTATCCAGGTTGTCCATCTGGATATTATCCTAATAATAATGAGTGTATATAATGTGCATCAAATTGTTCATAATGTCTAAATTAATAGATCTGTGTAAGATGCAATTATGATCATTATTTATCTAATGGAAAGTGTTATTCTCATTGTCCAATAGGATTCTATGATTAACCAAATGCTATGTTAGGTAATCAATGTATTCCATGTAAATCACCATGTGCTAATTGTGATGCAAAAACATGTTATGCTTGCATAGATAAATATTATTTGGATGAAGAAACTTCAACATGCTTACCTTGTAATATGGGAGAACAATGTTTAAAATGTGACAACTAAGATGGAGATTGTCTTTTATGTTCTGATGGATACTATAGAGATGGTAATACTTGTCAACTCATACCATTATTATGTGGAGATGGTTTGCATCATCCATAAGAAAGATGTGATGATGGAAATACAAATCCTTTAGATGGATGCGATGAAGTTTGTAAAATTGAATTAAATTGGGACTGTATACTTTATGATCCATAAGGTCCTGATGTTTGCTTTCTAAAAGCACCTCCATAACTCACAGTTGAATGGAGTAAAGTACACACCAATATCATTTATATACATTTTTCAAGGCCTATGAAAGATGGAATAGATTATGGTGCTCTTACTAATATTATAATACCTGAATTAGAATCTCTAAAGTTCAAGGAATTTGAAGAAGTTAATGATGAAGGTATCATCATTTAACATGATAAAAGTAATGCATTCATTCCTTTTGAGTATACTGTTACTCCTTTCAAAAATTAAACCATTTAGATTACTTTCCATTATCAATTAACTATACAAGATTATATTGCTAATATTACCTTTATTAATGCTTCCTTAATATAGGATGTTTATAATTGGTCTTTAGTCAATAAAACTACTTAAGAGAGAAGACAATTATAAGAAATTAATTAGACTGAATCCTTCCAATTCTCAACATCTTTACCCTATCATATTTATTATACTAGTGGAGAAAAGGACATATCTAATGCTGTTGCATATATTCTATTGATTATTTGCATTTTAGGTCTCATATCAGGATTCTACTATTATTATAGAATAGGAGAAGGTAGGATTAGAAAAACTATAGAATTTGTTTAAATAATTAGTATGTTAAGATATGTAAATATAAGAATGGGATACAATTTAGAATAGATATTTACAATTTTGGATTATTTTAATATGACATTTATACCAAACTTTTTCGATTTAGTTTAAAATGATTGTGATCAATTTGATGCTCCTCCTAAATTTCAATATTATTAATATAATACATAAATGCTTTCAGAAGGGGGAGGTAGATTCTTGACTGCTTTTGTAGGTTTGCTTTTCTTATTGGGGATTAATGAATTTTTTTATAGATTTGTACCAGATCCAGATATTGAATATTATGCTGAATAAGTTCATAAATATTTTAGATGTTAAGGATTAACTATATTTGTAGAAATATTTTTTATGGATCTTGTATTAAGTATTGTATTAAATTTATTCTATTCTGATGTTTCAAATGCTTATGGAATTATTAATTTATTAATTTCAATTTTATTCACAATCATAATTATAGTAGTTATTGTATTAATTATAATAAAATTGATACGTAATCCTCATATAATTAGAGTTAAATAGGTTTATGATTACTTTGGAGAATTTTTTGATGGATTGTTGTTTACTACACCTTACACTAAATTTTTTGCACTTGTACCCTACTTATAAAAGATTGTGATAGCTATTGCTTTAGTAGCTTTAACTATTTATCCTTAAATTGGTTTATTAGTATTTATAAGATTAGGATTTTATTCACTCTCTGCTAATATTATACCTATTTATTATATTGAATTATTTATAAGAGAGGTTGCCTATGATGTTAGTATGACTTTAATAACTTTGACTATATTAGCATTTAATGATGATTCAAGTAGTAAATAATAAAAAATTGATACTGGATGGGGAATTTCATCAATCATTTTATTTACTATTGGATTACAAATATTTTTTGTTAAATATGCTATTTCCATAATAGACAGAATGATTCCACCTATAATGCCAGATCATGAAGAGATTGTTTAATAAGAAATGGATTAAGGTAATAAAGATATACACATTTTACAATAAGCTGTTGAAATGGAAAAGATGGAGAATGATTTTTTTAATAATAAATGATAACAAGAATATAATAATTATTATTATTAAATTTTTTATTGTTTTTAATATATCTCTTATTAAATCACACCAATAATTCTTTTTATGATACACCATATCTAACATATTTACGATAGGAATGAGTTGTATTTAATAATGCTCTGCATATTCCCTTATATTCTTATTTACATTCTAATGCATGTAAGAATTCAATATCTTATTGGGATACAAATGCTTAATCATTTGTATGTGAATATACTTTATTAGTACTAATATCATTAACAATTTCTAATGATTAAACCCATCTCTATCTAATCTCAGAATCTATAATATTATAAAATTATATAATACTTGTTTCTCCTATTTCACATTTATAAAAGTTTGCTATCGATTTTGTTAGATATTCAGGCATTTTAGCACCACAAGTATGACTATATAATTCTGCTAATTTCACAGCTAAATTAATTAATTTAATTAAATACCCATAGGTTCTTTATTTTAAATACCCCAAGCTAATAAATCCCAAATTTCATTTTGATAATTGCTTGGAGGTACATTAATGTATTCATCATATTAAGTATAAGCATTATAATAAATGTATTTCATAAATTGGAAATCACTTAATGAAACTCTACCATTAATAAATACAGATATTTTTGGTGGTTTTTCTCTTAATCTATTTCTAGTAAACCATCTTCTTTTACGATTAAGCATTTTTTTCTTTAATTTGAGATTAATTAATTCTTTCATACCAATATCTTATGAACCAAATTAATATTTTTAACGAATCATTTTTTTAAAGAAATTCTTATCAGTTTACATTTTATGTTTAAATTATATACCTGAATACATAGTTTTAAGATATCTTCTCCATTTATCAAGATTTCTTAAATTCTTTTAATCATCTCTAGCTTTGGCTATATATTCATCAATTAATTTATCAACTGATTTAAAGGCAGTTTTTTAAGATTTTCCTTTTTATTTTGAATTATCACCATCCTTTTTGAGTACTTCATTAGGAATTTATTCAATAACTTCTTATTCTTTTTAAGAATTAATTTATAAAGGTTAAAATGTTATTACATTTGCTTTATATTTTTCAACAGGTAAACCTAATTGTTTTAATTCTTTCTTCATTTCTATTTTTAAATTAATTAAAATTCATACTTAATTACATTTACTAAATCTATTCAACTTCTGGAAATTCAATTAAATCATTTCTCATTAATCCATTTTCAATAGTACTCTTTTTAAAAAGTCCCTCAATTTCTGCAAGTGTTTATTCATATGTTTTTCTTTAACCAGCTCGTTATCTTAATTAATTTATCACTTCATAAATTCTCTTTCTCTTTCTCTCATCAAACAATAATTTCTTTTCAATTTTAACATGATATTCATAATTATCAAATACTTCTCTTAGAATTTATTCATTCTCTGTGACTGGTTGTATTCTAATTAATTTAAAAATTATAAATACAATTTTTTATAGTCAAATGTACCATGTGCTACTTCTGTCTTAATTTAATTGAAGGCCTCTCTATATGTAATCTATTTATTAAATTCAAATATATCTTCTTATTGAATTAAAGATTCCAATAAGAAATTATCTGATCTATCTTCCTTATAAAAATCAAATAATTGTTTATCTGAAAGATATTTTACAAACTCATCTATATGTTTAATTTTTTTTTAATATGTTTTCATATTAGATCTTAACCTGAATTTTGTACCAATATGAATTTTTTGAACATATTTATACAAAAATCTTCTAATTTTCTCTCTAAAATTAGATATCATATATATTATTACCTTTAAAATGCCAAAATTATATCATCTATAACATTTTATGTAAAAAGATTATAGGCTAATTAATATTGCCCTTCCTTTATATGAGCTTTAATTTGATTGATTTAATAATTAACTTTGGATAAAGGAACTTTAAAACTATTTGCCTCTTATAAGAGTGTCATCTTAAATATTAATTAAATATATTACCACAGAATTACTTAAATGTTTACCTCCTGATTAATCTATTAATACTCCTATTGCTTTTTGATATAAGAAACTTGAATATTCATTTTACTTATTTTATTTATGATTCTAAAAGATCTCTACTGTCAATTCAGGATATTGGAAACGATCAGCAAATAAACCAAAAAGTTCAGCTTGTCTTACAGGTAAATTTTCTGATTTTTCAAAATATAATTTTTCCAATTATTATTTATCTATGGCCTTTACTTCCATACCATTTGTATCTAATTTCTTTAATGCTTCTTCAAATAAGAATATAAAATTAGTGTTCCTAATTCCTTTGAATAAATCTATTAATTATGTAAATGAGTTCTCTTTTAAAGAAATACTATAATTAATATTAAAGAATACAATTATGCATATCTAACTAAGTCATCTAATTTAACATTATTTTCAGCTAATTATTGAAATGATTTCAAATTATTTAAGAAATTTTAAGCATCATTTGTATTATAAAATATAGTTGATTTGACTGCTACTGAAAATGCTATATTTAAATTTGGTAAATCGATAGTTGATTTACCCTTATTTTATTATGCATGTCTTTCAAAATATTGATTGAAAACTTTAATAACCATTAAATGACTTGTTTTTTCACTCTCTAATGATTATTCTTCAAAAAGTGTTTAGAAGTATGTTAAATCAAATTATGGAGTTAAATGATGAGTAGTAACAATATCTATTAGATATTCCAATTCTTTAGCCTATAATTAATGATAATATATACTTTTTCATTAGGAAATAAATCAAGATTGAAAATCATAAAGTATATAGATTGAAATACTTCTGGTTAGAGGGTATGTACTTTATCACCAACTTTATTTATAATAGCTTTAAGTTACTCATATTCTGATAGGTCAACATAATTAGAAGCTATTTAATTTATATATGCTGAATAGACACCAGAATTAAATTACTTTTCTGATTTAAATATATCTTTAACTTTATCCCATTTACTTTGACTTGCATAGACATCAATTAATTTTGAATTTCTTTCATGAATGTTTTGTATATTTTAAGCTTCATTTAGTTAATCTATAAATATTTTTTCATTTAGTTTTTCAGTCTCTTACTTTTTCTTCAGAATTTAATTAAAACTTCTTTTACTTAAATATTTTGCTCCAATCTATTTATAATCTCTGCTTTTATTTCCAAATAATATTCCTGTCCTTTTAGGTGTTTCTTATTATTATGATTATTGATCAGGTGATCTACGATCTCTATCTTATTTATAAGATCTAGGTTCATCAACTTTTTATTTATGGAATTATTATTATCTATCAAAATGTCTTTCTTATTTCTTTTATGGAGGACTTTATTCATGTTATTAATTTTCATTTGACTCTTTCTTTTGTTATTATTAGTGTTTTTATTCTGATTTTTAATGTTATTTTTTTGGTTTATCAGCACTCTTCCCAGAGAATAACACCTTTTTTTATGATTAATCAGAAGGTGGTGGGGGTGGTTGTGGAGTTTGGGTAGAAAATCTAAATAAGGATGTTTAAATATGAATAGCAGATCCAATAATATTCTTCAACCTTATCATTTTAGATTTAAAATAATATTAAAATAAATAAAATAAATGCAACAATTCACAGATCAAAACTAAAATTTTTATTATTAATTTAAGCAATTTAACCTCTAATAGCAAATAAACATATCAAATAAGATAAATCCATAAGTTGAAAGATGTATTCAAACTATGAAATGCAATGAAAAATTCAAAATCAAAACATTACCTTATATGATTTAATCAGTTCAATTATTACTTCAAACAAAACCATAAATATAATTACTACTATCAAATACAACACTTACCTTATCAAGATAGACTGTATTTTCACTCCTAAGCCTTATGTATTTTGAATTAACTATATAATAATCTGTATAGAACTTTAAATTTCCTTAATATTTCAATTTTTCTACTTATTATATGTAAGGAAGTCAATTAGAAAAGTTGAAATGTCTAATAAATTACTTTAATTAGTGTGTTGAATATCCAGAGTATTTCAACTTACCAGATATAGTTTATAAAAGAGTTTAATTGATTGAAATTCCAAATTGGATTAATTGTCAAATACCACTTTCAGGTTTCAAATTTGAAAAATAAAAGAATGAAGATCATTTGAATTGTGGAATAGTTGATTTTAGTGATCGATTTTTTGGAGGTAAAGTAGCAGCTGGTAGAGGATGTGCTTAAGAAGAAGTCTTATTATTAATAAATCCAGAAGCCATTATAGCTACTTTATTTACTTCATAATTAGGAGATAAAGAAAGTTTAATCATTTAAGGAATACTTTAATTTAATGAATATAGAGGCTATGAGGATAGTTTTACTTGTATCCCTATAAAATATATAAATAAAGGACAAACTTTAATTGCTATTGATGCATTATATTTTGCTACAAAACCTTAAGGTTATTAATTCACTTAAGAAGCAATATTAAGAGAATTGAATAAATCTTATATTGGATTTAAGGGTAGTTAATAACAAGTTATTTCTACTGGTAAATGGGGATGTGGTATTTATGGAGGAGACAAATAATTAAAGACTTTAATTTAATGGATTTCATTTAGTTAAGCTTGTCCAGATGGCAATATTATATTTAATGGATTAGATGACAAAGCATATCATGATTTAGGAAAACGATTAGAATTATGTAAAAAGAGGTATTAAACTGTTGGGAATATAGTAAAAGAAATATTAAATTCAAGTTAAAAAAATATATTAGATAAACTATGTTGATAAATTATAATTTTGATAATAATTTCTTATTATATTTAATTAATTAATATTTATAAAATAGATCACCTGAATCAATCGATGTGGCTATAGTTTTAAACAAATATATAGAATTAATGATAATAGATAAAATGTTTTTGGAAAATTTAGTGGATCATATAAATTTAGAATAATATTATTTAGATCATAATAAATTATAATTTTATTGAATTCTTTCCCAAAATTCTTCTGCTACTTATGTTAATTGTATTTCATATTAAATTAATCTTTTAGCTATTTTGTAATAATTATTTTATTTTTCCAACTAATTTATATTTTATATACATTACTTTAAATTTATCTATTTCAATATATCCTAATAAAACTGTCAATATATCACAAATAAATTGCATATTTTCAATATCTTTAGTTGTAGAATCAATTTCAACTTATAATTTAGCTATTTTATCCTCTTTTTTAGTAGTAGAAAATATTTTCATTATTGAAGCTTTTCCTGCCAATATTTCTTATAATTCAAGTTGTAATTCTTTTTGCTTTTGTTCAAACAATAGTTTTTATTGTTCATATTTTTCTCTTTAGGTCATTGTCTCAAGAAATGCCCTTAATTATTTTGATTCTTTTCTAATTTCCTAAAACAATACTATGAATTCATCTTAATTTAGGACATTTAAGTAATTATTAAACAATTATGCTGGATATTCATCAAGTTTAATAGATTAAATTACTAATTTATCAGGACTCTCAGTAAATTCAAGAAGAATTTATTATTCATATTCTGGTAATAGAACTTGTAAAAAATGAATCAACTACTTTTGATAACTATCTCTTGACAATTAGATATTTCTAAATTAAAGATTGTAATACTTTGCAATTTATTTAAAGTTTTCCATCATAGGACTAACTTTTCTTAAAAACTAATGGAAATCATTAATTTTTTGTACTATGTCTCTATTGATTTCTCTCTATTAATATATAATATATATATACCCCTGAAAGGTCTGTAAATGTATCCTAATATTTATTAATAATTTCTTCATATGTAAGTTTTGGTACTTATGCTAATGCCTCAACTTTTAATCATATAAATGTACTTTTTCTATATCACCATTGACTTTGATAAATGATTGAAATTCTTCAGAGTACCAGAAATACTTAAGTTGGGAGATTGTTCTCATCCACTCTTATAATGAATGCATTCTATCATCAATAAATTTTTAATCCATATTTCCCTAGAGTCAATATTGGATATAGATATCTACTAATGCTTTTCTTGGAGGTAATGGTGGAATGTAACAACCAGGCCATTTATGCACTAACATTTGACGAATAAGTCTAAAATCACTAAATCTTCGAACAACATCGAATTGACCATTCTTATCCATTCCTCTCACTGAATAAATTGTGTATTTATTGATTCCTGATTAAATTTTAGGATCATTAACTTCTACTTAAATCTTAGATACATTACAAATAATACCTCAAAATCATTTTAGTCCATTTATAATTAATAATATAATACTTTAAAAATTTGTAATTTGTGAATGAATAGTTAATACTTTAACTTTTCTTTCTATTAATTAATTCAACAATGGAAATAAAGATCATCTTTGAACTAATAAAATTTCCTCATTTGATTAGAAATCTATATAATAATTGTATATCTAATATTAAAATATATTTAGAAATTCCATAATGAATAAAACTAGTTTAATTAACATCATTTACTGATTATATTTATATCATACTATTATTTACTAAGAATTTAAGATATAATTTATATCTCCTTTATTTTAAGAGGATTAGAGTATTTAATATTTTCATTTATTTAATAGCTTTTAGGTAGGATCTTCTCATACTCATCTATATTTTGTTTTGATAAAATATTAAAAAAATTTTTAATTAAGATTTTAAGAAATGGGTGTAAGAATTACATATCGTAGAAGAACCAGCTATAATACAAGATCTAATAAAATTAGAAAGGTCAAGACACCAGGTATTAAAATCCATCTATATTAGGTGGTAGAGTTGTTGTTTAATACCCAAATAAAAAGACAAGTGCTTCAACTTGTTCCGATTCTAATTTGAATGTTGTCTTAAATGGACTCAAACGCATCAGACCTACAAAACTTAAGTAACTTTCCAGAAGACAAAGAACAGTATCAAGACCATATGGAGGAGTATTAAGTGCTGGAGCCTTAAAAAATCGCATCATCAGAGCTTTCTTAGTAGAAGAAGTGAAAATAGTGAAACAAATCAAAAAGTGATTTTATCATACATTAATATTTAATTTATGGGATAGTATTGCTGTGTTTATGAATAAAATACATAAGTTCAATAAGAAAATCATTCTACTCAATTAATTATGGAGAAAATCATTCATAATATCACTATCAAATTGACTTAAGGGAAATTGATTGATGAAAATGTGGATGCTGTAGTTGCTATGGCTGATCCTCAATTTAATGTAACCAGCCATCTATCAAGGCAAATCCTTAAAATGGGTGGGAAATAAATGTATGAAAATCTACTCAGCTGTTAGAGAAAGAAATAGACTATAGATTTTGGAGATGTTATTTATACACATGCAGAAGAATTAGATTTCGATTTTATTTTCTTTGCACTCTTACCTCCATTCTATGAAATCGATTACGATCAATAAATAAGAAGATAGATGAGATCATTTTAATATAATGGAGATGATTCCATAGAGAGTAGTATTTAAGAATATACAGGCTAAAATGAAAAATAGTATATATAGCATTCCATAAAGAAAACCCTTCTTTTAGTATTTAGCTTTATCTATGTAGTGTAATGATTTGGGATTAAGCTCTGTTAGCTTTCCTGTTATCTCATCTGAAGCTTAAATAAATTCAAAATGCTACACTGCTCTTGTTATGCTTTTGACTATTAAATAATTTATTGAAGAAAAACATAGTTAATTAAAGAACCTATAATTAATCAATATCACTATTGCTGTAAGTTTACAAGATAAACCTATAGGATAAAGCATACATAAAGCCTTTTAAACACGTTTTGAATAGATTAACTGATGGCCAATAAATTGTTGATTATTATGAAACACCTTAAATGGGGCCGTAAGAAGATAATTAAGTGGATTCTTTTGAGAATGAAATAATATAATTTGGAAAGATGTACAAAAATAGAAAAGATGATAGAAGCAAATAATAGGATTCCATATGAAAAATACTAATTATTTATTTTTATTAACGATTATGATAACCAAAATGATACAGGATAGACAAAAGAAAACATAAAACATAGATGAAAATGAATTGGATTCTTTTAATCAATATTTACAAAAAGACAATCAACCGATGATATAATGTTCCAAAATTAAAATAAATCTCGGAATGCCAGTGATCGCTGAATAATAAAATGAAACACTAGGCAACACAAATTAATCAATCATATCTTAAAGTAAAACTATGTCACCAGATAAAAAAACCATTGTAATAGAAGATATAAAATTGAACATTCGAATAGTTTTTAAATTTTACACTAGTTTTGGCAATCGTAATAATACTCGATTTCTTAAATCTAACAAATTTATTAAAATGCTTTCTGATGCTCAGATTTCACCTAATATATTATCTAATAGGGATTGTGAGATTTTGTATGCATCTCATTCAAAGAATAATGAAAGCCTTACACTCGAATAATTTTAGAATCTAATTCCTAAATTGGCAATTATGATATATCCATAACATAATGTACGTTAAGCCTTTTTAACATTATATAATGAATATTTGTCTATCCTGTCATAAAAAATATTAAATTTTACTGAATTCGGACAATAGATATAATTTGTATTATAACCTATTAATCATGAAATGAAGGAATTTTTGATGCCTATCATATAATAGTTAACTAATCTTCATAAATTTATCTTTGAAGATTAAAGTTCGAATTTAAGTAAAGTTTAATGGTAATATATGCAGTTTTTAACATTATGTGAAATATTACCAAATTATATAAATTAATCTTAAGCTTAGATGATATTTGATAATATTTAGATTAGATAACCTTTATTAAATTTATAAGAAAATGGAAATTATATATTTACTTTAAATTATTTTGTTGAAAGTTTAATAATTATCTCAAAAGCCATACCTAATCTAGATGAATTCACTTAATTTAGATTGTTATTAGATAAAATTGAAAATTCATAAGCCTTTAGTTAATATCTGTTAAAATTGAATAGAACTTAAAGTGATAAAGTAAGATTGTTTTACAATATTGAGAAAAGTAGATTGTATAAATTGGATAATTATAATTAATAAAGTTAAATTATGAACAGTAGTTAAAAAATTAATAATTAAACTCCTCTAAATAATTAAAATACTTATATTGGAAGTACAAATTCTAAGTCAAATGAAAGTAGAGCAAATATATCATTAATGAAATAATCTAAAATTATTTTGGATATTGATTAATAAACTCTTGCATCTCTAAAAAAACTATTTGAATTTTATGCTTAAAGTGGAGAACCAACTAATATATAATCATTACAAAAAAGTAAATTTAACAAATTATTATTGCACACTGGAATTATGAATAATATTATATAATAAATTGAAGCTGATATGATATATTCAAAACTCTGTGGAGCTCAATCTATAAAGACATAACAAAAAAATAATTAATTAACAAATGGAAAAATGACATTTGGTCAATTTTAATAAAGTTTAGGATTGATAGCAGATAAATGTGGTATAGAAGTTAATGATCTCATATAATAATATTTATTGCCATTAGAGAAATAGATTTCAGATGAGAATAAAGAATAAATATTATAAATATTGGTTGAACTCTTATAAGATGATCAGATTGTATTATTATTAAATTATTAAATTAGATTTAATTATATGAAATAATCTAACCTGTATTTAATTGGTATTTTTAAGAATATTCAAAATAATAATTAAATTAAATCTTAAGTCTCCCAGAATTTTTAAAATTTTGTTAAGATTTTGAACTCTCAAATATTTTAATTTCACAAACTTAATTAACTTAGGTATTTTATTCAGTTGCCTCACTTAATTAAGAAGGATAGGAATATTCTGATTTAGTATATCTAGATAAGTCTTAATTTGTGGAAACTATAAGCATCATTGCAATAATAATATATTAGACAATACCAAATTATATTTAAAGAGTATATAATTAAATTTAAATTTAGATCGTTTATATTTTAGAAAGAATATTTTAATCTCAAAATGCATCCAAGATTTATATTAAATAAAATAAGTATCTAAATATATATATTAGATTATAAGCCAAATTTTTTGGTATAATTGATGAAATTAAATATAGATTCTTATAAAAAGTAGAAAAATAAAATGAGAATGAAAATTATAATTTTGATGATCTGGTAAATGGTACAATATATAAATTACAATGATATTTGTATAATTAAATCAGAATAATTCATTAATTAAGTCTTTTAATTCTAAAATAGTACTCTCTTATTGTTTTTCTTTGACAGGGAATTCAATATTGAAAGATTCTTCTTTTTATTGAGGTTCCTATACTTCATTATATATTTCCTTTAAATTAACTTTTCGATATTTTCCTGATATTATCATTCTACTCACTTTTTATCTTTCTCTCTGTTCCTATAATGAATGACCATATTAAGAAAATGATTATTTAGGAAGATTAGTAGTACTCTAAAATGCAGATTTAGGAGGATTTTATAAATTTCGAGAACATTAACAACAAAATATATCTGTTTTTTGTGCTTGTGGACTCAAAACCAAAAATATTGGTGATTAACAACATTTACTACATGGAATCCATTCAGAATCTAAAATTTGATTATAATTATACCTGAAAAATAGATATAAAACTTTTCAGATAGTTCATGTTAGCAAATTAACAGATTTATTTCTTATATATTAAGTTCTTTAAACTTGTCTTAAACTATGTTAAGTACGGATAATCTCCTCCTGTCTCCAGGGGGGAGTGCTTTAAGTTTATTATTCATGATATTATGTAAAATTGTTCGATAGTTGGCTAAATTAGGCAGGCGAGATTACTTTTCATAAAGTATATCTTCATAAATCTCTTACTTGGCTTTGTCTCCATCTCAATATTATTAGCTTACTCAGAAAAGAGCATATTAGGTTATCGCTGACTTTGAGATGTTGCTGCTCTGGGAACATGACGAATAGACTATTTAGTTAATTATTTATGATCACTTATGCTGTTGATGGTTTCTTTATAGGTTAAGTTTAAGATGTTTATGGACGCACTTAAAAGTTTGAGTTATATCCTTAAACTGGATTAAAAGGATAATTTTAAAATACAATTCCCTTTTTCAATTTTCCAACAGAAAGTGAATTCTAATGTATAACTCTCAAACTATCATGTTGAGTACGATAATAATTATAATTCATATTAAATTTATTATCACATAAAATTTTATTTTATTCTGATATAACATTTTTATTTTGAATTGATCAATTGTATAATTAAAATCTTATAGAAAAAGTAAGAAAACCTTGATTTATATTTTTTTAAGTATCAACTATAATTAAATTCTAATTTTAATAAAAAATTCATGCAAGAGGAAAAATTAAATGAAATTCAGGTGTCACAACATACAGCTGATAAATTGAAAAAGCAAGCATTAGAGTACAAAAGGCTTCAAGAAACATTTAATAAGAGATTTTCATCAGATGCCAATACTTAGTTTTATGTTTTGAGTTTAAAGTAATTTAAATGAAAAATTTAAGATGGCTTAATTAATGGAAGCAATACGTTTCCTACGATGAGATTGTAGCCAACAAAGCACCAAGTAAATACTTTGGTAGAATAACACTTGAAAGAATTAACGATGATTTAGAGGATGATGTATAGAAATGCTTTAAGTACTATCCAATCAACAATCATCCTTGGAATACATACATGAAATAAGGATTATAAGAAAATGTTGACTATGTAGTTATTGATAAAGATATTTGGGAATTTTTTACATCATACCATCCAGGAATAGCAATAATAAGAACATCTAATGGTAATGGAAAAGATAAACAAGTGGCTGTAAATTTATTAAGAGTATTTAATATATATATAATTATTAGTTTAAATCAGTCTTACTTTATCCATCAATAATCAAATCAATATCCTTTGACAGAATGTATAGATAAACATTTGATAGTGAAATTATGCAAGTAGATAGAAATATGGAATTTAAAGATTATTATGCATTGATATAAAGAACAGTACATACTTTTTCAGGAAATTTTGCAAAAGATAATAATGTCAGAATTTGGAGATATGTCACAGATTAAAAAGATCCATATAAAGCTTTGTTTAATGATATTTACAAATAAGTAAGTGAATTAGAAAATTCAGATGATATGTGCTTTGATTTTAAAGGAGAGCTACTTACTTATTAATAATATCAAACAATTGAAGATATTGGTATTATTGATAACAATTTAATTATATTTGAAGTAAATTATGTTATCTATTTTATAAGTTCAAAGATGATTTTAAACCATGGTGTATAAGAAATTAAGCAGTTTAAATAGAAGGAAAATGTGAATATTGTCATAATTTTAAAGTTCTATCTTTTCCTTGTATTTGTAGAAAAGTTGCTTATTGTAAAGAAGAATGCAAATAAAATGATTATAATTATCATAGTTCTAGATGTGAAAAACATGGTTCAGATGATGAATCAATAAAATCTTTAACTCTTACAACTACATCAATGAAGGGGATAGTAGGTTTAAGTAATTTAGGAAATACATGCTTTATGAATAGTGGAACTTAATGTATTTCTAATTCATACCCATTGGTTGAATATTTCTTAAAGAATTTATACTTTGATGAGATTAATATGGATAATCCTTTAGGTACATAAGGATAATTAGTAAAGAAGGTTGGATCACTTATTAAAAAGATGTGGTGTGGAGATAGATAAACAATAACTCCTACAAATTATAAAAAGGCTGTTGGTTAATTTTAACCAATGTTTAAAGGTTTTCATTAACATGATTCATCTGAGTTAATAACATTTGTTTTAGATGGAATTCATGAAGATTTAAATAGAGTTAAAAAGAAACCATATGTTGAAACTAAAGATTATGATGGTAGATCTGATTTTGTTGTTGCTAAAGAAAGTTGGTTAAATCATTTAGCTAGAAATCAATCAATAATTGTTGATCTAATGCATGGTCAATATAAATCAACATTAAAGTGTCCAAATTGTCAATAATTTTCAATTACTTTTGATCCTTATTTAATGGTATAATTAGGTATTCCAAGTTAAAAAAAAAGAACTATTTCATTTAAATTTTATAAAGATTTATTTTAAAGTACTTTAATAACAATTCAATTTGATAAAAATAAAAACATTATTTTAAAAGAATATTTGAAAATTCTAGGTGAAGAACTTAAAGTAGATCATTAATATTTATTTGGTTATATTGCTAATATGTATACATCCTTTGATTTTTTGGATGAAAATAAAAGTATTGTAGATATAAGAAAGAGTGCAAAAAGATCATAACTTTGTTTTAGATAATTAACTAACCAAGAAATATAAATGTAGAAAAAATTCCCTATTTAATTTTCAAATAAATACTTTGAATAATAATATAAAAAGTCATATTAATAGTCTGGTGTAATTATAGTTGATGGATAAATGACATTAAAATAGGTCCATTTATAAATTTTTACTCATCTCAACTAATTGTTTTCTGAACATGAATAATTAGATTATGAAAAATAAGTATTAAATTAAGTATTTATTTTAATATATATAATTTAGTATTATGCCTTAGTTTATAAAACAAATTAAAACTATTGGAATCCATGTGCTTTCTGTAATTCAAAGAATTGTAATGATTGTGAAGTTAAATTTGATGATGAAACAGTTGAAGAAGTAAAAAATAGAGTCTTAAAAGTTGATTATCAATGTAATTTTGAAATTATTATCCTTTGGAAATAAAGTCCATTTAAATAGATTAAATTACCAGATATATTTGATCATTATTTCAAAACCAATAGATTAGAAAGTATTATTTACATTCTAATATTTAAGTGTAGGAAAATAATCAACGAAATTAGATGTCAAGTTCTATGAATTCTAATTCTTAATAAGGCAGTGTTTCTCTATATGATTGTTTATAATATTCTTAGTAACCTGAATAACTTAATGCAGAAAATACATGGTATTGTTAAGTTTGTAAAGAACATGTTTAAGCATTTAAAAGCATGCAAATATATAAAGTTTTCTGTTTAAATATTTTTAGGCTCCTTAAATATTAATCTTTACATTGAAGAGATTTAAAGCTTCTAATAGATTATTTAAACAAAAACTTGAAACCTTGGTTGATTTTCCCATTAATAATCTTGATATGACAGATTATGTTATTAATTCAAGAACTCCATTTGAATATCATAATGAAAATGAAACTAATAATGGAGAGAATAATAAGTAAAAGGTCATTTATGATTTATATGCTGTATCTAATCATTTTGGAGGATTAGGAGGTGGCCATTATACTGCATATGCAAAGAATAAAGTAAAATTAATATTAAATAAATTAGTTCACTAATAAATGGTACAATTTTGATGATTCAATGGTTAGTGAGATTAATGAAACATCTATAATTTCCAAATCTGCTTATGTGTTATGTTATTAATTGAGAACAGATGATTCAAATAATTGTTAAGAAAAAACAATGTAATCCATCATTTAAGAATGAGGAGTAGATTTAACAAGTATAATATAAAATTTTTTCACAACCAAATCTATGGATGTTATTTTCTCTATAAAATTTCTTTCTATAATTAAATTATATCTATTGTTTTGAAGGAATAAATTCATTTAAATCTTTTATCAACCATATCTTTATTATATAAAATATAAAATCAATATAATATCTTAATTATAATTATGGTTTATTTCATACATTATATAAAACTATATTGCAAATATAATTTATTCAATAGAATTATAAATTATTTTTTATTGGTTTATGCAATTAATAATGATTATTTAATTTGTATGAAAAAAAAAACTAAAGAGATTAATAAGTAAATTATGAGTATTAATCAATATTTTAGAATAAAAAAAATATATTGTTTAATTTAATAATATATTAGTTCCATTTAATATTGAAGATATTAAGTATTAATTTAGAATTTAATAATGATTTTATAAAAATTAAAGAGAAATAGAGTAATAAATAAAATTCAGTAGTTTTATAGATTTTAATTCAAGGCAATCCGAATTCAATATGAAAATCGAAAAATATTAATTATTAATTGATTTTATGTAAAAATATAAATCAATAAAAACTTGGGAGAGATTAAATAAAATAAAAGCACCAGTGCCTAAATATGAGTATGATAACTTTAAGGAAATTGATGAAAAGTTTAAATAATTTGAAGAGTAACAAGGAGATCCAGAATTGAGTAATACAACAACAGCCTTTGGAACAGTCCTTATTTAGACAGCAGTTTAAGGATTACATATGGCTAATGCATTTTAAAGCTAGGGATAACCTGTAAACAGGCTGAGTCAAAGGTTTTCATTCACATAATTTAATTAGCATCCTGAAGGCGTTTGATATCAATCCTAACCAATTAAATTAGCTAAAGACATCTTAAGATAGACAGTAATTTTTAGTTAATAAGCAAGTGAATACATTAAGTTTTAAATGAATAGTACCATTGATACATTGTTAAAAAACTGGTCTGATAAGATAATTCTGAAAGAACAAAAGTATAAAGAGACTGACCAATAGATGAAAAAGGAAAAGATTAATAATTAAACAAAAAAGCACTTTAAATGGTTATAGTTGAAAACTAAATATGAGCAATTAAAAAATAAATTAAGATAAATTGTAGTAGACAAATTAAATGATTATGAGAATTAGTAAATGGCTGTAAAATCTTAAAATAAACATTTAATGCTTAAAAATGTGTAAGTGATTACAACACGTCATATATTTGAAAATATGGAAAAGTATGGTCATTCAAATGAATTTCATTTTTTAAAGTCTTTAGGATAAGATAGATTAAAACATATAAAAGAAAGATAAAATAGATAGATGACTTAATAATTTGAGAATATAAATGATGAAGAATAAAAGTAATCATAATATTAAGTGATTTGGAATAATTAATAAGAGAAAATATTTACTAAATAAAGAAGTTAAACAAAATAATTATTTACGTAATAGAATTATTCATAATATTTTTAGAAATGAGATAGCTTGTTCTAATTGGAATGATTTAGGATTCTTGCCTATTTTATAATAGATGACATTAAATGAGAAAAAAAAATAATAAAGAGAACATATTTTAAATAAATATACAGATGGAGAGTTTTTGACAGCATAAGAATTATAATTTTTAGCTAATACTAGTGAATTATTAAATGCTTGTTTGGATAAAGAATTTTTTTAGAGAGCAACTAATTAAGTAAATCCAGATTTATTATTTAATATGGAATTGTCTTTAGCTGAATAAATATTAAAAGATTATGGAGAAATGAAATCAGCAACAATAAATGCTAGATTATAATATATAAGAATGAAAATTGAAAAAACTAAATAAAAATTAGCAAAAAGAGAAAAACGATTATAAAAATAATCTATTGATGCATATAATATGGAATTAAATAGAAAATATATAAAAGTTTGTAAAACTGTTGTTAAACATATGGAAAGAACAGGAAAATTTGAAGAAAAAATTCCTAGTGAAATACCAGGAGCTACATAATTAAAAGATTATTTAATGGGCAGAATTACTGAAAGATAATTCATTACTAAATTATATGATTATGTCTTTGAAAAAGAAAGGAGAAGATAATATATTGATCTTAATGATGAAGATAATTTATTCTAAAATTATCCATCTAAACAATAAATAGCAAGTTCAAAATAAATTCAACCTTAGAGTCCAAGATTGAAAAATGAAAAAAATAAAAGATAAGAATATATAAAATAAATGGCTAGACCCAAAAGTACAATAGGTATTTAGTTCACTTAAAATATAAAAAGACATGTATTTCATCCATCTACAAAACTATTAATTGATAAAAAACTAGAATGTGAAGATAATGAATTAGCTTACATTAATCCAATATATGCATAATATAATAAATAAGAATAAGAAAAATTTAAATTAGGATTAAAGAGTCATCCTGCTTTGAGGTAAAGAAGAAATTTTTTGAAATTTTATTCTGGTGGACCTCCTAATCAACCTGAATTAGAACATTGGAAAAGTCCAAATTATTAACCTACATAAAGAGAAATAAGAGCAGCAATTATGATATAAAGAAAATTAAGATCATTATTTAGAGAAAAGAAATTAAGATAAAAATTAGAAGAAAGAAGAAAATAAATCTATTATTTATTTAAAGATAATTGTGAAAACATGATACATTAAATTGAATTAGGATAAGATTAGTAGGTTTCTTATTTTTATTTAAATAAATAACTTGAAAGATGTAAAACCATAGCTAAAGATTAAATCAATTTTAGTAGTATAAAAACTGAAGAAAACACTCGTAAAAATACAGAAAAGAAAAGCTTTCTATTAAGCACAGGAGCATCAACTCCTACTACTAAAGGAATTTCAACTTTAAGAATAGCTGCTCCTTCAAATAAAATTAAAGTAGATTATTTATTTGAAGCAGTCTAAAAAAATAGAATTATGATGATAAAATAATCTCATTTTGTTTATTCAGCAAATGATGTAAACTCATAAAACTATGATGGTATCACTCCTCTTCATGTTGCTGTTGTAAAAGGAAATTGGGATTTTGTAGAATGGTATATTATTTATAATTATAACTATGTAGGTTATTACAAAATGGTGCAGATCCATATATTATGGATTAATAAAGTATTACTCCTATTGATATGGCTAGACATTTAAAATAAACTAAAGTATGATATATATAAATTATAATTTTAGATAATTAGACTTTTTGAGTAATACAAAAAAATATGAAATGATTTTGATTAATACAATTTTAAATCGTATATGCTTTAGCTGAATATTTTCTATTAATTATAATTGTTTTAAAGTAGTTATTTCTAGTTCTATAATTCTTAATTTATTTTCAAAGTTTAAATTCTAGTTTTTATATTCCATATTCCAAAATATAACTATTTATTTGAGTGATTGATAATAAATTTTAATTATAATTAGTGATGATCTTTTTTAATAGATATGATGACTGATTTAATTATTTTTATTTAATTTATAAAATTAGATATAGTAATTAATAAATGTATATCTTTAAACTTATTAAAAAATATAATTTTATTGTGATAAATAGCTTTAGTAATAAGAATAATGATACCAGATATATCAAATAGTTGTATTTCTGGATTTAGAAAATAATAATAAAATTTTAAGCATATCAACAATCAATTAATTAATTTTTGTATTTTTATAAATAGATTAAATAGTATTTGTGAATATAAATTTAATAATGAAAATATTTTCTCCTTATACTATGAGGATGCTTATACCTCGATTTAGTCGTACATTCTTGCAGAAAGATATCATAAAAGATCCATTAGCTGCTACTTCTAAATCTACTGATATACCTAAAGTTTACAGAACAAAAACAGGGTAAATATCTATGGGATTGTATGAAGTATATATAATGTTCAAAAGCTTAGAAAATGCTTTAAGAAGCAAAAGAAAAATCTTTAGCTATTCCTTCCCCAGATGCAGATATTCCTTACAATTTTGAGGGTATAGACTAAATTCCAGAAACAAAGGATTCTTTTCTTTTTTAGCAAATTCTGAATGAGAATGAAATTAGGGAAAAAACTCTTCAAACTCATTTAATAAAAATGTATTAAGCATTTTTGATGTCTTTGGAAGTAGCTGATGAAACTTATTTAAATGAATATTGTGAAAAAGGATTCTGTGAAAAGACTTTAGAAGCATTGGAAAAATTAAAAATGAGAGGAGAGAGAGTTGTAGCTTTTGAAGATTTTTCAGTCACATCAGGACAACCATTTCCTTATCAAGGATTTTTTGTTGATTAAGTAATGGTTAGAGGTTTATCTACAAATAGGTAAGAAAATCTCCCTAAATCTTAATATCATTATTATAATGATTTAGATAAATTAGGTTGTGTTGTATTTACACCATTGAATTTATAAGATCCTAATAATTTTAAAACAAAAGAGTAAGGTGATAAATTATATGATGACTATAAAAAGGTATTAGTTCGATGTTTGTTAAGAATATAATCTCCAATGAGATTAAAGCTTATTAAACCAAATGGATAGGAGTTATTAGAAACAAATGATAATTATTCTTATAATCATCTTGTTTTATTTGAATCAGAATGTGAAATGCCTCCTAAAAAGAAATAAAGAAGGGATTCATATCGAAAAGTTTCTAAATTTTAATTAGAAACTTATATGGAATGGATGAGAAATTGTGTTCCTTAAGTATGGAAAATTGCTGATGTTGATAATTGGATGAAATGTAATCCTTTGATAAAAGAATCTCATAAAGACTTTTAAGACGAAGTTTTCTAAGGGTCAAAATATGATGAAAATGTAATCGACATTAGAAGAATTTGATCAATTTACAACCAAAATTAACATATAATTTATCATCTACTTCTCTCAAATAATCCTTTTCCTTTGCCTTTCTTGATTCTTTTTCTTTAGTGAGGTTTAGCTGTTACATTATCCTAGTGAATATGAATTATAGAAATATACTTTAGTTTTTGATTTTGTAATTGCTACATAAAATCGTTTCAATCTCTCTTTCTCATATAATGTCTCAGTTAATTTATTTATCTTTTAAGTTAATTCAGAATTAGGAATAGATTATTATGCTTCACCTTATAATTTATCTTCAACTTAATCAAAACTCTTTTTTCTAGCTTCTTTCAAAAAGAATTTGTGTGTAGGTTATTCAAATTATACCATTGCTAAATCTTATTTAAGTTTCTCTGTTAACTAATAATTTGATTAATAAATATTTTTACTTTTTCTTTTTGTTAAATAGATGCTTTTAGTAAATTTTAATTTTGAGTTTTAATTTATTTAAGGATTTCTTATTCATCACCACTACTCTCATTTTAATCTTCATACACTACACCATCCTTAATTTTACTCTTAAGCATTCTAAAATTAAATTCATCTTTATTTCTTAAAGCAGCCTTCAATTACAATTTTTGTAATTATTCTTTCTTTCTTTAATAATTTATTGCTCTCTTTTTATAATCACCATGCTTTTCTAAAATACCAAGAAATTATCTAGCTGTCTATTTAATTCATAAGATTTGCAATTACAGGTTAAGCTCTTTCTCTATATTTTCTTTATGGTTTAGCATTTGTAAAATTAGACATTAATTAATTTTATAATGGAAATTAAGTGTGAATATAATTTATAGTAATTGTTTAACAAAGGCCATTTATGCAAAGGATTCAAAGTAATACTATTTTTACAGACAATCTAAATGATCAGATTTTAAACATCATAAAATAGTTTTGCATGAATATAAATCTTACAGAAAAGCTGTTAAGATAAATTCATTTCATTAAAAATCATGGTATATTATGGGATGTGTATTTATGAGATTGAATAAATTGGTAGAGACAATAAAATCATTAGGTGAAGCTGTTAGAATAAATGAAAATGATGGAGAAATATGGGGTAATATTTCATCTTGTTTGGTTTTCTTGAAAAATTCAGTGAAGCATAATCTGCTTTAGAATAAGGAGTTAAATATGCTAGTACAGATTGGAGATTATGGAATAATTTAATGGGTGTTTCTTTAAGGAATAAGAAGTTTATTAGATTTTATTCATGTATCGAAAAACTTGTGTTATTAGTTCATAGAGAATTAATAGATGAATAAATAATCTAAAAGATTACATAAACATTAGCCTATTAAACAGATTAATTAAATTAAGAGAATATAATATAATCAAATATTAATAAAAAAAGAATTTTAAAATTGTATGAATATTTGGCTAAAGAAATTGGATAAAAATACTATATATGGGAAGGTCTAGCAAAGTATACTGAATTACTTATAATTTATGATTAAAGAACAGCAGAATTAGAACAAAAATAAATAGTCGATTTGCAACCTTATTATAATGATATAGTTTAATATAGATTAAAAAGTTGTTAAATGTTTTAAATTCTTAATTGGGAAAGAGATATATAATTAATATATGTATTAATTTTAGATAAATTTGTCGATCTTTAGCCATATAATTAACATCCTTAAACAAAGATATTTAATTAATAAAAAATAAAAACAAATTTGTTAATTTAATTTTTATGGTTGTATATTAATAATTTATTAAACATCAATAATTTCATTAATCATTCTAATTTTAAAACATAATAACTTTATTTATATAGTTTAAGTATTTGCAGTTTTCTTCTTTGGAGATGAATATATTGATTTCCTATATTTTAATGATATATAAAATACTAATTAATTAAAATTACTTAAAAGTTATTTCATTTTTTCACTAAATTAATAATAAAATTTAAGTATTTCTTTTTCTCCCATCCTTAGAATCAAACAATTTCTTTAATTTGTAGTCAACTCACAAATTTATAAAATTTCTTAATCTTACTATATAATATTATTCAATAATATTACTTCAAATGTAGTTGGGTAATATTTTAAAGCTTTTTTACATATTCTGCCAATCATTTTCCACATTTCTAATTCATTATATATTCCTATAGGTTATGTTTTAGTAGATTTAAAATTTAAGGAGCCTCTTTAATTTAATAATAATTTAAGTTGAGTTTCATCTCTAATGACTAAAAATCTGATATAACTCATAAATTCCATAACTGTAGTTTCTAGGAAGATATAATATTATATCATTACCATCAGTATCCATCATCAATCTAAATGTTTTAGGCCATTATAATGATTCTTTAATTGATTCTTCTTTTAATTATAAAAGTGGATCATTTTAATCTGCTTCAACAATAACAACAACTTCATTTGCATCATTATCTTCAACTACAAAACCATAATTTAATAAAAATCTTGAATTGCATTTCCTTCCATAACTATCAAATATCATTTATCCTCTCTCTATTTTTTCATCTGTTTCTATAATAAATCCTTATTTCTCATCAGAATAACACCAAGATGTTAATTTTGGTCTTTTATGATTAAGCATATCTGCTAATGGTACAAAAGCATCTGTTTTAACACCATTTATGTTTATACCAAATATTCTGCTACTAGCTGTCATTCTTGCCCAACAAAATTCATGAAATTAAAATTATGTGAATTCAGGGACAACATTACATATATCATTGTAATCTTTCTTAAGATCAGATAATTTATCTTTTATTTATTCTAATTTATATTAAATAATAAAAAGTACTTAAAAATTAAGAACCTTTGAGCCATTCTAAATCATTATTATTAAAGAATATGGGAAATGATGGATAGGATGATGGTAATATATCTATGTATGGTTTCCAAAAAGAATTTGGTCTGAATTTCTCTTATAGTAAGAAAGTCGATAGAAATGAATGTTTTGGTGAAAGTAAATCTAGTCTGAATTATATAATTTTTTTAGCCACAGATGTTTCTTTAGCCATTTCCAAAGTTATCATATGAGATTTTGGAATAAAGAGAATTAACTCTTTAGCATTTATAGTTTATTTTGCATTAACACCGCGATAATCTTCTGAATAACATTCAATTTTAATTTTTGGAAATATGGCTTTTCCTATTTTCAACCATTCTAATAGTCTCTTCTAACGTTCTAATTCTTCTTAATCTAATAAAGTCTTGATGTGATATCAGTTTTACTTTGAGAGATTATGAATAATATTAATTGAGTAATAATTCACTTTCTGGAGTGTGATTATTTATACTCTACAAACATTCAATTGCTTCCTAAATAACAATAAGTTTGGACATATACTTGAAGATAACCCATCTCATATAACACTTATGCCTTATTAGTGGTAGCTTTAACATAACTTGGATTCAATTGCAATGCTTTATTACAATCTTATAAAGCCAATTCTAGTTCATCTGTCTATAAATATGCTTAAGAACGATTATTGTAGAATATAGGGTTCTCTTCCAACTCTAAAAATTATTTATATAATCTTAATACGTAAAGCTTTAGAGTATAACATAATTGCTTTACTATATTATCTGTTAAGGAAAGCAGTATTTCCTTCTTCCTTAATTAATAGATCATAAAAAATACTTTGAGTTGATTTGAATTTAACTCTAATCTTCTACTTTTCGGAGGCATATAAAATAAATTAAAATTTCTATATTATTAAATTCTCAAAGTTTATAATCAATTTAATTCCTAATTAATTCTATTCCTTTTATTTTAGAGATAATTATAAATGAAATAATATTATTATAAATGTATTTCTAATATTTTGAGTATGTATTTATTCCATATATAATTTTTATAGTATCCAATTTATTATATATTTTGTATATAATAATATTAAAGCTTTTAAGAAAATCATTATTATAAGTAGATATGAATATTAAATGATAAATTGATAAATAGATAAATAGTCCTTAATTCTAAAGAAATAATTTTATAAATTTATTATTATATATTTTATTTAATACATTAATATGGCATCGAATAAAAAGGATCAAGTAAAAGTAGAAGGAATTCATGGAAGATATGGACGATTTAGAGATAATAGAAATCAAAATGATAAAGATAAGGTAAATTTTGATTATTAATTTTAGCATTAAGTACCATTTTTAGTAAGAACACATTGGAAATATGGATAAATTACTTTAGAAGACTTTAATAAAAATTAAACTTAAGAAATATTACTTTATCTATTGTAATAATTATTAACATATATTTGATTAGCTTAAGTTCAAAATTAAGAGATATTGTGGATCAATTAAAATATTAATTAGATGGAGTTTATAGAAGGGATATAATATTTAGAGTGAGTAATGTCTATCTGGATTAACATGGAGTGTAAAAGAAAAAGGATTTAGGATAAGTACATTCTGTAAAGTCTGGAAAAGATGATGATTCAGATCTAAAAGAACATGGTTTTAAGATAGGAGATATATTAATGGTTGAGATTGAAACAAAGAGTTAAAATAAGCAGCCCATTTCATAAATAGCTAAAGAATGATAAATTTTATATAATAAATTAATTTAACAGAGTACAACTATGGAAGTCAATTAAAATAGAAAATACTTTAGAGTTGGAAGTAGAAAAGTACAATAGTAATGCAATTATGAAATTGTAACAAGAACTGGTTCTTAAGAAGAGGATATAACTGACTTAGGTACTTAACTTCAAAAGAAAATGTGCTTAAATGAAGATGAGTCTCATTTTATTGAAGAAATTCTATATACTGACCCTTGTGAACCTGAAATGAACTTTGATGAAAAAATCTTAATTCATCAAGAAGTCACTTTTAACCCTCAATAGTATTTAAACAATGAGAATTCGATTATAGGATGATATATTTAATTAAAATGAATGATTTTATTTAACGAATAGAGAGAGAAATCATTAAATTTAATGACATCTAATCTGTTCTAATGAGGTTGGTATAGTCTAAATTCATGATCTAAATTAAGTCTCTCTTTGAATCAATCTTTTAAACTGAACGATCACATATTATGACTGTATTAAACAAATAGCAAAAAGACAAAATAGTTGATTCTTATGTACTTAATTTAAATATACTCAAATAAAATCTGAAAGTCATTACAAATGTAGTTATAGATGAGATTTATTCAGATTTTAAAAGTTAAGTTACTGATCTAAAATAATCTTCTGTAGGAGTAACTAACAATAATAATACACAATTAATTACTATATTTGAATAATCAGATGAAAAAGATTAAAAATAATTGAGTCAGAGATGTTATACTGAGACCAATATCAAAAAATAATTCTAGCATATGCCATTAAGTAAATTAACACTAAAATGTTTATTGAAAAAGTGATTAATTTTTTCATAATAATATATAAAATGAATGAAACTTTTGAATAATGTCTGTCCATGCAATCAGGCAAAAACAAACGTTAAAGAAGTCCATTATAAGTCAAATTTGTTACTTAACGTAGTTTCTAAGCAAACAAATAATCACCTTCAGAAAATGAATAGTAACGATTACTATTGGACTGTTCAAGATAAGGATTAACAATTTTTAATGTAACTTATAGTTCATTATAAAAGGATGGAATGATATGGAATGGTTTGTTATATCTAATGTTAAATGAAAATAAACTCAAAGAATTTGATACCAATATATTTAAAAAGACTCCATTATTATAGAATTTATCATTAGAAGATAATTAATTATAATAATTTGGACCTATTGATTATAATGATGTTCCTAAACTATCAACACTTAATATTGCAAGAAACTTATTAAAATTTATAGATCCTTCATTATTCAAATTACGTCTAAAGAAATTATATATTTAATAAAATTACTTTACTAATATAACTAAACAAATTCTAGACTTAAATGAGACTTTAGAAGTATTAGGTTTAGGTTGGGGTATATTTTGTCAATCTTCATTTGATTTTCTGTTAGAAGATTAAAAGTTAAAAGTGTTTTTTACATTGATAGAAGCGATATCTGATGAATTAACATTTGAATAATACATTATGAACTATAAATCTATAAGCAATGCAGTTATTGTTTCATAAGGAGACATACTAAATGATAGCATAAGTACAAAAAACCTTACCTCTCAATAGATTCTCAAAACGAGTAATTACTCCTCATCCAAATAAAGGAGTAGCTGAATTACCATTCACTTGATATTGAGACTTAATTGAATTACATGAATGATTATAAATAAGTATCTTTATGGAAAATACATTTAGAATCTCATGCATATAGCAGTCATTTATGATGAAATTGGAATTTTAGATTATCTATTAAATTATCATTTGGAATTGGCTAATTAAATAGATCTTAAAGGACATACACCATTAAGTTTAGCAATTGAAAAGAAATATTATCGTTTGGTTACACTGATACTAAAATTCAATATTAATGTGAATTTAGGAGGTGGATTATAGTCCTCAAATTTACATATTGTAGCATAATAATGTCAAGTGGAATTACTATAAGATTTAATAAATTTAGGAGCAAATCCTGCACAATATGATATATTTAAGGATACTCCATTACATATAGTTAGTTTATTTAATGATCATAAAAGAGTAAAATAGTTTTATTAAGTTATATTGTAATAGCCATTTGATGTTAATCATTATAATTTAAAAGGATAAACTTGTTTAGAAATTTTAATAGAAAAAAACAATTTTATTACATTGTAATATTGTAGTGAATGGAATACTATTTAGATGAGATAATTATGTGATCAAAATTTATTTAATTTTTGCAGTATAAATCCTCATACAAAGTTATCTTTATTGGATAAATCAATATTAACTAAAAGTTTTATGATTCAATAATTTTTAATTGATTTTTAACTTGTTCCTATTACTTATCAAACATTAATGCTTTGTTTTTTACCAAAAATTCGTAATGTTTTCTTATATAAAATATTAAAGAAATAATAATTCATTTAAATTAGAAATTAACTTATTTTTTAAGAAGGTAATTTATATGAAGAAACTGATTCTATTCCTAATGTTTCTCCTCCAGTAGAAGCAGTTGAGAAACTCTATTTTAGTGATGATAATAATTCATTTGATGATGATTAAATGAGTAATATTAGTGATAATGCACCTGGCTAAGTATCAGAAAATTTAAAGTAATTAAATAGTTGGACTCCTAAATTTTAAAGTATTAGAAATGGAAATGTTAATTTTAAAAAATCATTTTATGATATTTTATCAAATTTAAATGAATGTATACCTGATGATGAAATATCATTAATTCATATGAATAAGGATATTATAAATAATGGAAGTAAATTAGTTACTAAAAAGAATATGGATTAAATATACACATCAAGATTAGAATAGAAATTAAATAGAGGGAATAAATAGAATTTGAAATAGCATAATTATTCTCCAAATAATATTCGAATGATAGAGAATAGAAATTCAATATTTAAGTATGATAACTATCACTAAAAAAGATAGTTGGCCATTTTATAAAAGCAAATGCGTTAAATAATCGTCAGTCTCCAAAATCACTTGAGAGAATCCAATCAATAAAATGAAGAAGTAATAGGTTAATATTGTAGAACTCAATTTATAATCTTAGATTAATTCTTAAATTCTAAAATAGGAAAAGAATTAATCACAATTGATAAACCTCTATAAACAGAAATAAGAACCTTAAGGAAATTAATTGAATAAGATAGATTCAAACCAAAAACTGCCAATCAAGTACTTGATTTATTTGATTTATTGAAATGATTATTATATCAATAAAAATAAAAATGAAAAGGTAAATTAATTCAGCTCTTAAATCTCGTCAATCCCCTTAATCAATTACTAGATTAAAGAGTGCTGTTTAATTTAAATTTTAAAGTGAAACTCCTTAATGTAGAACATCTATTGCTCAAATGGAAAGATTATAAACTGGAACAACTATGCATACATAATATAAAACCAATTTTTCAACTAGAGAAGATGAAGTAATAAAGACTTAAGTTTCAGAAAGTAATTTAAGTAAAGTAACTAATCTCAGGATCAGAGTTGATCCTAAAAGTGAAACGGATGTAAAGATGTAAAATTATTTTTACAATAATTAACCTATAAAAGTTCAAAGCAATATGAATATGTAATCATATATATTATTTATATATAGTATTTCTAAGAGTTCATAGAAATTAGTTGTTACTTCAGATAATTTATAAACTACGGAAGTTAAAAGAAAAATGAAATATGATCCTGCTATTAGATAATAAGTTTTTATACTTAAAATAAAAGCCATTAAGAATCCTTTACTTTAAAAGTTCCTTAGATTCTTATTGAGTAAAGAGAAATAATTTATTGATCTGATTAAATACAAATAAAACTAATAAACTATAGATTTAGTACAAGATTTCATTGAAATGGCTATTGGAACTTAAATTAGTTTGGTCGTGGTAGAAGTTTTATTGTTTTGTTCTTAAGCTTTAGAGAATTGTGGTTTAATTGAATTGTCAATTCATTTATATAATTAAACAAGATTATTATGTAATCATTCAAAATAACAATATGATATTCAAAAAATGAAGGCTTTTATTGGTTTATCAAATTGTGCTGTTACATATGAATCATATGAAATTGCAATTAAATTCTTAAAGAAATGTATACAATATGCTTGGTTAAATAACAATTTAGAATTTGAGAATTTGGTTTATTAAAAAATGGGTATTTGTTATTTTTATATGGGAAATATAGAAAAAGTATTTATAATAATTAATTAATATAGGCATCATTTTATCATGAAAGAAGTATTACTTACGATTTTGAAATAGAAGATTCTCCATTAAGAAAATTAAGTTGTGATACTCTAAAAATATATTTAAATAAACATTTTTCAAGAAATTATGCTGAAACTGTTAATAATGCTTTATTGAGTAAAATGAACTTTTAGATACCAATAGATATTAAATAATGTTAAGAAAATTTAATGAATTTAACTGATCTATCTTAATCACCTAGACTACATTTAAGTACAGAAGGATCAAGAAAAATGTCTATTTCTAGTGAAAATTCAGAATTATCTTGTTTAAAAATAAATGGAATGAGATTACTTAAAGATATCTTATCATAATAAGAATTTGATTTTTAAGTATATACACCTAAGCATTCATGTAATATTCAATTATATTATAGTTAGGACTGAAAGTAAATGTTTTGAGTATTTAAATAATAAAAAAATTCATCCTAAAGATATTTATCATGATGCAAAATATAAAACTAATCCATTTGTTATTGATGATCTTGGAATTATTAAAAGTAAAAAAACAAGTCAAGCTGAAAATATGAGTAAATACAAACTTCCATTAGATTAATAGATAGAAATTAGATTATAATAAAAGTTTTAAATAAATTTATAAGAAAAAATTCAACATTATGTTGGAAGTAGTCATTAAAAAGCAGAATAGAAAAATAAAATATTGGTATTATTATTATTATTAATTTATTTAGTTAACTCATAAAAATTAAGAAAATAGTAAAAGGAATAAACAAATGGATGAAATAAAGAAATTTAATGCCATAGCTTTTCTATACTAAAATTTAATAAGTAAATTAATTGGTTGATTAATATTATAATCTCACAAGGACTTTAAAAAATATTGAGTTCATTCCTTATGATAATTCAAATCTGCAATAATTAATATTAAAAGCCATCATTTATAGAAATGATTTCTCTTCTTTTCTTTGCATATTCATATGCTTAATCAAAAGACCATTATTTATTTCTCATTAAAAACATTAGTACAATTGTTGCTGATCTGCTCTTTCCTTATGCACAATGAACTAACACCTTTTAAACTATAGAATTTTATATATTTACCTTATTTTCTTATTTATTTAATGCTTCATTAATAAAAATGTAAGCTTCATCAAAATGATCAGATATTGGTTCTTCTTCTAAGTCCAAAACAGGAACCTAGAAGTATTTAATGAAATCTTTATTCTCTTATTAGATTTCACTGAAATAATTAGGAATTTCTTTCGCACAATTAACAACATGAGTAATTCCTAAAAGATTCAAGGCTTTTAGATTATTTGCATGATTGCTATTACCTAAGTAAAGTTAATTCTCAATAATCTCATTTGGTAAGCTGAATTCAAAATTCTAATAACAAAAAGGAAAACGAGAAACTAAATTTTCTTATGATTCACATATAATATATATTTCTCTAACTAATTCCTAACATAAAAGAAGATGAAAATATTTCAAATTTTCCACCATATTATCATGAATAATAAGCTTATCTAAGTTTTTGTATTCTAGTAGAATATCAAAGAAATTATCAGACTCTAAACTTAGAGATAAGCCATCTGACTATGTCACTAATTATGTCAAATGTGTAGTGACGTAATTGGATTATTTAAATGGAAGAATAAAATTATAGGCTCTTCTTTTCTTTTCTAACAGTTTATTTTGTGCAAGTCTAATATAAGATAAAAATATTTACGTAATTTCAAGAGCTTATTCTAATTTAGTTGCATCTTTCAGTTTATTTTAATCAACTTTTATTGCTTTGTATTATTTGTTACTAAAAATATGAGTTAGGTTTACTTGTCTGGAAGAGAAAAATCATATAAAAGATAATTATTTTATTATTGGACATTATAGAAATATGAAATCGAGCACAATGTTATTTCAATCTTCTTATGCATTTCAATTAAATTAATTTATGGTATTTTCAATACTTGATACCAATTTTATATAATCTGTTAATAACAAACATTTTTAATTACTTACAACTTAATTGACACACTTTATTATTATTTTTTGGAATTAAGAATGAAATCTCTTTATTTAGTTTTTCTCACTCAAGTAAACAATCAGCAATAAGTATTATTATTTCAAAATACTCCATAATAATCATTCTCACTTCCTTCAACAGAAATTACAAAAGAGGATTTCTTAAGTGCATCAATAGCTGGACCTAAAATAATCTTGGATTCTTTGAAAAATATTGAATTATAGAAATTTTCATTTTGTAAGAAAGAATATTTAGATATGGTTGATTTTGATAATTATAAATACAAAGAAAAATATGTATGGAGTTAAAGTTCTTAATAGGAGAAAGTATAAATTCAATTAAATTTTTAGGAATTATTAAGACATAAGAGAAATGTTTAAGCTCCACTTTGGACTTAATTTTTTAATAATTGTCCATTATGGAATGATGATAAAGAAGAAAACTTTTATTATATAATAGCGTTATAATAAAATGATCTTGATTACATTAATTCACAACAAGGTTTGATCATAAAGTAAAAATATTTTATTCAACATTAATAGATAAGTTAATATATAAGAATTAGAATAAAATTTATAATTAAATGGGGAGAATCAAAAGTTTAAAGATTTATAAAATGCTTTAATAAAAAATGAATATTTAAGAATTGATGGTAGAATTGTACTTCATTTTAATTTCAAAACTAAATAGCATTCATTTTATGATGGATCAGGTTTTTTCTTGGATACAGTCTCAATTTATAATGGAATATTTAGAAGACGATATGATAATTGGAATCAATATAATGTTGCTTAAGGACATTATCCAAGTGAAGAAATAATTATAAGAGCTGATGCAATTATTATGCCTGGTAATAGAATATCTGTTTATGATCATTATAAATGGATAGAAGATGTTAAATTGATATTAAAAAAGGCTTATGAAAACAATCCAAAAGTTAAGATTCTTGGAATTTGTTTTGGCTTTTAAATACTTACTGTAGCATTAGGAGGGATTGTAGAAAGAATGAAATATTCATTTGTTTTTGGGAATACTCCTTTAGATCATAAGATAAATGTTATGAAATAATTTAAATTATTTTAAGGAATAGAATTAAAAGAGAGAACTATTATAAATTAAGCTCATGGTGATGAGATAACAAAACATCCAGATTTTTTGTATTTAATCTCTTCTAGTGATTCTTGCAAAGTAAATTTAGTATATATATATATTATTAGAATGAAATCATGATTTCTAAAGATGAAAGAATTTTGGTATTTTAGGGACATCCAGAATATTCAAGTGCAGGAATGAGTATGTTATCTCTTGCATCAAGATTACCATCAGATAAATCTACATTAGATTAAGTTATTAAGGAAGTTAAAAGATAGTATCCTTAAGAATAGGATAGTTTTCATTTAAATTTATGTTTAAAATTTCTTAAAAAGTGAAAAATGAATATAAATAATTGAATATATGACTTTGGTTATGAAAATGTAAATTTTAATATATATTTTATAAAATGAATTAATTAACATTAGTATGTTTAAGTGACACTCATTCTAAATTTGTGGATGTACAAAATGGTGATGTACTTATTCATTGTGGTGACTTTACTAATTGGGGACATGAACAAGAAATTAAAGATTTTATATCATGGTTAAAAGCATAACCACATAAACATAAAATTGTTGTACCTGGCAATCACGATATAACTTTAGATATAGAAAAATATCCATAATTGAAAAAGAAATTTCATAGATACAGCAATTTTAATCCAGAATAATTGTTATAGGATCTTAAAGATTGTTGTCATTTGCTTATAAACTCATCAGTTACAATAGAAGGTTTTAAATTTTGGGGTAGTCCATACTCATAAGAATATTGTGATTGGGCATTTTAAATAGAAGGAAGTAGTTAATAATTTTGGGATAATATAGAAGAAGGATCTGATGTTATTATTACTCATGGGCCTCCATATTTTTATGGAGACAAAATCAGTAATGGGTCAAGAGTTGGAGATAAATATTTATTAGAAAAAGTGAAGAAAATTAGACCAAAACTTCATGTTTTTGGTGGTATTCATGAATCCTATGGAGGATATGAAGAAGATGGAGGTTATAGAGATGATCCTATTAAGTTTGTTAATTGTTCAATTATGGATGAAAAATTCAAAATTTAGAATAAACCATATGTTTATCATCTTACAAGGATTAATGAAATTTGATAAAAAAATATCTATTAAAATATAAATTTATTTATAAATAAATCACCTTTTTAAAAATAAACCCTAGTAAGTAGATATGATTGTATTAACAAGTCTATCATTATAACTACCATTCATTTTTATTGTCATCATAGATTTTCTACAAGATATCATAATTTCATATTCTTCATTATTATATTCTACCTATGCTAATACTGATATTTCATTTTCAGATTAAGTAACTATCTCAAATTCTGATTGAAGATTAGGAATAGAACTCTAAAATCCAGTTAGAAAAGGTTTGCTTTGATAGAAATAAGTTGTTGGTAATTGTTAACAAGAATTAAATGTCAAAAATTTATTGATTGTACAAGGTATACCAAATTATATAATTTTATCCATGTAAATGAGTTAAGCTTCCAAAATTGAAAATGGTATTTCCTTGATTTCAATTTAAACTTAAATTATTTAGTTTTCATTAGGATTCATTACTTTATTTATATCATTTAAAATTTTAATCTACAATTAGTCTGTGCTTTATAATTTAAGACTTAAATCATTTAATTTTATTGATGATTTATTTTAAATGGTAAGTGTTATAAACAATACTTGTATTTTTAATTAAGTGCTTGTATTGATTTAAATATTATCATCTTAGTGGATTATAGATTTTGATGTAAAACAGGCTTATCTAAATCTTGTATTAAAAATAATAGGATTAATAGCAAATATAGTTGGATCATAATCTATAATAGGAGGCATTATTATTTTTGATTATCTATAAGGACTTTTTTAAATATCAGATTGTTTTGATAATTAAATATTCCCTGCTTATAATTCATTAATATTTCTTCTAGAATTAGATTTAGTACTGACTCCCCATGTTTGACTTGTGACACTATTTTTTTTATCATTCATTTAAAGTAGTTGATTTTTTAATTATGTTATTTATTACTTTTATGAGATCATTATTTATTCATATTAAACTAAATTAGATTTTTGTTTGTATAATTTAAATTCTTCAACATTTTATGGTTTTTCTTGTTCTATTTTATCTCCTTTTATTGATTTTTAAGATAAATTATTTAATTTTGTCATTAATAATCTATTTTCAGTAAGTAAAATTTCTTTTTCATGTTTAATTTTATTATATAAGTCTTCTTACTCATTTAATTGTTTAAATAGATATTCATTTTCTGCTTTCAACTTAAAACAATCAACTTCCTTATAAGAGAGACCAAATTCAATTTTATATTCTGCTAACTTTTTTAATATAATTTAAATATTTACATGTTTTTCAAATGATGCAAGAATAAAAGGATTTTTAGAATCATGGGTTTTCTTGTATTCCTCAAGTAAATATAAAAGCTTTTTTTCTATATTCTTCCATTCAGTTTCTAATTTTTAAATTAATAATTGTTTATCTTATAGTTATTATTACAAAAGAGTATTTTGATTTTAAGTTAGAATAATTTATTTTTATAATTCTTACATTTTATATTAATGCATATTGTTTAATTATTATAGTTATTGATTTTCAATTTATAGTCTTTAAAGTTAAGTCCATTCTTCTTGACATACTTATTTCTTACTTTCTTAAAGTTTCTATTCTCGTTCTAAAAATATATTTGCAATTCTTGCTTATTTATTTTTGTTAAGTATATGTTTTTTGACTATAGTTTAAAATAATTCAGCAAATGATTAATATTATGTTTAATGATATTCTTCAGGTAAATGAGATTCTAGATATCTACAGATTTCTTTAGTTGTAGAACGAAGATGAATACTCATAACTCTCTTTAATTATTATACCATTGAGAGAGGAGGAAATGTAGAAGGCAGATTTGAGTGAACTTAATGAAGATCAAAATATTGGATTTCTGGAAAATGAACTCCAATTTTATATAATCTCTCATAAGCAACACGATATAAACTAAGTCTATGATGTTATTTATCTAATGGAAACCATCTACCCCAAATTCTTATACATTCTAATGTAACTCTGAAGAATTAATCTCCTAATGCCTGCAATTCTTTGTTACCTTAACTACTTTTGTACTCTACATACCTTGATGAGGTTTCTGTTTGTCTAAAAAGAACAATTTCCCTCTGTCATTATCTTATGATTCTTTTTTGAATAATGCAATCTATTCCATTTTAGGGAGAACAATTTTTTACATCAAATGTATATAATCTTCATTAAATGTCTCAGCTAATTCCTTATTGAACTATAAATAAATTTATGGTAATATTCTTACTTTGAGTGCCAATAGTCTTAAAATTGGAGATTCATCCTGATCAACAAGAAAAGCAGCTAAACTTTATTGAACTATTTTTATATGCATTCTATTTTAAAACTAATACATACTTGTCACCATATAAAACTCTTAATTTTATATCTCTTACATGAGAATAAGTTTCAAACGAACTTAAATAAGATCGCAATGAATTTTGTAATTCCATTTAATTAAAAAATGAGACTAGACTAATTTGTTATACATAATAAGAATAAAAGAAAATAGATATTATTCAATAAAAACAGAGTTTGCTAATTTCGTTTATTAATTACAATCTGTTAATTTGTTTTATAACTTTTATCATAAATGTTTTAATTATATTGATCTAATCTTAAAAGGTTATTAATATATAAATAATTATTTAAATTTACAACTAGATAACTAATTAATAATTGTCAATTTTTCATTTTACTTATAATGTATAATGTATAAACTTTATATAATACAGACATATAATAAACTTTTAATTTCAATATTTATTTGTAAGATAATATTTGAATATTAATTTTTCTTATTTTCTAATAAATTATTAAATTTTTATATAAAGAACTTGTTATTTTTATTTTTTAAAATAATTAGCCACTTTAATATTAATTTTTGAATTTATTAAACAATTAACAATTAACAATGTCAAATCATCCCTAATCCTAATAACCATAACAATAAACACAACCTCCATAACCATAAGCAAGAACTGTTGCTCCAACACATCCAAATGCTGTCTTACCACCAGCATATCCAAATGCTTTCTTACCACCAACATATTATCCAGCTTCTCCCGTTAGACAATCTTATGTAGCTCCTATATAATATGCTCCTTTGCCTTAAATGTCTGTTGCTCCTATTGCCTAAGTCCCAGTTTAACAATACGCTGTTGCACCTGTAGCTCCTGTTGCTTAAGTAAATTTTGAATTTATTTTAGCATCAATCAATCAAAGGAGAATCAAGAATTGAATATGTACCTTATTAAAAAGCTGTCATTGAATATGAAGAATAAGAAATCGTCTCCTATGTTCCAAGAGAAACAAAAGTAACTGATTACTATGCTGTTGAATATCAAACAGAATATATCCCTTAAGTCTTCCAAGAGAAATATACCGGTAATTTTAATATATAATATATAAACTAGAGTATGTACCTGTTGATAGATATTAAGAAAGAGTTGAGTACTAAGCAGTAGAAAGATAAGTTGTTCATTAATAACCTACACAATATGTGTAATAAGCTGTATCTGTAGTTTAACAACCATATGTTTAACAATCTGTTCAATATGTCTAACAACCAGTTTAATATGTTTAATAACCAGTTTAATATGTTTAATAACCTATGATTGCATCAAGAATGGTTCCATAATATGCATAGCCTCTTTAATAATATCCTCCTTAATAATATCATCCTGCTCCTGTAACTAGACCTTAATAACCATCATAATAACCACATCAATCCCATTAATCATCCCATTAACCATAATAAGTGGCATCTCAATAACCAAGATCACAACCAAGCCAATAATAATAATCATAATAACAATGATATATCATTATTAAATATTAAAATACATTTTAAATTGATGGATTAGTTACTTAATTCTTATTCTTAAATAAAAAATACAGTAAATAATTATTTCAATTTTTTAAGCAATAAGTAAATAATCTTAGTGGCTTAGAATCTTTACAAGGTTTAGAATGCTGAGACAAACGATCCCATTAGAATTATGTCTTCTGATATCCAAACTACATTTCCACAGCCAAAAAAATAGTCAATGCTATAGTTGATTTCTTCATGCTTAGAAATCGATCATTAATTAAACTAAGTTCTGCCAAATACCTAAGTCTTAATCAAATACCTTACATTGATCTTTGTTTTATCAATTCCAAATATCTTTTATTACATCCTAATAATTCTCCTATCAATTACAACCATATTAATGTATTATCACTAATAACATTAAAGTTTAATTTATATAATATTTCCTTTTCCATTTCAATAACCTCTCTAACTCTTAATTCTGTACCTCGAAGCAATGCTCCCAATGGAGGTGGATATATTTCTTCATACTTTGTAGCTATAAATAAACAGGTTATTGCAATGAGCTCCAATTTCTCTGCCTCAGGATTTATATGATAAATTGATTAATCTATCAAATCTACTGTTTGGAATAATGTTTCTGATTTCAAATTATATATTTTGGCCTACTTTATTATAAACCTAATCTGTTTCTAACTATTATATATACTGTAGTATTTCGCATCTTTTCATTGATTTTCATTTAATCAATCGAAAGTTAAAATCCTTAGTTCTCTTATTCACGTTAATGAAGGAACTCATATATTTCTTATTGATATTGCATGACCTGTTATGGACATTCTATTTTTAACAAACCATCCTTTGTACAAACAGCCTCATTTATTACATTTTCTTTCCCTCCTATTTCATCAACTATCCCATTTCTTTTATCTTTTGCATCCTTTAATGCCTTATCAACTTAATTATCAAGATGCCTTCCAAAAACTCTTCCAATTTGATTTTAATGCATGTATTTAAATATTATGTCAATTTTGTAATTTTTTATTTATTTTGGCTTTTTAAAAGCAATTATTATTAATTTAAATTCATCAATCATATATTTACTCTTCATTCATGAAATAAATAAATTGTTTAATGATTTATCTCCTACTTTTCTATCAAATAAAAATGGAACATCCTTTCCTTGTTGATTAAGAATTTAAGAATATTTCATTTTACAACTGCAATTAAATAAAATATTGCTACATCATTTTCTTCTTATAATTGTTAAAATGCATAATTATATAAAGGAAAATTTAACTTAAACAGTTTTAAACATTTTAATACAATCAAAAAGCAATTTTAGATGTTTTAAAATTAGTATTCTAGTTATCACAAAAAAATAGATTGAAAATATTTAAAATCTGGATATAAAATATTTAATAATTTATGTTTAATTAATCTAAAATGCAGAAACATAAGAATCTCTAACTTCTCATGGTTTAGACATCTCTAAAAATTGAGAATGAATAATTAAATTATAATAAGAGAATCTTATATATAAATATTAAAACTCGAATAATTAGTAAAATTGAAGGATTGCAAAATAAAAACTTGAATTTAGAAGTAATCTCAACTTAACAATAAAGATGATTATTAAATATAATCCATAGGATTATTAAGATTATCTCAAAATATTGTAATAATTTAAAGAGCATTATTGTAGCTAAGTAATTGTTATTAATTCCTTGCTTAAACTCATTTATAAGATAAAATAGTATATTTAGATCAGACAGGTAACAAACATCTCATTGACATAATGTCTCTGAAGGTGTCCTAAGAGTGTCATCACAAATTAATTTTTTTATTTTTATTAATTAAATTTATTAATATATTTATTGCCTCAAAAATACACAAATTTAATTAATAATTCACATGATATCGTTGATAAAAAAAAACAAAGCTGTTAATTTAAATGACTAATTATATTAATTTGCTATTGAAGACAATAATAAAAATAAGGTAGTTTAGTTTTAATCAATTCATATAAAATCATCATAATGTTCTGCATACCAACCTTACCAACCTTTCAATTCTCCTGATATTTCCTTTTTATTCTCTCTCTTTTATAGTATTCTTGATGATGATGTATTATTATTTTTAATTTCTTATCTACTAATTGAATATTAAGTATTTGATCTAGCTATACGAGCTGGTTCTGTCTTCTTTTTAATTACAATTCGTTTTTCAACATGACTTGTAATTGGTGTTGATAATTAAGTCGGAATCATTTAATCTATTGATAATTTATGAAATATTTTAGGATGTCCATAATTTAAATTCTCAAAAGGATCAATTTTCTTTTTTATTTTTTTTATGTTAAACCAATTTGATTCCAATGATGGAGATCGGCTTTTAGATTCAACAGTTTTTTTATTTTTAGAACTATTCAATTAAATTGTTGGACTAATGTTTGTTATTTATCTAGCAAGATTTCTAGGGGATCTGTATTTGAATTTAGGTATATGATCCAAATTGATTACAGCACTATATTTGATACTGATCTTCGTTAGAGGTTATTTTTTGGGTGATTGTATGAGATATTTATTATTATAATTCATTTAATAATTAATGTCTGATCACGATACACATATTCACTAAAACATTACAATTTAATAAAAGAATGAAAGAATAAAGTAGTCAATTACAACGTCTATGAAATTGTCCTTGATGAATATTTACTAAGTTTGCAGCAAATTTTGTATTAAAGATTACAAAAAAAAGGACCTTTCTGATAGAGAAAAAATCTGTTTATCAAGATGTTTTGAAAGAAAAAACGAGACTCTTCAGACAACAATGGAGTTTTTAGGAAAGTTAGAATAATCATCTGATTGATTTTGCAAATATTTTATGCATTAATAAATACCCTTATTAATTTTTAATTAATCATCTAACAATAATTATTTAAATAATATATTCATTTTATAAACCTATTTATCTATTTTCTTACTTTAAAGTAATTAATCATTGTTAAATTTATAGATAATAAAAGAAACTTTGAAAAATGTAATATTTTTATATGTTGTTTACCTATTAATTTATTTTCAATTTTTAATTAAAAAAACACTCTAATTAATAAAAGGGATTTAAATGTGAATGATAAAGAGTAAATTTTTTGTTTAATTTAAAAATCATTTATTTATTATCCCACTTAATATTAATTTATTCTAATAATTGATTTCTATATTCATATTTTTTAATTAATTACTTAGTTATAAATATATTATTTGAATCATTATTATAAGTAGTTTCAATATTTATGCATTTCAAAAAGCTTTATAATAATCTCTCAATTTAATATTTTTATTTAACCTAATATTTTCAAAGCATTTACATTAATATAATAGATTTTTGTTTAATCTAATTTATGTAAAAAAAGTTAGGATTCTTAATTAATTTTAGTATTTTATTAAAAATAATTATATTTTCGAATTAAATAAAAGGAAATTATGTAAATATAAATTGATATTATCAAAAAGGTATAGATATCTCTTATTTTTTAATAGATATTCCTATAGAATTATCATTTGCTATTTTTTTTAGTAATTTCTTATTTTGTAGTAATTCATATCCCACCATTCGTTCACTAGGACTTGTTTTTTTTTTCGGTGATTAACTTAAATATCCTTTAACCATTTATTTTTTAAGTTCTTCTTGATTTAATATATACATTTATCTAATATTCTATAAAAAATAATCAGATATATATTACATTTCTTCTTTCTTCATCTTGTTTTTTCAAAGCCTTTTATTCCTAAAGTTATTATTCAAAAAGTATTTTTTTTTCATTTACTTCTTGAGTATATCTTCTTTTTTTCTCTAGAATTTATTATTAGAGATCATAGGAAATTTACATTTATTGTTCTTTTTTATTTGTCTTATTTTTAAAATCAAAAAAAGTATTATGTTCGCTATTCTTTTTAGTCCAGTAATCATCTTAAAAATAATGATCCTTTTTATTTTTCACAACAAACTGACTATAATTGTTCATTAATTAATTAATTTTTTACTCTTAATCCTCTTAGTCTTTTTAGTATTTGTCTTTTCTATCATTTTCAAATTGATCTTATATTAATTACTATTCTTATAATAATTTTGCATTCTCTTAGCTATATGTGATTTCATCTTATGCCTATTTTTCAAATACACTTTACTTTCTTCCTTAAATTTTCATTCTATTTTAATATCTTTTAGAATTTATCCTCTTATTCAAGTCTCTTTCGTTTCTGTTATTAATCTTCTATTTTCAATTGTTCTTTAATCTTGGTAAGCATTTCTTCTTCTTATAATCTTGTATTTAAATTCTACTCTTTTCTATTTTATATATAAAGCTTACTTCTTTCTTTTGTCAATCTAAACTTATTAATCTCTAATAAATTTCTCTTGTAATAATTACTACTTTTTATTTTCCTTTATTAATTCCTATTATCTTTCAAACTCCATTAATTATTATTAATTTTTAGCTTAATATTCTTTATCTTCCTGTTTTTCTTTATATTTACGCTATTCTTTTTCTGCTACTTATCTATCTAATTCTTCTTTTATCTTTTATTAATTAAAATACATAAGTTTCTTTTATTCTTCTAATTCTTTTTTAAATTATAAGGTATCATATTTTATAATGGCAGCCCATTCATCTACAGAACCATCTACTTAATAAATTGATTTTCTTCTTTCCTCCAATAAATCATTTGGTAAAGTGTTAATCAACTATATTTTTGAATTGTTATCTGTTTTATTTTACATTTTATAAAAATTGTTTTATTCATCATTTTTATCTGGTAATGTTACCAAACACTTAGGATTAGTTAAAATTTTTAATTATTCTTCTTTTTATTTTCCTATTACAATAAGTTGTCAATCATACTAGATATACGCTAATGTAATTTCTGAATCATTAATTGTTTTTCATTTTCAGATCTTAAAATTGCTTCTTAAATTTCTTCTTTAAGTGCTCTCACAGTTCCTTCGCTTGCTTTATAAAATGTAAAAAAATCTTCCACATAAGTATTTATTAACTAATATTTTGTGCTAAATAAGTTACATTGATATTTAATTAGTTTTTTTTCCCATAATCTTAAATTAATTTATCAATTATGAGAGATTTAATTGAATTATCTTTTTAGATTTATCTTCCAATATGTAAAGTTCTATTAATCTTTTTGGGGTACATAAATAAAATATATATAATTTTTAATTTATATGAATATTACAACTTATACTAAATTCAAGAAGTATAAACACAATCTATATATTAAAAATATATTTCTAAAAAGTAAATAAATATATATACTTTAAGGATAAATAAATCTTTAATTATAATACTGAAGTTGTTTTGATAGATATAAGTTTATATTTAGGATGAAATTGTTACTAAATATTTATATTATTGGAAACTACTTTCATATTAGATAGTATTTGCTCATTAATATTAATATACAAAATAGTACTAAAGAGAAAGTTAAGAAAATGATTTATTCTCTTTAATTAATTTTATAAATAAGGTTAAAATTTTCAGTGTTTATATAGGAGTTTTATTATTTATATTAAATAAATATGGATAACAATGCTACAACATTGATAAATCGAAATTCTGAATTAAAGTTCTAAATAATAGAATGGATAGACATAAATTACGATGCTTAAAATTTACTGAAATTTAAGAAAGAATTGGCTAAAAAAATACTGAGTAAACCAAAGAAACCTTAACTATTTTGATTTAAAATAGAATGATGATATTGATCATAGTATTATTATTAAAATTTATTCTTTTTTTTAATACTTATAAGAGCAAAGAGTATCACATCATTTTTTAAGAATTTTTACTATTGTTTAAATGAATGAGATTTAATTGTCTTTAGTTATAATAACTAAAAATAAGTTATTTTTAATAATTGAGAGTTAATCATTTTGAATTGAAAATGTTAAAAAATTTGAAAAATGGAGGAGGAATTATATTACATTAGAAAATTTAAACAATAATTAATCATATTAATTTATATTTTATAATATTAATTAATATACATGAAATTAAAGTCATCAACTAAAACAAATTAAAAATCATAGTTATTTAGTTTTATTGATTTGAGATTTCATACAAGCAATAATAAATAGTAATGCATGTAAGGTCAGAAATATTAGTGTAAGTGATTGAAGATGGTAGCATTACAAACTTTAGATATAGGCGATCTAAATAATATATTAAATTTACCAAAAACGCAATCAAAAATAACATTCTAATTAGACCTTCCATTGTAGTGATGGCATTAAATGTCTTATTTCCAATAAGGGTTATTATGGATAATATGATGCTGCAAGTACAATATAATGTGAAATATATGGCAGTTTGCTTTAACAATGTACATTCATCATTGTTAGTATTAAGTGAGTAATAATAAAATAGACTTCCAAACAATACATTATATGATATCATAAACGAGATATATATGTATTTGTCATCATTTTTATTAAATTGTCCAACTTATTTACAATCCTCATCTCTTCTTTCCATTTTTATGAGTATTTAATATTATAATATAAATAATTAAATTATATCATTAAATCAACAACTCCAATCAATAACTTATTGTATAGATAATTTAAATATATTTAATCTATTTTCAACTCTTTACTATTCAAATAATCCATATAAAATGAATATTTTTATTAATCAATCCATCCATTCTTAATGAAACTGATATTTCTATCTGTTTTTCTTAACTCTTTCCATCTATTCAATATATATCTATATCTTAATAGAATTAATTAAATACTTATGATTGTATCTAAAATTTTTTTCCATTATTCAAAATCTATTATGTGAATATTACTATATTTCATTTCCAAGCTAGATAAGTAAATATGTGATTTTGAATATAGATTGAATTCTATATTTGATTTATAGAACAATTATTAAATAATTATAGAACACTTACTAAAATTATTATCAAAGGAGATTTCTATTTTGATTAATTTTAAATAATTCTTCTAAATTAATTCTTAATATTCCATTAGAATTAAATTATTAAAATTTTCATTATTTCCTCCTTAATACATTGCTTTATTAATACTGATTCCTAATTAATTAGCTTTCTTATTATCTATTCAGAGATTGTCATTTCATTTAAAATATTTTAAACAAATTAATTTGATAACAATAATATTATTCAATTTCATATAAAAAAATTAATAAACTATTGATTTTTCAAGTGTATATCCTAGATTGAATTGAGTTTGTCCACTCTCTAACTAATAGACTCTTATAAATTTCATTATAATATTATATATTAAAATAATTTAATATCTTTATATTAATAGTTACTTGTATTTGCCATATATAAAACGCGAATAAACTCAATAATTAATCTGAATAATTAAAAGGCTTTGATATTTTAGTGAGAGAGGATAACTATATTTTAATTAAATAGGAAATGTTAAACAAAATATACTTTATTTTTTATACTAATGTTTTAATTAATAACCTATATCTAATATGATACTTTAACATATTAGTATTTACTTATTTCGACAATAGTATTGTTGTTAATATGTTAAAGTCTTTAAATATATATTATTATCGATTTAATTTATTTGAATAACATCTTGAATTCTTGATTATATAACCTATATCTGGAATAGGTGATTATACAATATTGAATAATATTAAGTTATAATAATCTTTTATAATCTAATTTAGATTAATTATATACTAATCAATTTAAAAGTTTCAAGACTTCCTCTTTAAATGAATCTATGAAATCTTTTTCATCTGGAAAGCAGTATGAATTCTACAGCATTTTTTATTTAGTAAATCTTGTTCTACACATTGGACAAGAATCTCTAAGTTTTACACTAAACCATCCATCTATACAATTTTAACAATAACTATGACCACATGGCAAAAGTTTATCAATCTTTTTTTCAAAACAAATTTGACAAACTTCATCATCATTATTTTTCATGTACAAATATGCTAAATCTTAAATTAATTGTTTTAGTTTATAGAAAGTTTCTTGATCTATTAATTTTTATCTTTCATCTATTTTGAGTATGATTGCAAGATCAGTTTTGGCTGTGAATGAGAGTAATTGCTCTTAAAATGTTTATTTATTCTAAATCAATTCAGCTCCAATTTATTTATTTAATTCTTGTTGTAAAGGCATTGATCTTAAAATACAATAGGATATTGTTCTTACTTGATAACTTTATTAAAATATTCAATATCCTTAATAAGAACATGAATTGGTTATTTAGTTTGTTGCTATCCCATATTAATATTATATTTATTTATATGATATCTGATCAGAATCTTCCTCCAAGGTATTATGAGGTAGCGGTTAATTTATCAGTCAAGTGTTCTAATATTCTTTCAACGATTTCTTATTGTCTCTATCTCTCAGTGGATTGAGTTTCATAAGTTTATTCTTATAAAGCACACCATTCATTTTCTGCATCAAGTGTCTCTTAAGCTGATTCTACTTCCAACTTTAATATAATAATATAAAAATACAGTATGGACTTCAAAGAAATGAGTAGCTGTATCAATATTAGTTTTGAATGTTTGAATAGCTTATTCTAATTAATTCTTTCTATCAACCAATCTATTGTGTTCATTACTCAAATGTGTAGAAAATTCAACCCATCTTTAAGCTTATCTATTTTCAGTATCCTAAATTAATAATCAAAAATATATATTTACTTCCAAAACTGATCTAGCTTCTACTAATTATTATCTAAGTTGAGAAAGTAATTATAAAATTCTTTGAATGGCTTTTTAATCAACCTTAGAAGCAAGTTCTGTAAGAGCTGTAACAATTGGTTAGAATAAGGCTCCATGACTTTCATTTTCAATCAATCTCTTTTGAACAGCTTCAAATTTTGGTTTAAGTTCAGCAAATGTGGCACCTAATGAAAGATGTTGAACTAATTTAGTGGCTTCATCAACAGCAGCAATAGCATCATCATGTTCACCATTCTTTCTAACCCATGTTTCATGAGCTTTATTTCTATTTGCTTCTTCTTAAGCAAATGTTCTTTCATTACTTTCAATATCCTATTTATATTAATATTATGCTTACTTGAATTGTTTATCTAACATCAGTTTCAGCTTCAGCCAATGCTTTCTCATTATCTTCTCTCATTTAAGCATTTGCACTAACTTATGCTGTATGATAAGCAATTGAATTTTCAAGATCAGTTACTATTCTTGTGCATGCAGATCTGTCAACTCTAATAACATTATCATGTTTATTTTAATCATCAACTAATCCAGCAAGTAATTGGTTCAATAACATTAAGATTTCCTCTGCATTTCCTTTTGCTTACAAGTACATTTGAACTGTTGACAAAATAGAGTTTCCGAAGTTATCGGCATCAATTTCTGCCAAGATTGTTTTTGTATCCTTTTGGACTGCCAATACTGTTGAAGCAATCAATGCTAAAGCAATGAATTTCATCATTTTTAATTATTATATTAAGCATATTCATAAAACGGATTTTAATATATATTCATTAAATTAATAAAACTTAATTTATTTGTTTATATTATCATAAAATATAATTTATATCATTTCTATTTACTTTGTTTAATAAATGTTTTTGTTATCATAAATAAATTTCAATATATATTATTTAATATACTCCATTATAAGAATAAGAATATATATATCATTCTATATCCATTTATTAATCAATATCTTCATCATCTTCTTCATCACTACTCAATATTTATTCTAATGGTTTTTCTTTGATGCATTCTTATTAGAGTCTCTTAAATTCTTTAACAAAATCATCTCTTTATTCACACCATATTTAAACTGTCAAACTACCTTAAATATTTATTCCTGTTTATTGAGCATTCAATTATTAAATTACTGTAGATCCTATTTATCCATCATCTTCATCTTCTTAACCTTCAGCTTTTAAACATAATAATGCTGATTATCCACTTGTTCCAATCATCATAACATTCTCATACTTTATAAAGTGACCATTTATTTACACTCCTTTATTTTTACTTTTAAACTAATACCAGCTTGATTTAACTAGATTTATGATTCATTAATGAAATGTTTTTGTTCTTAAGAAGATGATATCTCAACTTTACCTTTCATTATAAATAATTATATTTTATTTGTATAAATATTTCATTCTCATTTCTTTATTAAGGATATATAAATCGAGTTGTAAAAGGTCGATGCCATATATGCCCCAAATAAAGGAGCAAACAAAAATACCCAAAAGTTAGCTAGCTTTGTTGTATCATTCAACCAAAATGCTTCAAATAATTCTAACCCAACCCCCATAGCTGGATTTAGACAACCTTACAATTGTATTCACATTTACCTCCAGTATGGGAAGACAATTATCTAGAGAAAAAGAGGGCCAAGGCAATCCAAGCTATTCCTGCAATGTCATTATTCGTTTATCTTGTCTATTCATGAACTTATATATGAATAAATAGAACAAACATAAATGTCCCTAAAGCCTTTTAAGATTATTAACAATTAATCATACTTCTCCACATAAATCTGCTAACATCCATTCTATATTTGTACTCTTTATGCTTGGAGATGTTACTACACCTAAAATAAGATAAGCTATCCAAGCACCTCCTACAGCTCCTAATAATTATGCAGTCCAATATATTCTTAATGTCCATGAACTAATAGTATCATCACAGTAAAAACTGAAAGACACTGCTGGATTAACATGTCCTCCTGTGAATTTACAAGTCAAAAATATGGCAGCATATAAATAAGCTGAAATCAAAACATCTGATCCATTTGATGCCACTATTCCATATGCAAATAATCCTGTTCCAATAGTTTCAAAAATAAATATGATTGTTAGATCCCCAAAAGTTTTTGGTGCTGGTCTTTTAATAGGAGCAGTAATTTGTTCTTCTACATCTAATTAGATAAGATGAGTTTAAGCTTATTAAGTCACATGCTCATTATTTTCTTATTCCTTTGGTGAATCCATTTTTTATAAATATTTTTGATTTATTTAATATAAGAATTAAATGGAATTCAAAACAATCTAGAATAAATTCTAAATTATTTTTTGTAACATACTTTATAATTGTATATATATATATCAAAAATATCAAACAAAAACTGAAGCATTGTAAATATTTCCAAGGCAGAATTTTTATGTTATTAAGACAATCAAAATGAAATAAAATTATTAATTTTTGTCATCAATAAATCGAGATGGTTAATTAAATTATAAATATTGAAAATATTTAATTAAGTATTTTAAAGAATCAAGTATATAGATTAATTAACAACAGATTTAAAATTTATGCAATTAAATATAATATATATGATTATTTATTATATTAAAATTATAAAGTAAGAATATTTTTTGACATTCCAGAAAATTAAAAAAATATTCTAAATGACATTTTTTTATATTTAAGGATATAGACTATTAATATGTTATATCATGAAATTAATTTTTTTCGGAGAATATCAATATTTTATCTATCTCAATTATATAATTCTATTATAATAAATAAGAAATTAGCTTTAGGAATAAACATCACTATAATAATAGTCGTAATTAAATTATAATAATATAATATTAATATTTAATTCATCTTTTGCTGTGTACACTTTGTGACTGAAGTTCCATGAATTTCTTTTAAGATTTACTTAGCAAATTTTAAGTTTCCTATAAGTATTATAAACTAATTCATACTTATAAACGACTTTGTAACATCTACTCATCTTATAAAAGCTTTTCTCTAGATTTCTTTAACTTCTCTTCGATCATTTTTTCATAAGAAACTCTTTCCTTATAAAATTGTTGTGATTTCATTTCATCTAACTTTTTGGCTTCCTCCTTCTTTTCTTTCCTTCTCTTTTCTTCTTAATAAAGAGTCTCTCGAATCTTTTAATTCTCTTAAAGTATACAATTTCTTGTTCTTGATAAAGTTAACTTGATGGCACTCTTGTACTCCTTAACTTAAGATTACTTCATGGAATCGCTAATTACACTCACCACGCATACCCAATCTTCTATTTAGCAGCATGTTTTAAAATAAATTCTTCTTCATGTTTTTTGATCTATTATATTTGATGTTTTCTTTTTCTCATATCATCTTCTTTCAATTAACGTGCTTCTTCAGCTAGATCTCGTAACTGTTTCTTAACTGATTATCCATTTTCAATCTTTTCTGCAGCCATCTCATATAATTTAGCCTGTCTACTTCAAGTTACATAATACCAGATGTAAGTTTTTCTGTTGGGTCTATTTCAATAATGTAACTCTAGCCATTTGTTTTTCATACGCCAATTTCTCTTGTCTCTTTTTTTCTGTCGCTTAAGGTAATGGAATCAATGGTTAATCATCATCGTTTTAGCTTCTTTGCATTCAAAGAAAATAAATTATTAAAATTAATTTTTTTATTGTAACACTCAAATTATATATATTTTTTATGCTTCAATTCTAATACACATTTTATATTCCAAATTTTAGTTGATTATAAACTAGTATAAAGAGTAATTATTAGGCCAAATTAAAATAATATATGTTTCAAATATTTAGTATACAAAACAAATAAATGGTAATTTGTTCATGTTTTAGTTTCATATATAATATCAATAATCATATCTTTGAGTTATTTAAAGATGAAAAAATAAACAAAAATAATTACAAAAATATGATCACCTATAATCTTCTTGCAATTTTATGATAATCGATTTAATTAGTCGCCCGGATTATTTCATTTACATCTTGTATAAATACAATATATGATATTATATTTTTGATATTAAGTTATTAATGATTGATTGAAGATTATTTTCTATTAAATTTTGTCCTAATCTTTTTATTCTTGTAATTCAAATCATTTTTTATTTATTCATCTTTTTTTATATCTCAAAAACTAAAATAAAAATATCTTGTTTTAACAGAATATTCTAATCTTTTAAGATATTCTTCTCCCATTCATTATTTGTCCAACATTATTAAAATTTTAGTTAATTTAGATTGTAATCAGTTTATAAAAATCAAATTTATTGTAAAAATTTTCTAATTCTTTCTATTTCTAGCATTTTCTTAACTCAAATTATATTATGATAGCTATCACAATAACAATTTTAATGTCTTTTATGTATTTTTCCAATACTTCAATAGTTTTATATAGAAAAACTTAAAGAGAATTATGGTTTTCTGAAAATTAGAATTCTATTGAAAGTAAAACTTGATTATTTGACATAACTAAATTTTATTAGTAAATTAAACATATTATCAATTTTAGTAATTATAATCTAGGATAGTAAATGATAAAACAAATAGGAATTTTAGAATAATTTGATATAAATTTATTTACAATTTACATGTATTTAAGCTATAAATTGAATTAGTGATTAATTAATAATAATTTAATGAGCTCTGAATAAAGAGTTAAATTATTGCATTAGCAATTTGAAGTATACAAAGAAATGAATGAGTAAGTATCTAATCCTACTGAATCTCTCTAATATTATAGATAGTTGAGTACAATAGATAAATAAAAATATATTGAAATATTTTATGGTCGCAATTGGAAATATCGATAGAACCTATTTGATATAGTAAAAAATAATTAACATGTTTTCAAACATCATCATCTTGAAGAATCAACAAGAGAAGAATAGAGATATCATTCATTCCAGGCTATGAGAAATTTTCATTAAAAACTTGGTGTGACTTATGATATTTTTTTATCTGATCCTAATATAGTAACAATAACATCAGTTGCTATGTACAGCTTTGATCCAGCAGTATGTGTGAAATTTGGAGTTCATTTTTCACTCTACACCAAAACAATTCTGAATCTAGGAACAGATAAACATAAATAATATTTTGAAAATGCATAAACACTTACAGATATTGGTAGTTTTAGTCTTACAGAATTGGGACATGGATCAAATGTAAGATAAATCTAAACAACAGCAGTATATGACAAAGAAACATAAACTTTTATTATTAATACTCCAACTGATTTAGCAACCAAGTTTTGGATTGGAGCCACAGCTAATTTAGCTAATATGACTGTTGTATTTGCTTAACTCTATATTGATGGAAAATAATATGGTGTTCATGCATTTCTAGTAGAAATTAGAGATAAAACAAATCACAATGTAAAAAGTGGAATTACTATTGGAGATTGTGGACCTAAAAATGGATTGAATGGAATAGATAATGGATTCTTAATCTTTAAAAATGTTAGAGTTCCTGTTGCTAATATGTTAGATAAATTTGCCACTGTTACACCCTCAGGAGAATTTAAAACTTCTATTGAGGATCCAGACAAAAGATTTGCTGTTCAATTAGCATCTTTATCAGGAGGTAGAATCATTTTAACTTATTATGGAGCTATTACATCTTTAAATGCACTTACTATTGGAATAAGATATGCTGCAATAAGAAAATAGTTTGGATTACCTGGAGAGAAGGAATAAAGTATTCTTGAATATCCTCTTACCTAATTAAGATTAATTGTTCCTTTGGCATCTACATTAGTTTATATTATAGCTGCAAAGGCTATTAATAATCTTTGGGATACTACTTAAAATAATGTTTTTAATCCTAATAAAATGGCTGAAATTCATGCTTTATCAAGTGTTTTGAAGGGAAAATTTGCTACTTTTGCTAATAAAGTTATTTTGGAATGTAGACAAATTTTAGGTGGTCATGGTTATCATTCATTCAATAGATTAGGAGTAATGTTATAAGATTAAGATATAAATAATACATGGGAAGGAGATTCTAATGTATTAATATAGTAAACTTTGAAATTTTGTATGGATTAAAAAAATAAGTTTGTTAATGATTAAAAACCAATTTAATATCATTCTCTCAAATTTCTTGAGACTTTTAAAGTTAAATCAATTAAATTTTAAAAAGATGAAGATTATTTATGTCCAAAAAATATTCAATATCTATTAGAATATAAATTAGACAAATAATTAAATGACTTTATGTAAGATTTGACAAATAACTTAAATAATAATGATATGTTGAAATCTTGGAATCTTTCATTTGCATTCAAAGGATAATAAATATCAAATTCATATGCTGATCTCTATTGCTTTTAATAATGGTAAGAACTTAATTTAAAGAATGATTCTGTTTTAGAGACAGCATTTCAAATTTGGTGTTTGACTTTATTGGAAAATGAAATTGAACTCTATAAAAATAATGGTATTCGTTTATTTTAAATATTAGAATTTAACATTTCAGATGCTACTGTTAAAAGATTATTATTAAAATTCAGTAATCAGCTTAAAGATGAAGCCATAGGAATTATTGATGCTTTAGCTCCACCTGATGAAATCTTAGGTTCCATTTTTGGATCTAGTGATGGAGACATTTATAACAAATTTCTGTAAAAAATTTACAGCGGAAAGAATACCTTTTAAAAAGTACCTTGGTGGGAATAAATACATAACAAATGATAATTATTGTCAATTATATATTGATAATAATAACAAATTTAATTATATCAAAAACTCTTCTTTTTTTAAGTATTTTTAATTAATATCCCCATGTATTTTGAATTTCTTTTGATTTTTTATATTTTATAATCAAACTTTAATTCATAATCATAATTTCTGCAATTATTAGTAGATGTTAAAATCACTTGAAATTATTATTAATAATAATTATTGAAATAAAATATTAACAACCTTTAATTAGAATAGATTAATCATTTATTAAAAAAAGATAATTTAAATATTGATATATATATATATATTAAGATTATGCATTATTGTATTGATATTTTAACTCATTAACCAATTAAGGCAGATGCAGTCTTTGAGACACTTAATTATTAAATATTATTATTACTATTTCCAGTTTGATGGTAACTTTTAGGTTCTTCTGTAATATCTACTAAGTCTATGAATTCTGCTTTCAACCAAAATTAATCTGAATTTGCTTGTCACATCACCTCTATTCTTTTCTAAATGCTTTCTGATTTAAACAGCCTTCTTAATCAAGGCATATAAGTCTTCAGGAATTTTAGGAGCACATCCTAATAATATTGAATAACAAATACCTCTCTTTTTAAGGATTCTCAAAATCTTTTATCCAGTTAAAAATCTGGTTTAAGGAATACCTTATTGATCTCTTAAATAAACACCAATTTATGAAGCATTAAGACCTGAACGAAATATTAAGAATTAATTAAAACCTTTCTTTGCTAAATTAACAATTTGATCAAGGATGGATTTTGAGGATAATGTCAACCATTTTGGTGCTTTTCTCTTATATGGAAGGGCTGAGCCAGATATACCCTTTCCCTTTCCCTTAGCTTACATACGACCCATGAATTAATTTAAGATTTAATTTTATTTAAATTTTGTTTAGTCATTTCTTTGGTTTCTGCTTTCTCCATGTTTATCATATGATCAAAATATAAGTCTTTTCTTTCCTTTAATACAAGCTAAATTATTTTAATATCATTCTCTATTCTCAATTATAATAGTTTACGAAGTTAATTATTTTTGCAATCCATAAAGTAATCCTATTTTCATAAACTTTAAGAGGATATTGATCGATATTTAAATTACTTGATTACTTTGATTAAACTAAATTAACTTAAATAAATTACTTTACTTTTATGATTGATAGCAAATATAGATTTCTAATTCTCAATATCTACTTATATTTATTTCTACGTTTCACTTAAATGCTTGAAATTTGAATTGTTTATTAAGGGCCTAAAGTTTCAAATAAGTCTGCTTATTGATTTCCAATATTTATTAATCTATTAATAATTTACTATCTTCATAGCCAATCATTTCAGTTTAGGTATGATTATCTCGAGTGAATTGACCAATAAATTGGAATTTTTGAATAGAATCATTTAGCATAAACTATAATTCATTGTGATCTATTGGATTATTTTGCTTATTTAATTTTAAAAATATAAAATACTAATATTATAAATTAGCATAAGTTGATTCAAATTATGTATAATGTTTTAATCACTGTTTTAATGAAAAAAACGGCTCACTACTTATCCCAAGAAAAACAATCATGTAGACTATTATAGCCAAATAAGCTATTCCACTAAAGAAATTTGATTTAGGGTCAAAGTTTTTAATCCACAAATATACAGGTATGCTGATACATGAAAAACCAAAGCAGATTGTTTGTACACTATAAGATAATGAAAAAATAAATGATTTAATTTGAGGAACTTCGAATTCTCTTATAACAAATCTACAAATTATGCAAATGAATATTTAAAACATAAATATTCCAGCAGCTATCATATAGATTTCCTTAATTTGTTTTTTATTATCTTCATCTGTTGCTGTCTATATATTGTCTTCTAATAGTTCTTTATTCAATGTGTAATTATGTGAATAGATTGAAGTTATGGACATGGAAATGAGGAAAATTAACAATGAGTTTAATGATTACAACAATGGCTAATAATAATACTTCATTTTTTCTTATCTGATTATAATTCCCCAGGTTGTAATCTAATAAAAAAATATTAGAGATCTCAATAACAATTATATCCAATAACATTGCTAAACTTTGGAGTATCCCTTTTTAGTTTCTCTTTTCAGATAGAACACTTCAAAAAAAGGGTAAGAAATGCAACAAATTTAGTTGAAGCAATAAGTTATCCATTCTGATGCACCACTTGTAAAATCTGCATCAAATAAACTAATTTAATATAGGGAAATATGTACTTTTCATCCATTGATATGTACTCCTGACTTGCATCAGGTACTTCATAGTAAATCAATAAAAATATTAGAGTATTCAAGAATATTTTACCAACAAATGATATTATGAGTCTATATTGAATGTCATAGTAATGTTCAAAGTACGAAAATTTATAAAATCCATAAAATAATCCTAATACTATTGTTGAATAACAAGCAATTGTTGGGAAGAATAGTCCTCCTTATTCTGAAGCCATTAAATTATGAAATTCAATGTAAAACCATCGATTAACCTTTGGTAAGCTGTCTCCCAATCTTACGATTATGTTAAATAATCCAAGGGTATTTATTATTAAATTACAATATATGAATGAATTGTAGATTTTTGTTGAATCTTATTTGATTATATGGGCATAAATAGGGTTACCTTCTTTTTTGCATATTTTAATAACCAAATAACATGGTATTAAAATTAAAAATGAGAGCAACCAATATATGATCACTGAAATAATCATTTTTAAAGGATTATCAAATGATATATCAATAAAAAGTTAGTTCATATTAGGAATCAACATAGTATTAGCCATATAAATTACTGCCAATATGGAAGATCCAAATTGAAAGAAATTCTCTTTTCTATATTGCACCACTTCTATTGTTTTGTCATCATAAGTCATCGATGTATAAGAACCTAGAGTATCTACATCTTCATCTGATTAAACTTGGGTTTTTGATTTCATTTTATTATTTTATAACTATTCATATTATATCATGCTTGACATATTTCAATTTAAAGCAAATTTATTTTGCCCAACTGTATCTAGAAAATACATCATTTCTTCCAATTCATCTGATTTCTTAAATTGAATTAGTAATTTTTTCTTTGAATCCATAACTAATCCAGGAATTATAAATTAAATCTCTAATTCTAAAGGACTTCTAGTTGTCATTTTCATTCCATCAAGTGGATATTTGTTTTCTGGCCTTGAAAATCTAGTTGGTTTACCATCAAAAGTCAAAAAGTAATGATCAACTGTAATAATTATCCCTGTTTCTATCCAAGTCTTTCCTATAGTTCCAACATCTCTTTAAGCTGAAAATTATTTAAGAATTAAAGGATGAGATAATTCAGCATATTTATCAATAACCTAATAATATTTTTTTATTTTTACTTAGAAACTTTGAAAGTATTTAACTAATTCTTATTATTATTCTGTCTGAATAAATTCTAATTCCTATTTTGTTAGTACAAAATCATGTGAATATAATGTCTATACTTCTTATTAAACCTTAACTCCATTCAATGCTGCAATAATTGAATCATTTTAAGGAATCTTACCATACACATTCATGATTTGATTTTAAAATTCCATTAAAGTATGTGTGACCAAATCTAATCTTTATACTTCTAATAATTTTATTTCATTCCAACTATTTAATAACCATGTTCCAAATTCTCTTTAATAAATTACTACTCTTGAGGCAGCCTAAAAATATTAATTAGTTGTAATTTACCTATTTATACTTTAATTCAGCTCTTAAAAAGTCTTTTTATGGTTTCTTTCCTTTGATTGTCATATTTTAGTACATTTTATCATATTTATTAAAATATTTAGTAACTTCTTTATCTAAATCAGTCAATGTTTTTTTGAAACGATTATATGAATTTATTAAGTCTATTTTAATTTAAAATATATTGATACCTCTATTTTAATTTGTAAAATTGCTCATTTCTTATTCTAATCTTTCTCGTGTCTAATTTTGTATCCATACAATAAATATCTTAATCTAATCTGTCTATCTTTCCATAGCAGAATCAATTGTTCTTACTGCTTTAGAAAACTCAGGATAATTACATTACATAATCTTTCCATCTAAAGTATATATTCAAATATTACCAAAATCTTTAAATAACTTACTCAATTAAGCATTTTAAGAGTATTTTAATTGTTATTCTTCTTATTCAACTCTTTATTTCATAAATGAAACTAAAAATTTCATAGATTCATCAGATGAAGCCACTACTTTCTATAATCTTGCCCAAACAGAATCAACTAATTATCTATGTTAGAATATTTATGATGATCTATGAAGTTCAAAACTTTTTGTTTATTCAAATGCTTCGGTCTTTCTTTCCAATGCAGCCTGATGTACTATTCTCTTTGTTTCTGCTTTATTTATCATAATAGGTTATAATGGGCTGCTAATCTAAGATACGTTCTTTTTAATCTCTTCTGGTTTCACAACTTCTTATATAGCACCAACAGGTTGATTTTAATCTTATTCATCCTCTTCTTCAATTTAAAAATTTTGTTTTTTCTCATTATTCTACCTTGAGGCCACTTAATCAAATAGCTCTTAGTCTCTATTTTCAGGTACTTCATTTTAAACAATGCCTTCTTGTGACTAGTCGAATTAATCAGACATTAGTAAATTCAAATTAATTTAGTTTATTTATATTCAACTTAAAAATTTCATCGTCATTTATATAATTAAAGTTAATAACTATATTTAGATATATGAGTATAAAGGAATACATAGAATAATGCTTTTTAAATAACAATTGATTATAAAATAATAATTTTATAATTTTTATGTTTGCTCAATAATCTAATAGATAGACTTTAAAATTTTTGGTTGCATATTCCCAAATTATAAGGAATCTTCCATCTTTTGTCATAGTACCATAATTCCATGGATGCAAACAATCTATTGGTGAACAAGCGACTTAATATTGAAGTTTATTTTCTTTAATAATATAAACATATTGACTGTGTTTTAACACTAAAACCTAATTCTTTTAATTATAAATTATAGGGAAAAAGCATTCAACCTCTGGATCTTAATTATTTAAGACCAATCGCAAATCACTTCTTTCAACAAACTTAGAGTTTTGCATTTTAAGAAAATGTGTTTAACCATTCTTCTTTTATTAGAACAAAATTGTTTCATCTCCAAAATAACTAATTCTATAACAAACATCGTTTATTGATTTATCAACAACATATTTAAATTCCCAAAGTTAAGAATTATTTTTCTCCCATATAATAATTTATTTATCACTACTAGATGAAACAAATTGATTGCCTTTAGAATTTAAACTTATACTATATACTGGTTTTGTATGTCTATCCAATCTATAATTTTCTAGGACAGTCTATAAATCATTATTAAATGAAATTATTTTAATTGAGCCATCAAAACAACCTGCAATAAATTAATTTTCATTTTGATTCAAAACTAAACTTAAAGAATAACTTGAATCAATTTTAATATTTTATACTGGCTACCATTTATTTTAACTAATTTCTTTCCACAATTTTATAGTTTCATCCTTACTTCCAGATATAAGTAAATTTTCTTATTGAGAAAAAACTAAACAAACTACTTAATCTATATGTCCTTGCAAGTTGGTATTAGTTTCTAATAATTCTCCTCCATAAAATTTCCAAAGTTTAATATTTTTATCAGCTGCTGTAGCTAATAATGATTCATCACTATTAAAAGCCAAGGCATTACATAGTTAATCTTCTTTTTTTTCAAAACTTACTTAATAAGTAATACTTTTCATTTTTTTATATTAAAAATGCTCATAATTATTAGCATTTTTTATAATTTTATATGCCATACCTTATAAATTAGAAAATTTCTTTATTGTCTATTATACATTCTGAATACCTAAAGATACCCTTCCATCATTATTCTCATTTATTGAGTTTATTTCATAAATATCAAATGCTAAACTTTATTATATTAATTCTTCTTCATCCATTTCTAAATTATCAATTTCATCTAAAAATTTATACTATAACTTTTATGTCTTATAATAATTTAAATTATCTATCCATTAGATGCATTAATTAATTAGATTGTTAATCTGTTTTTGTAAGTCACTAGTAAGAGTACGTAAATTCTCAATATATTTTGCAATATCTTATATAAATTGTTCTGCAACTTTTTCTGTTTGATTATAGCATAGTTACTTTACTAGTTCAATTCTCTCTTTGGCTTTAGTTATATAAACCAAATTTGGAGGATTATTAAAGAATTCTATGCATTTTGAACATAGTAATCTCTCAGACCCTCTCTTTGAATTATCTTTTATAATATATTCAATTTCTGTGTTTTAGTGCTTATTAGTACAACATAATTGACCAAGATTTTCTTACATTTTAACTTTTTACTGCTATTACCCTTACATTTTAATATTTATATTAATTTAATAACAAATCAATAATAAATAAAAGGAAATAATCTACTAAACCATTAGAATTCAATAATCCTATAGATAATTAAATCAAATATAAAATAGTATAATCTCATAAATTTTGAACAATTTATAGAAAAATTAAAATTTTTACAATATATAAGTAAATTTAATATCTCTCTGTCAATTCTTTATGTTATGATTATTCTTATGAATATACGTCATTGCAGAACTTATAGATCCATCTACAAAAATATATTTTGAAGGATTAAGCTAAATATTTTTCATTTATGTAATATATAAAAAAAGAATCGTTATATTCAAAACATGATAAAAAATTGCTACATTTCAAATTAAAGCAGATAGACAGATAGAAATATCTCTTTTAGAGGAAACAGAAGTAAACATCCCTAACAAATCTAAATCAACTAAATCCTTCTTTAATTGTAATAATTAATGTGTTTGTTTGATCATAAATTCATATATATTTAATTTAAATAAAATTAAATAATGTGCAAAATTAAATATCTAATTACAAATTATTAATTTGGATATACTTTTATATTTAAATATTCAGCTTAACTCAAGACTATCTAATTACTTTTAGTATGCTTCTGCTTCATTAATTTTTTCATTATTTTTTAATAGTTTCTCTAAACAAATATTTATAATTTTAGAACCTCTTTCTTAATTAAATTATTCTTAAAATGAATCATTTTATATCATTCCATAATCCAAACATGCTACTGCTTCTTCGATTAAATTCAAATCATTTTCTAATAATTTATAGATTCTTTACTTATAATATTTAAATACTCTTTGCCCATCTATAAATAATAATTCATATTATGCTTATTTCTTATTTATCTAAACCCATCAATTAAATAAATTCATTAAGTTTATCTTATTTAATTAATGCTTAGGCTATTCTTATTATAAAATACTAACTTTTTTCTTTTTAGCAATAAATTTCTTAATTTTTTTCTTAGCATAAAATTTGTAATTGATCACAATATTCAATTATTTCTTAATATCTTTATAAAATTTTTAGGCTTTTAACTATTAAAATTTAATTAATACTTGTTTATTTATAATAAACCTCATAAGCATGTTCAATCTGAAATTTATTAACAAAAGAGTCAACCCTTGAAAGGATCTAATTTCCACTTGATTATTCAGTAGCTTTATACAATTCTAAAGAATAATCTAAGATGTGAGCTAAAAATTTATATAAAACAGATTACTTTAGTTTGTCAAAGAATTAATTTATGAAAATTTGATAGAAGAAATTTAACTATCACAAAAATCTATAATTTCTTAATGATTATTCTAAGAGGCTAATTCCTCAACTAAGTAATTTTTATTATTTTTACTTTTTTTTCATTTTTTCAAAACATAGAAACTCTTGATTAATTTACATCTTGAAGTTTTATGAATTTTATTAATAGTAATTAATAATAATAAAACTTCATTAGTACATTATAAATAATTAATAATGGCTTTTTATGTTAATAGAAATACTTAAATTTAATATGTTTAAAAGCATTATAAATTGTATATTCGATAATAGGAAAGTGAGATAAAGAAATANATTCTTATGAATATACGTCATTGCAGAACTTATAGATCCATCTACAAAAATATATTTTGAAGGATTAAGCTAAATATTTTTCATTTATGTAATATATAAAAAAAGAATCGTTATATTCAAAACATGATAAAAAATTGCTACATTTCAAATTAAAGCAGATAGACAGATAGAAATATCTCTTTTAGAGGAAACAGAAGTAAACATCCCTAACAAATCTAAATCAACTAAATCCTTCTTTAATTGTAATAATTAATGTGTTTGTTTGATCATAAATTCATATATATTTAATTTAAATAAAATTAAATAATGTGCAAAATTAAATATCTAATTACAAATTATTAATTTGGATATACTTTTATATTTAAATATTCAGCTTAACTCAAGACTATCTAATTACTTTTAGTATGCTTCTGCTTCATTAATTTTTTCATTATTTTTTAATAGTTTCTCTAAACAAATATTTATAATTTTAGAACCTCTTTCTTAATTAAATTATTCTTAAAATGAATCATTTTATATCATTCCATAATCCAAACATGCTACTGCTTCTTCGATTAAATTCAAATCATTTTCTAATAATTTATAGATTCTTTACTTATAATATTTAAATACTCTTTGCCCATCTATAAATAATAATTCATATTATGCTTATTTCTTATTTATCTAAACCCATCAATTAAATAAATTCATTAAGTTTATCTTATTTAATTAATGCTTAGGCTATTCTTATTATAAAATACTAACTTTTTTCTTTTTAGCAATAAATTTCTTAATTTTTTTCTTAGCATAAAATTTGTAATTGATCACAATATTCAATTATTTCTTAATATCTTTATAAAATTTTTAGGCTTTTAACTATTAAAATTTAATTAATACTTGTTTATTTATAATAAACCTCATAAGCATGTTCAATCTGAAATTTATTAACAAAAGAGTCAACCCTTGAAAGGATCTAATTTCCACTTGATTATTCAGTAGCTTTATACAATTCTAAAGAATAATCTAAGATGTGAGCTAAAAATTTATATAAAACAGATTACTTTAGTTTGTCAAAGAATTAATTTATGAAAATTTGATAGAAGAAATTTAACTATCACAAAAATCTATAATTTCTTAATGATTATTCTAAGAGGCTAATTCCTCAACTAAGTAATTTTTATTATTTTTACTTTTTTTTCATTTTTTCAAAACATAGAAACTCTTGATTAATTTACATCTTGAAGTTTTATGAATTTTATTAATAGTAATTAATAATAATAAAACTTCATTAGTACATTATAAATAATTAATAATGGCTTTTTATGTTAATAGAAATACTTAAATTTAATATGTTTAAAAGCATTATAAATTGTATATTCGATAATAGGAAAGTGAGATAAAGAAATAGACTCATTTGTTTAATATAGGTATTATGAAATGAATATAGCGTATAGTACAAATAAACTTATTAAAATAAGATTTAAAAAAATTAAAAAATATTTATTGACGAATGGTGAAAATGAATGTCTTGAATGATTGCCTCCGTTCTATTGTGAATGCTGAAAGGTTTTAGTTGTTGTCCTAACATATTTAAGATAAGGAAGAAAACAAGTGTTGATTAGACCTACATCAAAATTGGTTGTGAAGTTCTTATAAGTTATGCAAAGACATGGGTACATTGGTGAATTCGAAATTGTTGATGATCATAGAAGTGGCAAGATTGTTGTTGAATTATTGGGTAATAAATAACACAAAATGTTAGGACGCATCAATAAATGTGGTGTAATATCACCCAGATATGATGTTACATTAGGAGAATTCGAAAGATGGGCTAATAACATTCTCCCTGCCAGATAATTTGGATGTGTTGTACTTACCACTAATGTTGGAATTTTAACACATGAAGAAGCTAGATAAAGACACATTGGAGGCAAAATCCTTGGTTTCTTCTATTGATATCATTAATAAACATAGTACAATAATATTTATATTTATATATGTCAATTACTCAATCTCTAGCTGGTTAAAGGTCAAAAGAGTTTTGATGAAAATAAAAAACTATAAATCTAGAAATAAAATAAAAAATAAGAAAAAGTAAATTAATAAAACATAATTAAATATCAGATTAGCAGGAAAAGTTATCAAAAGCATAAACATTAATGNTTTATTTATAATAAACCTCATAAGCATGTTCAATCTGAAATTTATTAACAAAAGAGTCAACCCTTGAAAGGATCTAATTTCCACTTGATTATTCAGTAGCTTTATACAATTCTAAAGAATAATCTAAGATGTGAGCTAAAAATTTATATAAAACAGATTACTTTAGTTTGTCAAAGAATTAATTTATGAAAATTTGATAGAAGAAATTTAACTATCACAAAAATCTATAATTTCTTAATGATTATTCTAAGAGGCTAATTCCTCAACTAAGTAATTTTTATTATTTTTACTTTTTTTTCATTTTTTCAAAACATAGAAACTCTTGATTAATTTACATCTTGAAGTTTTATGAATTTTATTAATAGTAATTAATAATAATAAAACTTCATTAGTACATTATAAATAATTAATAATGGCTTTTTATGTTAATAGAAATACTTAAATTTAATATGTTTAAAAGCATTATAAATTGTATATTCGATAATAGGAAAGTGAGATAAAGAAATAGACTCATTTGTTTAATATAGGTATTATGAAATGAATATAGCGTATAGTACAAATAAACTTATTAAAATAAGATTTAAAAAAATTAAAAAATATTTATTGACGAATGGTGAAAATGAATGTCTTGAATGATTGCCTCCGTTCTATTGTGAATGCTGAAAGGTTTTAGTTGTTGTCCTAACATATTTAAGATAAGGAAGAAAACAAGTGTTGATTAGACCTACATCAAAATTGGTTGTGAAGTTCTTATAAGTTATGCAAAGACATGGGTACATTGGTGAATTCGAAATTGTTGATGATCATAGAAGTGGCAAGATTGTTGTTGAATTATTGGGTAATAAATAACACAAAATGTTAGGACGCATCAATAAATGTGGTGTAATATCACCCAGATATGATGTTACATTAGGAGAATTCGAAAGATGGGCTAATAACATTCTCCCTGCCAGATAATTTGGATGTGTTGTACTTACCACTAATGTTGGAATTTTAACACATGAAGAAGCTAGATAAAGACACATTGGAGGCAAAATCCTTGGTTTCTTCTATTGATATCATTAATAAACATAGTACAATAATATTTATATTTATATATGTCAATTACTCAATCTCTAGCTGGTTAAAGGTCAAAAGAGTTTTGATGAAAATAAAAAACTATAAATCTAGAAATAAAATAAAAAATAAGAAAAAGTAAATTAATAAAACATAATTAAATATCAGATTAGCAGGAAAAGTTATCAAAAGCATAAACATTAATGTATATATAATACAATAATATCAAATTAAATAAAGAAAGCAATAATTATATGATTTATTAAATTAAGCATTAAAAAACTTGATGAATTAGAAAATTCATAAGAAATTTAATCATTGGCAAAAACATTTGATTCTTTATCATTTTTGTATACATCAAAAGTAGAAAGCATATGTTTGTGCAAAGATCGTTTTTTTTTCTTTTTTTGATAAATGCTTGGTATTTTTAAGGGAATGGATTAGTCATTATAAACTAAAAACAGATTATCCTAAAAATTCAGAAAGTCAACAAAGTTTTCATTTATTAACTAAACTTAGAATGAGAAAAAGATATTGATGATAATGCATAATTTTAGGGAATCAGTTCTGAGATTATTTAAAAAATGGATCATTTTTTGAACAAAAAGCGAAAATGTTCAATAAAACATATAAAAAAGTTATATCAAATGAAACAGGTATATATGACCTAAATCTAAATTTGCATTTGATGATAAAAACATAATTAATTTTAATCTATACTAACACAAAATAACAATCAAATAATTTGAGTTGTATTGAACTCAAGTAAGTTGAAATTACTAACATTAGAGATATACAACAATAAGGATAGAATTGGAATTAATAAAATAATAAAAGCAATTATAAAGATATCAATCTTAAATAGATTAATCTTGAATTTTAAGGAACATAAAAATCTGTGAATCAATTAGCTAGTTTTGCATAAATCTATATGCTAGACTAGAAATATCAATCAAATTATAAGATGTATTAGGAGAAATTTAAAGAATCAAACGAAGCAACCTTTAGAATGATAATAATTTTAATGTGTGTGTTTTTATCATTATTTTCCTTTTCTATTTTGAACTGGAGCTTGATTGCTGACAGCATGTTCTTCAATAAGAGATTCACCAACATATTCGTTGACTCTCTTTTTCAAATATTCATTAACAGTAGCAATCTTTTCTCTATAAATTAGAAGTGATTCTTCTAATAACTAGTTTTCTTCATGTCTTTTGTCTTTTTCTGAGTTGTATAATTTCTTTTTGTAATTGTATTCCTCTAAAGTGAATATAGATTGTAAATTACCTTAAGTTAAACTTAATATTCTCATGCTTTAATCTTAAAGTTCTTTCTTTTTGGTTAAGATGTCTGAGGCTAATTCTTTGTCATTTTATAAGGAATTCAAGAATTTGGCTTTAGCATCATACTCTTATTTTAAAGATTCTTATTCGGCCAATAAATTAGTTTTGAAATCGGCAAAATCATTAGCTGATTGAATTTCCTATTCTTCAAGACTTTTGATTGTATCTCTTAATTTTTCAATTAATTATTAAATAATTCCTACAATATCCTTTTCTACTAATGAGGCTATTTATTGGCCGTTTCCATGCTATCCTTAAAAAATTATCTTTTATATTTTGTACTTGTCTATGCAAAAGAAACTTCTTCTTCACCTAATTTCACAAAATCTTAGACTGCTTATTCTTCAAATAGATTAGCATACTTGCTCAATTTCTCTGCATAATCTCCAATATGGTTCTTTTCTATTAACGTGCTTTATTTGCTTTGTGCATCACTTCGAACCCAATCAAGAACAGAAAGTGCATTCTTATATTCTCTTAATGTATCAATGAATAAGGCATTGGCTTCACATCTTTATTCAGCTAAATTTTCAAGCTTAACTTCATTTGCCTTGTATCGCTTGTTATTCCAATTCAAGTAATCTGTTGTTTATTGGATTTTAAGACTTTAAGTTGAAAGATAAACAATTACTCGACAGCTTCTAAGTCTTATTGAGCTGCAGCAGCACTCTTAGAATTTACATTAACAATTCCTGAGAACTCATTGATGTCTTTCAAAATGGCTTGTTCAAATCGTTAAAATGTAAGATCAGCTTTGTCTTGAGCTTCAACATTAGCCCCTTGAAGATCTTCTAATAAAGTAAGCACTGATTATATGGCATCCTAAGAACTCATCACATTTGTTTTAGAACTAAGCAAATTCAAAAAATCTGTATTGATTTTCTTAGGGCTACAGAAAACACTCTGACTTAAAAGCAGAATGACTAATACTCCTGAAATACTTTTCATTCTTTTTGTTCAATAATAAAAATATTTATTTAAATACCGTTTTTATACATTAATATAATCGAACATTTGTTTCATAATGAACAGAATAGACTATCAATCTACATATACTATAGGAGTTCATTTATATATCATTAAAAATTTAATAAAAAAAGATAATATAAGCTATTAAAACAAGATGAACTATTGAATTTTATGTTTTAGTGTTTGAAATAATAAATATTTGATTATAAATAATTTAATAAATTAAATAGAATGTAAAATAACTCCCATATTCAAAATTAGTTGGTGATTTTGTCAAAATATTATAATCAAAAAGAAGTTTGTACTATTTATTTTTTAAGAAAATGATTATCAATTTTTTAATTTCATTAATTATCAAATATAATCTATTTCAATAGAAAGTAATTGGTATATGTTAATAAATTCAATATTCAATATGTAGAATCACTAAGAATAATAAAATAATAATTTTATATAATATTTTTAATTAATACACGTAAGATGGTAATTATCTCAGCAGCTATATGTGATAAGAATGGAATTTTGTATATAGGTAGATAATTTTAAGGAATTACAACAAATGAATTAAGGGAAGTAAGAATACTTATATTTACATTTAGTAAGTTCGTAATTTTCCTAAATTGATTTCACCAACTTAATAACATACATTTATTGATCATGAGAATCAAAGATATATATATACTCCAATTGATAACATTTATATAGTTTTGATTACATCAAAAAATAGCAATATAATTGAGGATTTAGAAGTATTAAGAATATTGAAGAATGTCCTCTCTGACATTTGTTAATAAAGTATAATTTGTACTTAAATATAGTTAGTGAAGAGTCAATTAAAAAGAATAGTTTTGAAATACTTTTAGCTATTGATGATATAATATCAGCAGGATTGAGAGAAAGCACAACAACAAGTTAAGTTTAAACAGCTTTGGAAATGGAAAGTTCAGAAGAGAAGATTCATTTAATGTTAACTAAAGCAAGAGTAATAGAAAAGACATTATAATATATTAGGAAAATGAAGCAAAAGAATAAGCTAAAAAACATTAAATGGAAATGGAAAGAAAAAGATAAGAAGAATTAGCTTAGAAAAAGAATTAAAAATAATCTAAAGCTATTGATAATGCATTCAAATTACCATAAAATGAAGGTATTTAAATAATATTGAATTTAGAAAAGGTAAATCCTTTACCAAAACCTGAAGAAATAAATGAAAATTTAAGTACATAATCATAAGTGATGCAAAAATCTAATGTGAAATCAGCTCCAAAAAAAGGCATGTAATTAACAAAGAAGAAAGAAGCCACTTCATTTGAATGAATTTAATATTAATAATGCAAATAGCTATAATGATTTGTAATTTCAAATATCTGGCAATGGTTAATTACATCCTGCCCATTAATTCATTACTTTCTTACCATCCTTTATATCAAACCATAAATCTCCTATTATTCCTATGTCTCTTAAAAATCTACCACTTGGTGAATGGTAATCTTAATAAGTATCTGTATCATCAGTATCCTAAAAATTATATATATAAATGTTATACTTCACTATCAGGATAATTAAGAGGAGGTGGATGAGTTATTCTCCAATGATCTTCATCTGGATATCTTTAATATAAAAATTCAACCCCTATATAAAATTAGAGGGTTAATTTTACAGAAGTATACAAATGGCATTGTAGCAATTAAAGCCCATGGCCACATTGGACCTCTCTTTCTAAAATGTTATGTTCTAAAGCTTTCTGTCTAAAAATCACAATCTTCAGATTCATAATCAAATTCATGGTTCACATCTGCATCTTAATCTTATTGAGCTGCAGTTAAATGATGTATTGGTTAACCAACTTATTTATTTTCTGGCTTTAATAATAAACTTGAATCATATAGATGATTTTAAGATAATGCTTCAGAAGGATTAAAAGGTTCCAATCTTCCTTCAAATGGCCATACATATGTTTTTGGATCAGGACAATTAATATGTTTAGTTGGAATTAAGTAATCAGGATTATGTTTTGGATCATCTCTCCAGTCATATGGTTTACTGTGAGCCTCATTATAATTCACACCTGGATAATACATATATCCAGGACCCTCTATAAATTAAATTGTAAAAATTACATTCAAAATAAGTATACAAATTTTTGTGGTCTAAAAAGTTAGTAATGGTATTATATTCAACTTTAGGTCTATTACCCAAATGTTTTGTTCCATGATTATTATTATCATGTCCATGATCTTCATGTTCGTGTCCATGATGATGATGATGATGAGCAAATGGATTAGGTACTCTTGTTGTATTAGCAAACGTTTAAATAGTAAACTATCTGAGTTGTTGTTTCAACCCTCTAGAAAGAATCATTTAATTATATTTATTTCAATATCTTAAATTTTGCAAAATATATTTGAACCAACATCAAATTAATCATTTATATCTAAAGTTCTACATCTTTTATTATTAATGAAGAGTTTTGATTAATATCATATATGATATCCTTTTAATATTTTATCATTTTAAATTATAATTAAATTTCAAAAAGATTAAATTTATTAAAATTATATATAAATTCATTTACTTAAAGAATAACCATGATTTTATGTGTTAATAATTTCATATTTAATTGGAATAAAGATTTTAAGGGTCTCTACTTTTATATTATCACTCTCACAATAATTTTAATAACAAATAGAAATAATAATTCTAAATTGATTTCTATTTTTTATCCATCTCCACATATTTATTTCATGATAATTCCAATATCACAAAATCCATCATAAAAATAGTTTTAATAAAACAATCCCTAATAACTACATATGATTTAGATATTTGATATTTTTAGCGTTAATAATATTTTTCATATAATTTGTTGTTGAAACATTTTAGAACTTCATTTATTAAGATGGTTTTTATCTTTTATTAGTAGAATAATAAAATTTTCTTTGATTCCTATTTTCTCTTGCTTGTTGTGTAAAAGAAGTTAATATTATTCATTTTTACTAATTCAGTTTCCACGTTTTAATAGGCTTATAATAATAAATAAAATAGTCATCTTAGAATTTGATCATGGGCTTATTCTAATCTATTTTCTATATTAGAAGTTTATTAGACCTTAATTTTTTGAATATTCTTTATTTTTTAATTATAAATTAAAATTTTTGGTAACCTCAAATTTCAATTAACAAATTGGCATGTAATATTTATAAATTAATTAATTACATTACAGAATTAAACAATTTATAGATAGTATTTTCATTAATCTTGAATATAATTTTCCTTATTTATTTTATTGATTATCATAATAATAAATATTCTTAAGATGACAAGATTCTTTATAAATAATAATTTTGATATAATAATTAAATCAATTCTTAAATTTATAATTATAATTTTCTATCAATGTAAAAATACATTAAAGAATGCTAAGCATTTATAATTACAGCTGGAGCAGGTATGGGAGTTGATTCTGGTCTACCTGATTTTAGAGGAAACAAAGGTTTTTGGAAAATTTACAGACCTTTTGAAAACAAATATGGATTTACAGATTGTGCTAATCCATAATTCATGAATTATAATCCAAACTTATTTTGGGGATTTTATGGTCATCGATTACATATGTATCGAAATACTATTCCTCATGAAGGATTTTAGATACTCAAAAAAATATGTTTGAATAGAGATTACTTTATTGTAACAAGTAATGTAGATGGGCAATTTTAGAAAGCTGGATTTGATACTAATCATATTTATGAAATGCATGGATCAATTCATAAATTCTAATGTACACCTTGTGATAAATTATATGATGCTAATTAGTTTCAAGATTTATCAATTGATTTAGAGAAATTTATAGCTGCAGATCCTTTGCCTCAATGTGAATGCAAGCATTTATTAAGACCGAATATTTTGATGTTTGGTGATTGGGATTGGATTTCAACTATTTATGATTAGTAGGAAAAACGATTTTTTGAATTTGTTGAGAAATATAAAAATAATAAGGTATGTGTAATTGAAATTGGAGCAGGTACTTCAATTCCAAGTATTAGAAATTTAGGTGATAGAATTCTTGATAATATCAAATAATCAATTATGATTAGAATAAATCCTACAGAAGCTAATATTCCAAATGATGATAGATATTTTAGTATTTAAAAAGGGGGTTTGGAAGGCATTAAAGAATTGGGAGCATGAATTTATTTTGTTTTTTATATATAAATTTTTAATATTTAAATGGCTTATTTCGGAAATAATCCATAGCGTGGAGAATTACAAGAGCTTTATGCTGATTTAAATGACTTGAATTTTGAAAAGAAGAAAGAAGTAATGATTAACAACAATAGTGTAGGCTGTTAAGAAGGTGATTGCTTATATGACAGTGGGTAAAGACGTATCAGATCTATTTCAATCTGTTATAAAATGTTTAGAATTTAATGACATAGAGATGAAAAAATTAGTAATGATAAATTATTATTTCTTTAGATTTATTTATATATTGTTAACTATTCTAGATAAAAGCCAGACGATGCTATAATGGTGATACAAAATTTTAGAAAAGATGTCAGAAAATCAGAGAATCCTTTAGTAAGAGCACTAGCCATAAGGACTTTTGGGTGCTTACGAGTACCAAAACTTAATGAATATTTAATAGAGCCTCTTAAAGATTGTATATAAGATGATGATCCTTATGTTCGTAAAACTGCAGTTTTGTGTGTTCCAAAAGTAGATAGTAATTTAATTACTTTAGGTATATGAAGTGTCTCCTGAAATATGTCCTCCTTTATTGGAATTACTTTAGAAACTATTAGAGAAGGAATCAAATGCTTTAGTTTTAGCTAATTTGATTTAATCAATGAGAGAAATTGAGGTTGTTAGTGGCAAATAAATTATTATTTTGAATTAGAAGATCATTTAAAAGTTGTTATTAGCTGTTGATGAATGTATAGAATGGGGATAAATATTTATATTGGATTATTTAGCCACTTATAATCCATAAGATTCAAAATAAGCTGAAATAATTATTGAAAGAACACTACCAAGATTGAGTCATATAAATCCAACTGTTACATTCTGTGCTGTTAAGGTTATACTCAAATATTTGGATTTCTTAGATAATGGAGATCTAGTTAAAAATCTATGTAAGAAAGTGGCACCTTCATTAATTTCTTTGTTATCTTGGAATCAACCAGAAGTATAATACACAATACTTAGAAACATATCTTTGATTTTGTAGAAGTTTCCAATCTTATTTGAAAATGATGTTAAAGTTTTTTTCTGTTCTTTTAATGAACCTTACTATATCAAATATGAAAAATTAGATATTATGGTTAGAATTTGTGATTCCAAAAACTTTGGACAAGTTCTCAATGAACTTCTCATATATTTAAATGAAGCTGATCCTCATTTTGTTAGAAAGACTATTAAATCAATTGGAAAAATTGCTATCACTTATGACAAAGCATTAGATAAGTAAAATAATACTCTAAAATTATAGAGCAGTCTCTATTTTAGTGGAATTTGCTAAAAATATTCAATAACCAACAGAACCAGTCTAAGAATTACTTATATAAATGCAGCTTATTTATAAAAAAAACAAATAAATGTATAAACATGAAGAGAGTCTAAAAATCATATATTCTATTATTGATTATGCAAATGAACCAGAATCAAAAGTAATAATGTTGTTTATTGATAATATAGAGTGCATGTGCATGGATAGTAGGAGAATTTGGAGAATTTATACCTAAATCAGTTGAAAAAATGAAAGAATATATTGATAATTTTTAAATGGAAGACAGATTAGTTTAACTTTAATTACTTACATCTGCTGTCTAATTATATCTCAAATATCCATCATAATGTGCTATTCTAATATAATAATTGATCACTTCAGCTAAAGATTCATTTAATCCTGATGTTAGAGATAGAACCTATATATATTGGAGATTATTATCAACAGACCCTGAAATTGTTAAGAACTTAGTTTGCTTTAATAGTGGAACCTTCTCCAATTTTTCAAAGGATCTACGCTTATGGGAAACATAAGATTTAGTTTTGGCTTTGGAGAATATGGGTAACATCAGCAATCTATTTCATAAATTACCACATTAATTATATAAAAATATCAAAATTAAAGTCAAGTATATATTTATTTATTCAAATTTTAAAGCAATTAATAGGAAGTGAAAATTTATAAAGGAGATGAAAAATTAGAAAGTTAAGTTAAGGAGTAATAAGATGAAAATTAGCAAAATATCTAAAAGGAGTAATAATAACAATAAGATATTGATCTTTTAAATTTTGATGATCCTCCTGTTAACAATAATAATAATAATAATAATAATAATAATAATAAAAGTAATAAGACAGATGTATTTGAGCTTATTTGAATATCTATTAATATAAATTGCCATTTATAAAGACTCATAGATTAATTCAATATTCTCTTTTGATATTAATCAATAATAAATATTAAAAACAGATCAATTCTCTTCATCTTATGGCATTAATTTATCTACATTATATTTCTATTTCAGTTCTATTTGTATAGCATTTGCTTAATTTGTGAGTTTATCTACTTCTTGTTGAATCAAGTCAGCTTCCTCATATTGCTCTTCCTTTAATTAATAGAAATGATTACTTGAGCATGATTTGCGACCTAATCTTCTAATTACTTAATTTATTATTAAAGATCCTAATATATTTATTTTTGATTTTCTATATAACTTTAAATTTGTTCTTCACTCATTTCAATTACATTTTCTATTTATTATTATTAAATTTATTCTTTTTCATTTGAATCAACAACTTATTCAACTACTTCATTTTCTATTTGATTATTTTATTCTTAATGTTATTCTTCTTCTTAATTCTCTTATTATTCTTCATTTTCATTAATATTATTGATAACTTCTTCTTAATGATTTTATATCTAATCTAAATTATCAGTTGAAACCTTTCTTTTTGCATAAATTAAATCCTAATATTTATTAAATAATTGTTCTAATTCTTTTTTAATCTATAATTAATTAAATTTATAATAATACATCTAATATTAATGAAGATAATCCATAATAATCTATTTATGAAATCTCTTATAATTTTAATTCTAAAACAAAATATCTGCAAATTTCTGTATTTTATTATAATTATTAATATTGATGTTATCTAGACACTAAGGTATCCTCTATCTCATCAATTTCTTTTAGAATTTAAGTTTCTATATTTTGATTCTCTGAAATTTTTTCTTCATATAAAGAAATCTATCTTTAAGCTTCTTTTATTTATTCATTAATTTATGCAGCACCCTTAAAATTTTTATTCTATACTAGTAATGCTTTATCATCTATCATTTTTGGTAATTTTTTTTAAAGTTCACTTTTTTTATTTAGAATTTCATGTAATTGAGATTGACCCATATTCCTCTTGTAATTTAATTCATCAATTTACCTTTAAACATATGCTAATTCTTTTAATGCTTCTAAACTTGCTTTTTTAGCCTCTTAATATTTAAATGTTACATCCAATTCTTATTAACATTATTCAGGTACTGAATTAGCTTTTCTAATAAGTTCGTTTCTTTTCTCTTTAATCTTTTCCAATTATTCTGATAAATATTCAAGTTTATTCTTATATTCATGTTATTTTCTTAGACTATCTCCTTCAAGGGCTTCAATCTAGGCTCTTTCAGTTGCTAAACTATTAAGTTCATCATTAAGTTTTGTTCTCTTATTTTATACTTTACCTAGTTACAAATTAAATTTTTATTGAACTTATTAAATTTTTTCTTTTGTTGAAAGTAAATCAATATTCACCTTTTATAATTCATTTTTTTTTTGATTTAATAATAATTACAATTCTGCAATCTCAGATTCTAAAGTTGATTTTTTATTAACTAATTGATCTTACTCTATTCTATATTCCTTTGTTTGATTATCCATTATTTAATTTAAGTGTTGTTCTTCTTCATCCAAATGTTTACTATCAATCTCAGTATGAATTTATTATATTTTCACTCTCTCATTTTCTTCTTCTATGTGTTATTGTAATTTCTTAATTTAGGCTTACCCTTCAAACCTATATTAATCACTATACTTTATATGTAATCGTTCAATTTCTTCCAATTTTTATTCAGTTTCTTAATAAAAAGGATATTCTTCACCTCTTATATTTTCTTTCTCATCCTACAATTTAGAATACTATTATTCTTCTTATTTAATTTAATTATCTATTTAAGTAATTTTATCTTAAATTTATCTTAAGGATTATTCTATTTCCTCAGCTCTCTCAAATTATTCCTATTACACACAAACTTATTACTCAATAGATAATTGTGTAAGTCGACTATTACATTCTTATAATTTTTATTAATAAGAAACTATATGTTTTTCAATTTCTTATTGAGATATGTAAATTTGAGCTTTCTTAGAATTGACTTCATTTTGGAAGTATTCCAATTCTTCCATAATCATTTGATGTTATTTTACATAAGAATTATCAAGTTAAGGATTAATAGTATTTGAATTTATTTAGCTTTTATTATTGATAGAACTCTTTGTTGGTGAAATAGGATGTGTTGTTGATGAAAATAAATATTATTATTATTATTATTATTATGATTATTATTATTATTATTATTATTATTATTACTATTATTATTATTATTACTATTATTATTATTATTACTATTATTATTAGTATTATTGTAATTATTATTAATATTACTATTATTATAATTGTAATTATTAATATTATTATTATTCAATCTCCTTTTCATTATATTCATTTTATTTCTATAATACTTTTTTTTAATCCTCATAAATACTTTGCTCTTTTGGCTATTTAGGAGAGTAATTTTATTAATATGTTTACTCTTACGTGTATTCCTATTATCTATTGATTTCTTGCACCTAATTTTATTTAACTTAAATTCCATAAATAATCTGACTTTCCACCTATTCTTATAATGATTCATCTGTAGGAAGTGTTTGCTCAGGCTATTTTTTTTTTAAAAACCCAAAGCCAGTTGGTTTCTTTTTGACCTCTTCTACATTTATTTTAACTTCCAATTTTTGCTCAACATTGGATTCTTCTTATGGAGTAGGTATTTCCACCTAATTAAATTATTGCTTGTATGCATCACTCTCTGGGGATAAGATATCGGAATTAGATTAAGATTAAGTTAACTATGTCTGGTACGATTAAGGTTAGGACTATTATTATTGTATTTCTTATGTTTAAGGAGGTGGTGCCTTTACCTTAAGACTTCCTTTGAACATTGATCCTTTTGGAGCTGGTTGCTAAGGAGGAGCAATTGGAGACTACTATTGAGCTTACTATTATTATTAGATAGGAGGTGGGGGAGGTGCTGTTGATTATTGGGTCTGCTCTTTCTTTTTAAACATTGAGAACATTTAATTTATTAATAATGGAATTTGAAAGAATCACTGTGACAAAAAGGGGAATTGAGGTGTAATAATAACTAAAACAAATACTTGGAGTAAAGGAAAGTAAACAATTTGGAACAATAAGAAAGAAGGGTAGAGTAAAAATAGTATGAAAATTTGATAGAATATAGTGAGAATCTTTTGAGAAAATAAAAAGAGCAAGAAATCCATACATCTAGTTTTTTAGAGCCTATATTAGATAAATAGGAATAGATGAATGTGTTTCTTACAAATAGATTCACTAATAGATAGAAATTTATAAAAAAAGAGATGGAGAAGTTTAGTTAGAAAAAGACAAAGTTTGGTGGTAGTTTCTAGAGTGAATCTCATCGTTCGTTTAAGTGTTTAGATTTCAGATAAATGCAATATCTGAAAAGTAAATATACTGAGGGGTTCTTCTTAACGAAATAAAACCAATAGTTTAAAATGCGTAATAATTTTGTATTTGGTAAGTCTCGAAACCTTAGGGGTAGGAGATGCATTAAAGAGAAGATAAATAGTTAGAATTTAAATAGGCGAAATTTGAAAGAATGTTAAGGAAACATGAATAATTTAATTTACAGACATAAAGTATTCCAACTTATGAAAAAGGAATTAAAAGAGAACCAAATTTTATGAGTGAGTTAGTGAAATAGATGGAAAAAAGAGAAATATCTTCTAGAGTAGAAAGTATTAAGGAAATAAACTAAAAATTTGGAAATAGTGTGGATTTACTAGAATATAATTGTTTTAGTAAAGAAAGATTTTAAGAAACTATAAGTAATGTGCATTTTAATAAATATGAGAAATTATGGAAGACACTTAGAGTTGGAAAGTGATTGAAAATATATATTAAAATTTAAAAAAAATCTTTTTAAATTATGGGCAAGAGAATTAGAAGTGAGTTATATTTGTTTATCATTGTTAGCATAAAGAAAGGGTAAGTCAAACAGTGTCTTTAAAGCACATTAAAACTAAAGAGTTGGAAGTCCCTAATATAGACACCTCGATTATGCTGAAAGACATGGTTATGTTAGAGGTGTAATCACTGAAATTATTCATGACCCAGGAAGAGGTGCTCCACTTGCAAAAGTTGAATTTAATGATCCTTACAAATATAAAAAACAAACTAAACTCTTTATTGCACCAGAAGGATCATACACAGGATAATATATTTACTGCGGTACAAAGGGTATTTTAAATTGTTTCTAACATATACTGTAGCTTAATTAGCCACTGGTAATGTATTGCCTATTGGATAAATTCCAGAGGGTACAGTAGTTTGTAATTTGGAGGAACATCCTGGAGATAAAGGTGCTTTAGGAAGAGCAACAGGATGTTATGCTACTATTATAGGTCATTCTGATGATGGAACCTAAACTAGAGTTAGATTGCCTTCTGGTACAAGAAAAACTTTAAGTTCACTTTGCAGAGCTACTGTTGGTTTGATATCTGGTGGAGGAAGAACTGAAAAACCTATTCTTAAAGCAGGAAGACAATTCCATAAATATAGAAGACTTAGAAAAGTATGGCCTAGAGTTAGAGGTGTTGCTATGAATCCAGTTGATCATCCTCATGTATTTTTTATTATTTACTCTTTTTTAGGGTGGTGGTAATTAATAACATATTGGTCATCCATCTACTTTGTCTAGATATGCTCCTCCAGGTTAAAAAGTAGGTCTTGTAGCTGCCAGAAGATCAGGACTTCTTAGAGGTGGTGCTTAACTCAAATAAATGGACGAAGACTTGGCTGCTTAATAAGCTAAAAAATGAAATCTATTTATAATTTTTAGTACAATAAAGTAATCAATTAAATTATGAATTTTCTTTTTTCAAATGATGATGATGATGGAAACTTTGATTCCTTTATTACACAGAATTTGAAACCAGAGCCTCCTAAAGAGAAACAATCAAGCAAAAAATTATAAACTGCTTTCAAACCTATAGAAGTCAAAAGCTAATTTCAATTCATTTCCACTCCAAAACTAAAACCTAATAAAGATCAAGCCAAAACATCCCTTTGGAATATTATGTTACAACATTTGAACTATACTAATCAAATAAACAATTTCAATCAAGAAAGATCAAAATTACCTTATCCTTTGAACTCATTTTTTCTGTCTAAAATTTAGGAATATAGAAATCAAAAAATTGAAGCAATCATATGTGAAATTCATGATGTTGAAGAATTTGGAGATACTACTGAAATTACACTAAAGGATCAAAGTGGTTCATGTAAAGCTTCAATATTATCCGATCTATTCACAGATGATCTAGATGATCTAAATCCTACAATTTATAGTCCTGTTAAGAAAATATAAAAAAAGGAGGATATCTTGGTTTACTTAGAAAATGTAACAGTCTTCTCTCCAAACGAATTTTAGATTACTATTATAATTAATAGAGCCAACTTAAAATTAGCTATTTTTTGATTATTTTATTTATTAACTGAATGGATTCTCTTTTTGAAACCAACCTTCCCTTTAGTACTATCCCTATTCAACAATATAGCATAAATCAATTGACACATTACTCTAGAAATTAATCTCTTCAAAAATCTGATTTCTCACCTTAATAAATACTTTTGGATTTAGGAGAGATGTGCAATGTCAGGTATCTCATAATTGAAAATCTTAAATATGGATGCGAAATCTCTGTGTTAGTAAGTGAATTCAAAAATGGCCCTTTTATAACTGTCCATAATAAAGAATTCATTCCTTAACATAAATAAAGAAGAATTAAATTATCAGCATTACCATGCAAATATATTAGAATCATAATTCACAAAGGAGTACACATCTAAACAAATTAAATCAAACTGATTGGCTCTACAAATGAAAGATTGGCAGAAGAGGGATACTTTAATGACTTTAAATTATTAGTAACAAATCCATCTAGAATAATGTATTGAATTATAAAATTTTGCTTATTTATAGTATTCTTTTATATTTCTTTATTATATTCATATTCTAATTCACTATTTTAAACTATTATTGTGTAGTTTTCTAAATATCTTNGGACGAAGACTTGGCTGCTTAATAAGCTAAAAAATGAAATCTATTTATAATTTTTAGTACAATAAAGTAATCAATTAAATTATGAATTTTCTTTTTTCAAATGATGATGATGATGGAAACTTTGATTCCTTTATTACACAGAATTTGAAACCAGAGCCTCCTAAAGAGAAACAATCAAGCAAAAAATTATAAACTGCTTTCAAACCTATAGAAGTCAAAAGCTAATTTCAATTCATTTCCACTCCAAAACTAAAACCTAATAAAGATCAAGCCAAAACATCCCTTTGGAATATTATGTTACAACATTTGAACTATACTAATCAAATAAACAATTTCAATCAAGAAAGATCAAAATTACCTTATCCTTTGAACTCATTTTTTCTGTCTAAAATTTAGGAATATAGAAATCAAAAAATTGAAGCAATCATATGTGAAATTCATGATGTTGAAGAATTTGGAGATACTACTGAAATTACACTAAAGGATCAAAGTGGTTCATGTAAAGCTTCAATATTATCCGATCTATTCACAGATGATCTAGATGATCTAAATCCTACAATTTATAGTCCTGTTAAGAAAATATAAAAAAAGGAGGATATCTTGGTTTACTTAGAAAATGTAACAGTCTTCTCTCCAAACGAATTTTAGATTACTATTATAATTAATAGAGCCAACTTAAAATTAGCTATTTTTTGATTATTTTATTTATTAACTGAATGGATTCTCTTTTTGAAACCAACCTTCCCTTTAGTACTATCCCTATTCAACAATATAGCATAAATCAATTGACACATTACTCTAGAAATTAATCTCTTCAAAAATCTGATTTCTCACCTTAATAAATACTTTTGGATTTAGGAGAGATGTGCAATGTCAGGTATCTCATAATTGAAAATCTTAAATATGGATGCGAAATCTCTGTGTTAGTAAGTGAATTCAAAAATGGCCCTTTTATAACTGTCCATAATAAAGAATTCATTCCTTAACATAAATAAAGAAGAATTAAATTATCAGCATTACCATGCAAATATATTAGAATCATAATTCACAAAGGAGTACACATCTAAACAAATTAAATCAAACTGATTGGCTCTACAAATGAAAGATTGGCAGAAGAGGGATACTTTAATGACTTTAAATTATTAGTAACAAATCCATCTAGAATAATGTATTGAATTATAAAATTTTGCTTATTTATAGTATTCTTTTATATTTCTTTATTATATTCATATTCTAATTCACTATTTTAAACTATTATTGTGTAGTTTTCTAAATATCTTTCAGTTTATATAATTATATTTAAGTTTTGTATCTGTTTTTTTACAATTTATTTATCTTATATAAAATTATTTGAAATTACTTTATCATGATCAAGTAAGTAGAGAATACATTAACCAACAAATAGAAAATTATTAAATTAATCTTAATTAAGAAAAGAATGAATATTTTAATATGATTCAATGTAGATTATTTAGAATAAATTCTCTTATAAAATATCATATCCATATTTTTTTTTAAATAATATAGATTTCTTTTTTAGATTTTTATTATTAGTTCTTTCATAGATTATTAATAGCATTTAATTATTTATTTTTATTTCTAATTAATTTCTATAATTGTATCACACAAATTGTACTATAAATATGCATTTAAGAATATAATAATATATTTTCACTTTGTAATTTATTGGATATGTATGTTAATCAAAAATTATTCAATGCGTTTGATTTATTCAAAAATTCTCGCAAAAATAATAATATTAAACATAATAATGTAGAACAAGTAATGAAATATTTATTTTATTTCTAATTTTTTTTCCTTAAATAATTTTATGATCAATTAAAAGATTGGAAATTAGCAAAATATCAATATTTAAGATTGTTAAAAAGGAGAAATAAATCCTGATTAATAAACATCTAAAAATTTAGTTACAAATGGTTTTAAACTTTAGGATAACCTTTATCCTTAAATGATGTATTTATTAATTGATTTACATAAGAAAGAAAATTTGTTTAATACAAGCTTATTGCAGAATGATAATATAAAAAAAAAAATATAAATGTATGAAAGCATGGGCAATTAAAAGAGGAAAAGTTTATGAAGAACTCATTTAAACTGAAGTGTCTTATTTGGCTGATTTAAAAATTGTTCTTGAAAAAGTAATAAAAAATGTTAAAGAAATGAAGCTATTATCAGATATTGAAATATAAAAAGCCTTTAGTAATATAAGTTAAATATATGATTTAAACAAAGCCTTTTTAAGAGAATTATAAAGTAATAATCATATATATTATCAGAAAAGCTAGATATATATCATAATAATGTATGTGTAGGTCATATATTTTTAAAGTATATTCCTTTTTTTAAGATGTATTTTTAATATTTGTAGGAATTTAAAATCGATTAAATTTCAATTTTAAGAAGTTAATACTAAGAATTTGACAATTTCTTAAACAATTTAGAAGAAGCCTGTGTGTTTAAAGGTGGTGATCTTAATTCATTTTTGATAAAACCTGTATAAAGATTACCTAGATATTCTTTATTAATAACAAGTGTAGTAAAATACACTTGGAAAGATCACCCTGATTATTAAGATTTATAGAAAACTCTAAATTAGTTTGCTTCTGTAACTTAATAAATTGATTTGCTTATAGGAAAGTATGTTAATTAATAATATTATATTTTAGCATACTTAAAAATTAAGCCCTTTTTGAATTGTAATATAAGTTTTTTAATTTGATTAATGTACAAATTGTTGAATCTACTAGATAATTCATATTGACAGAATCTTTATATATGATTAATTAAGGTTAAGAAGAACAAATTAATTTATATTTATGTACTGATTTAATAGTATTGACAAAAATGAGTGAAGAAAATTAAAAATATATAAAAGAAGGATTGATCACTTATTCATTTTTAGATTTATAATCTTATTATAAAAATGAATAAGTTCCTTCTTTAAATTTTACTTTAGTTGCAGGTGAATAATAAATGATGTTTATTTGTTAAGATTAAGAATAAAAAATAAAATTATAATAGGAATTTGATTCATTATTTGCTAACCTAAAAAATAATGCATCCCAAAGAAGTGCTAACTGTAAAAAGAAAACATAAATATACTCTCCAATTAAAGTTTAAATAGTATCTATAACAAGAGGATAAGAACTTTTGAAATCCTACGCTTAATACAATATAATAGTAAATTATGAATTTTAATGATTAGGTAATCAATTAATCATAAAGTTATGCAATATAAACTAGACATAAGGTTTTATTAAAATTGTAGAAAAAGCTTGAAATTGAATTTCAATAGGAATCAAAATCTGAGACAGGATCTAATATTTTATTCTAAAATTGGATAAAGAATAGATTAAATAAAGAATAAAATGATGGAAGAAAGGTTATAGTTCAAGAGTTTTTAGAGACTTTGTTAAACTCTCATTTAGTAAAATCTAGGCCTGAATACTTTCTACGTAAACTTAAATTACCATAGAATTTTTACATTAAGCATGATATGTTTTAGAGTAATAACAATTCTCTAGCATAAAGTAAAATAGAATGAACTGAAAACCAGTATTATCAAAGTTTTCTATTATAATTTTGTTTTTTATTTTTTATAATGGTTTTCAAATATATTATTTAAAAAATAACATAATCTTTTATCATATGTATATTATAATAAATATATAAAATTGGTTACAAATCACAATCAGTGATTGCTATTATTTTTCATGAATGACAATTAAAGTTCCAAATTGCTTTATGCAATGGATCTCTAATATTCGGATGACATATATTCACATTATTATTTGTGAAATTTTGTTGTATGATAACAATTCTGTTACTGGAAATATTGAGTAGCAAAGAGATGAAACTAATAGAATGATTAAATATAATTACTTTAATTTCAAATGATTAATCAGACAGATTTGATTCATTTAAAAGAAAATGTTCATAGTAAAGTTCATCTTATGATAACATAAAAAGAGTCATGGCACATCTTTTTTATGTTTCTGAAAATTTATTCTTTTCAATTTGAGTATAAATATATGCAAGCTCTTCATAATCTTAAGTATATTATGCATATTTGCAAAGTCCTTCTAGGTATTGATCACATAGAGTTCCTTTAAAACATCTAACAATCTTTAATAAATATAATATATATATACATCTAAATATTTTTTGAGGTAATCTATATTTTGAGTATCAAATTACCAAATTTCATAAAAGTAATTGGCAGCTTTTTCTAGAATATTTGATCTTAATGAAGAATATTTAATTTAATTTCTATTATTTTACTTTTTCATTACTAATATATTAAACATGTTTAATACTTTTGTTGATTAGTTAGAGTTACTAATCTAGTATTTTAATGGTTTATTCCATTATATTAAAATACTCTTCTTGTGATTCTGTCTTTAGACTTTTACACTTTGACTCTAACGATTTAAGAATTTCATTATTTTTTTTGACTTGCATCTCTTGTTATTGAATTTGATTGAGACACTGATTTTTATTTAGACAGGAATCTAAGAATGAAGTTTATCGAAGTAGCGTCTCTTTACAAGTAATGAGCTTCGATAACATATTCTTCAAACTTAGTATTTAAACAAACTTAACCATTATTATATGATTGTAATTCAATTAATTTAAAAAAATTAAATATATGAATTTTTTTCTATGTAAAATTTTTACCTTTAAATATATTAATAATCAATAGTTAATTCTTCATATCCTTTATAATATGATGCATTAATTAATTATTTCTGATGAACAAAAATTATTAATTATTCTATAAATAATAATTCCTCATTGGATTATAAAATATTTAATTATTCTAATTGTATGTTTTGCTTATGTGGTCCAAGAGGAACAGATCAAAATGAAAAGAGCTAAGATACTGTAAATTAATAGATAGCAACCAGTCTATAAGCAAATATGAAAAGAAAATCAATGAAACCATTTTTGAATCTAGATTACACTGCAAATGTAGAAAGTAGTATAAATTAATGTATTGTAATAAATAATTGTAGAATTTACATAAAGATGTGATTAATCAAGGGAATACAAAGAATATACAGATTTTATAAATGGTTATTATCAAGGAAACAATCAAAAATCATAAATCTAATTACCTAATGACACTGAACTTTCAGCCATCAAATATGAAGTATATATTTATTCAATTTAGGAAACAAAGACAAGTAATGAACAAATGAGACTTATACATCTTGGAGATGGCTTATTAGCTAAAATAATAAGTATTAATTAAGCTACTACGTCATCATGTAAAGATTCGTTCTCTCCATTTATTATGAAAGTATTAAATGAAACAAAGAGATTCTATGATGTATAATACTAATATTAAACCTAGATTAATCCTATTTAAGAAGTGTAGTTTGTTAAACAGTTAGTTCCACATTTTATAACAGAATAAACTTATTAAAGAGTAAAGAATGATAAATTACTTATTGCACATGATCCAACAGGAAGTTTTTTAATCAAACATACCCTTTCAAATTAAGAAGTTTTTTACATTTAAGAATCAAAAACATATAGAAATATATTAAATTATGCATTGGACATATTAAAATCTTAAGATAAAGTGAATTATATTTTTAAATCAGATATTACAGATAAATTGGACACTGTTATTTTAAGTAAATATATATTTATAATTTAACAGATTTATTATATATTTAAGACACACCTATTTCTTTTGTTATTTAAGAATATTTAACATTGGCACATGATATGATCATAATTTTATCTCCAAAAATTGATTATCATGAAATGGTATCATAGTTGCGTTAAGGCATAAAACAAAGGTATTTAATATTATTAAAACTTAAGTGCTTAATCTAGATTATATTGTAGTATAGAAATTTAAAATGTTTACAATGGTGGTTAATTTATGGCAAGAATTATTTATTATGGAGAAGTATCATAAATTACTTAAAATCAATAATTAAGTTATCTTTATGAATGCATATCAAAAAACATGAAAAAGATTTATAAATATAAAAAATTAATTAAAGATCTTAAAAATTAGGTTGGAATTATGAAATTAGTTGATTTATTTGCTCTTTATGGTTTACTTAATAATTAATCTGAAGAAAACTTTACTAGATTTTATTAGCAAATGAAATTAAGTTATTTTTAGAATTTCTAATCTTCTGTATATAAATTTTAAAAAGCTGAAAGCAATTAATCATAGACAGAATCAGAAAATGAAGATCCTGTACCTTTGGTTTAATATGGAAGCTCTATTATCTTTTCAGAAATAAAACTATATAGTAAAAGTCTATCTACTCATGCTGCTAAGTCTGAATATGTTCATTTTCATTCTTAAAACAATAACTAAAATAATAATACTAAAAATAAAGCATAAGATAAAATAGAGTTGACAGAATCTTGTATTTATAAATGATTATAACTTTTTGTTTATATTATAATTATTTTTTATATTATTTAATCTTTTATAAGAATTAAGAAATTCATATTTATTTATATTTACACAATAATGGATTAAACTGGTTTGAGAGCAGTAATCTTAGGTGCTTCTGGAGCTGTTGGTAGAGTAAATAAATAATAATATTATAAAAGGAATTAGTAGTAGAATTAACCAACTCTCCAAAATGGACTGAAGTTGCTGTTATTGTTCGTAGAAAATTAGATTAATGGGATACATTACCAAGTAATTACCATTATGAATATTACAAATAGATAAACACAAATTAAAAATAACACAAGTTGATAACTTAGATATCCTAGAAAAGACAGATGAATGGAAGAAATATGCTAATTATAATACATTCTTTTGTGTCCTTGGATCTAGAGTAAAAGAAGGAGATGCTCAATTTACAAAGGTAGATCTCACTTATCCAATCTATGGAGGTCATATTGCCAGAGCTAATGGTTTTTATTTTAGTTTAAATAAATAGCCATTCCTCATTATTCCTTATTAACATCAATAGGGGCTGATAAAGGATCTATGTTTTTATATACTAGAATCAAAGGACTTGTTGAAGAGGCTTTGACAAAATAATCATTTCCATATTTAACTATTCATAGAGCAGGTGCTATATTAAATAGAGTAAATGATGAAAGAATTGGTGAAACAATTCTAAAATATATTCCATTTATTGATAAAATTGAATGTAAAGATTTAGCCAAAGCTTTGAGAGTGGATGCTGAAAAAGCATATGTTGATTTATAAAATCCAAATTAGAAGGATTTTACTGTTAGATTAAATACAAACAAAATGCTATTAGATTTTTCGAAATAATGAGATGATATATTTATTGTAAACATTTTATGAAAATAAAAATATAATGTTATCTATTTTGGTTTTAAGTATTCTATCATTTTTTAAGTGAAAAAAGTCTCCCAATTAAACCTGTATTATTATTAAAGTAATACATTCCTGCCATAACTAATAATAAGACAAACATCTAAAATAGAAATTATATAATATACTTGCATCCAAAATTCAGATGAGAATAGAGTTTTCTTTAAAAATGATGATTATTTTTTTTGTTTATTTGGTTCAAGATTTTATTTTAAATATTCTTCTCTTTCTTTTTAAAATAATCATTCATTGCATATTCAAAAACCTCTATAAATATTAATCAATACTTCAAAATTAAATTTGCCTTAACCAAATAGTTCAGTAACTTATTCTCTACATAAACGAATTAATCTTATTATATATTTCTTATCATTTAAATTGATTTGATATTTTTAAGCTAATTCTTTGATTTATTCATCATTATCATTGTCAATAAAATCTAAATTCATAAAGAATGACATAGTTGAGACAGTTTCTAATAATCTTTATAGTTCTGATTTAGCTATCTTGACTTAATCATATTTTTTTTATTCCAAAATTTATGAATTCAAATTGATACTGAATAGAATTCAATTATTCTATAATATTTATTCACCATTTCTTTAACAATTTCATATTCTTAATGTTCTTATATTAATTAAGGCATGCATAATCTATATAAGAATTATTTTTGTGTTTCACTTTATTATTGAATCATATCTTCTGAATCTATAACATCACTTACTCCTTCTTCATATGAAACTTTTCCATCTTCAATCATTTTTTATTCAATTTCATCAATTTCTTTGGCTCTTTAAAATAAAGGCTCAATTAAATCAATAACCCATTATTTCTTTTTTTTTAATGCTTCCATAACTTTATGAGCATGTTCAACATAAATTTCTTTAGCATTCTCTAAACCCATTAATTTAAGAATTCCTGGACCTTATTTAAAGATATTTTCAACATTAGATAAACTAATAGCTTTTTCAATTAATTCCTTTGTTTTAATCATATCTTTATAATTTGACCATTTATCATAAAAAATGGCTTAAGAATACCTAAATAGATATTAAGAATTCTCTTTTTAGATTTAGCCAGCATCATCTAAGATCTTTCTTGCTAAATCAAAATGAGACATTTTCATGTAACAGACTGACATATTCAAATATAGACCATACATAATAGAATTGCACATTTCTTTATCAGCTTCATCCTTAATTTATAAATAGAATTATTACTTCGATATGTTCAATACCTCTATATTTAACATTTTTTCATCTGTATATATGGTCATTAATGATTTATATTATTTTTTGAATTATTTTTGTTCTTTCCTATACTATTTAGCAGAATTTTTCATTTCATCTAATTCTTTTTTTTCTTTTTCAGTTAAATTTGTTATATCTTGCGTTATTTTTTGTTCTCCTTCACTATCTTCTTCAGATGGTTCAATTACTTCCAAATATCTAAAACAACCAAGTGCTCTCTCATAATATCTAATAGCTTCTTCATATTCTTATTTTTATAATAATTTGTTGCCTTTGTAAATAATTATATAAATTACCCTTTTCTCTAAACTTATCATAAACAAAAAATCTTTAAGCAACTTCACATTATCTTAACTTTTTTGTATTTTCATCATCATGAAATAAAGTACTTTTTAAATAAATAGGATTCTGTCTATGATTGGACCTATATTGACAATTTTTATGAACTCTTACCTTTTTTAACTTCTTTAGAATCGAAAGCAAGCATCCATAATCCTCTTGCATCTAGAAGATAATTAAGTGGACTAATGTAATAAGTGTCATATTATTCTTAAAGATGAGCTAGTGGTGGATTTCTTTTTTTTTCACTTGAAATAAAAGGATATCCACCTTTAGGTTACCTTTATTTCTTTTCTTTCTTTTTTTCAGCACTACCATCTCTTATTTTGATTTCAGGTTGTTATTATATTTATTAGAATGGACATTTTGTTTTATCTGAATATTTATCATGACCTATTGGTAATTTGATTGTATCAGAAAAAGGAAAGGAACCAATTTCTATATCTTTTTTCTAAGAACCTTGATTACTTTACTTTGAATTCAAATATTTTAATTATTATGTATTTATAAGAGGGAGTTCTTGAATTAAATAAAAATATTTATTCATTGATCCATGTCGATCATTTTCAAAACTGTTCTAACATGTTCATTGTCATCATTATTTTATTTTTCATCTACTACTGAATTTGATTTCTTTCTCATTAAATCTTTCAAATCTTTTAATTCATCTGAATCTAAAAATCAATTACAATTAATTTTTACCTGTTCTTTCTTAAATTGAAATTAAAGTAGTTTAATAATGTTATCCTTTTACATTCTATTTACTTTCGTCAGAATCCTAATCGTATTAAAAACTATTTTGTAAATTGTGTCCCAACCAATGTTAATCACTACTATTACATAGTTTTTAATAACTAAGTGTGCTACTACAATTTCTTTACGAAGTTAATAAACTTTGATCTCTCACTTTAAAAGTATTTTAAACTATTCTATTTCTAGGAACTATCTTAAATACTCTAAATTATGATAATTGATCAATCTATCTATTAAATTTAATTTATTATATACCTTTTTTCTTAATTATTATGATAAAATGAACAATCAGTTTTTGAACAGTTTTAATTTATACATTATTTTGTTCTAAATAACATAGGATGATATTCTAATTCTTTCCATCCATGACATTTTCCACAATTAAATCCATCTTAACATCCATTATAATATTCTAAAATATATTCAGCTGTATTCCAACTTGGACATGGAATAGGATGATATTAATAAATTTAAGGTTTCCTTCTAAAATCTTACCAATTATGTGCATAAACACAAAGTGCTTTATCATGCTATGTGAGATTGAAAGGACACCAAACTGTTTTGTAATAGAACATAAAGAAATCATCGTCATATTCAAGGTTATGGATTAATTCTATAACAATATCTGTTTCAGAATGTGCGAAAGAGCAAAATTTTCCATAATCACATTAAGAAATATTATGAGGATAGTAGGAACAGAATTTTGTCTTATAATTATCGGCTCTATATAGTTACTCTACTCTATTGTGAGCTTTATTGCAATTATCTGCATATGGGCATTGTTGATTATTTTCAATATATGTACATAATTCAGCTGAATACTAAACATTAACTCTAATTTTTTACTATAATTAATACCTCTTTCTATCCTTAATATTATGATAAAATGGGCAATGTTTATGACTATGATTGCCAGGTATTTTGCAAGGTTGAATTTTAAAGAAATTTAGATCTAAATGTTCTACTTAATAACAAGACTGAATTGGTTATGAAAAATTCAAATTATAATGGGTCACATCAGTTGTATCTACTATATTTATATTTATTTACCTGTGTCACTTAATTTTGCATTTCTTTCTGATTTTTAAGTACTGTTCATACTTAACATTCCTTTTGGTACTTGCGGCATTTGTAGCTACTGAGAACGACAATTTCGGTTATTGTTTTACTTATCCCCATTATTGTATCTCTTTAAAGCTTTTCGTAATTAGTCTTATGGAGTATGCATTAATTATTTATTAACTTTTTAATGACGAATTCTTGTATTTATATTAAATCATGAGATGAAACATTTTTCAACGATGATTCAATAAAATTATTAACAATTATTATTATTCAGAACGTCATAGTCCATATTATAATATCTGAAACTAAAAATAATATTATTATATTCCTATATTTCTAAATATATTATTTTTAATAGAAGAATAGAATTCCATTTGGTAATGATTTAAATGGTTTAAAGATGAAAGGAAAAAATAAAAAATTTCATTAAAAGACTTAATTCTGACATACTTTTCTATATATTTTCTACATAGATTATTTAAATTAATATTGACCATCAATCTGTATTCTGTAAATAATCTTATTATTATCTAAACATACTTTATAGAAATCATAATATTGTAAAATAAATGTGTATAAGTTTATAAAACTAAAAAAACTATTCAAAATGATTAAAATCTCTCATATGAATATTTTTATATAGCAGTTAACAATTGAGTATATAATTTCATTAATTTCAAATTCAAATTTATTAAAACATGAAGAAATCCTTTAGAGAAGAAGCAATGCCTTTAATTTTTTACTCTTAGGAAACATAAAGTAAATTTTACTATACTACAAAAAGCTTACCAAGTAAATCCTGAAGCAATAGAGATTATTAAAAATATTCCAGCTCCAATAGGAATTGTAGGTGTAGCTGGAATGTATAGAACAGGGAAATCTTATCTGTTGAATAGAATGTTGCTCAATAGATCTGATGGTTTTGGAGTAGGTCCAACTGTATTGCCATGTACAAAAGGACTATGGATGTGGGGTAAACCACTTCTTGGATAAACAAGTGATGGAGAAAGCTGTTCAATATTGGTTGTTGATAGTGAAGGACTTGGTGCTCCTGATGAAGATTCAACTCACGATATCAGAATATTTTCATTAACTATTCTTTTAACTTCTTGCTTTATTTATAATTCTGTTGGCAGTATTGATGAAAATGCCCTCCAAAACTTGAGTTTAGTAGTTAATCTTACAAAAAACATTCAACTAAAAAGGTAATATGATATTTATAAGATTTTAGTGGTTAATAAACTACAGATCTAGAAGATCTATCCTAATACTTTCCTTAATTTTATTGGGTTGTTAGAGATTTCACTCTTTAATTAGTTGATCGAAATAATGAACAAATAACCTCTAAAGATTATTTAGAAAATGCATTAACATTATAAAAAGGTACTTCAGATGGAATTGATTAAAAAAATAAAATTAGAAAATTACTTTGTACTTTTTTCAAAGATAGAGATTGTATAACTCTTGTAAGACCATTAACAAAAGAAAGTAGTCTCTAAAATTTAGAGAATTTAGAATTTGATAAATTGAGACCTGAATTCTTTGAATAGGTTATTAATTTAAGAAAAAAGATATTAAATAGAATTAGACCAAAAACAATGAATGGCAAAACTCTTTCTGGTTAAATGTATTGTGATCTTGTTAAATCATTTGTTACAGCTATTAATAATGGAGCTGTTCCAGCTATAGAATCAGCATGGACCTATATTTGTAAAAATGAATGTCAAAAAGCAGTAGCTGAAGCATTTGATACCTATGAATAAATCTTAAAAGAAAATCTTCATAATAGATTTCCTATTTCTAATGAAGACTTAAAAACTTTTAATAGAAGTCTAAAAGAATAAGCTTTTGCATTATTCAAGAAAAAATGTGTAGGAGACTATGATGAATTTAAAAATGAATTATCAAAACGTATTAAAAATAGATTTGCTGCAGTTAAATAAGAAAATGATAGGGAAGGTTCAAGAATGTGTTCATAATTTATTTAATAAGAATTTTAACCAATAGATAGAAAATTGAAATTAGGTGAGTATCGATCATTTGGTGAATATGAAAAAGATATCAAGATGTTTTATAATTTTTTTATTGAAAATGGTCCAAGAGTTGGAACCAGAAATTAAATTATATTAGAATTTTTATAGAGAGCTTTAATTGAAGGATCCAATTTGTTTATTAGATAATATTCTTAAGAAACTGAAATGATTAAGAATGTAGCTTAGGAAACTTAAAAGAAATTAGAATAAGAATTAAAAGAAGCGAGATAAGATGGTTTAAAAGATAAAAATAATCTTTTAATGAAATTAGCTTAAATTGAAAGTGAGAAGACTGAAATTGAATTGAGAGAATAAGTTGCTAGAGATAATTTGGAAGAACTTAAAATATAAAAGGATTAAGTAGAAAGAGATTTAAAACTTGAGTCTGAGAATGAGAAAAATGAATTAATGAGATAAATTTAAGAATTGAAAGGTTAAGTTTTGAAAGCTGAAGAATTTAATAAGGATTTAGAAAGAACTACACTTTTTGGAAATTCTGAATTTGAAAAAGAAAGAGCTTTATTAGAATAAAAGATCACATTTTTTGAAAAATTAGTAAATGAAATGAATACTAAAGAAATAGATTATTAAAATGAAATAAAAAATTTAAGAAAAGAATATTCTTTATAATCAAAAGATTAGTAAAGTAAAGCTGATTAATCAGTTCGTTAATTATAATAGAAATTAAATGATATGCAAGAGAAATTAAATGAAATGGAAAATGAACTAATTGAAAAAGAAACTAATTTTGAAAATGATTTTAAGAAATTTGAACATAAAGAAAGAAGTCTAACAAAATAAAATTTAGAATTAAATGAATAAATTTAAACTTTGACAAGAGAATTAAGAGAATATAGAAGAAATGAAGAATAAGTTTAATTAATGTTAAAGAATGATGCAAATAATTAAGTTAATGAGATGATTGAAAAAGTATAAAATTTAGAAGATTTAATTAAATCTAAAGATGATTAATTAAAATAGACTAGAAGTTAAAGTGAAAAAGATAAGGCTTTGATGTAATAAAAGATGGAATTCATGGAAGTTCAATTAGATGAATATAAAAAGTAAATAGAAGAAAATAAGAAATCTCATGAAGCTATTATGAAAGCATTTGAAAATTCAAGTAATGAATCTACATATAAAATTGATGCAGCTAAAATGAATGAATTAAGAGAATAACATAAAAGAGAATTAAAAAATATTGAAAATGAATATGAAAATACAAAAAAGAGATTGTAACAATAGATTGATTAATTAAATGAAAAGAATAATGAATTAGAATTAAAGGTTAAATTTGAAACTGGAGATTTGATAAAGGAATTAGAAAATTTAAAAGAATAATTATAAACTACTGAGGAATAAAGAAACAAATTGTTAGAATAGAATAAAACATTAGATGGATAAAAATTATAAATATTGAAAGAATAAGAACTCAGATATTAAAAGAAAATTAAATAATTAGAATAAGCTATTGATGAATCTGATGCAAAAATTGCAAAAGAAGTTAATTTAGCTTAAGCTAAAGCTGAGGAATCACTAACTTAATTAAAGAATTTCTATGAAATTGAAAGAGAAAGACTTGAAAGAAGAATTTGTGAAGAAAAAGAAAAAAGTGATAAAAAGTTTTAAGCAGCTTAAGAGGAATTTTATCATAAACTTAGAGAGACTGAGTAAAATTATGAAGAAGAAATTGAAAATTTAAAAGATGACTTAAGAGATTAAGTTTAATAATATACAAACACTATATAATAATATGATCATGAAATTGCTTTGAAATAATAAACAATTGAAATTTTTGAAAAACATATTAAAGAAACTAAAGAATAGTTAATTTCTCTTTAAAATAATAACAATGCTACATTAGAATAATAAATGAATTCTTTTACAACTGAAAGAAAGAGCTTAATATAAAAGATTGATGTTTTATCTAGTTAATTGAATAATTTGTAGAAGGAACATATGGCATTATAATAGAAAAAAGATTTATTAGAGAATGAAAAAGCAAGAAAAGAATAATAATTTGAATAATCAAGAAAAGAATGGTAAGAAGAGAAGAAAGAATAACTTGAAAGATTAGAAGAAACTAAATTAAGATTATAAAAAATGAATGATGAATTTTTGGAAAAGAAAATTGAATATGGAAGAGAAACAGCATTAATTTAATAATAAAATGAGTTTTTGTAAAAGAAAATTGAAGATTTATAAAGATAAATAGATACATAATAATCAAGATTTGATGAAAAACTTAAATAATAAAAAAATGAATATTTAATTGAATTGGAATAAAAATTAGAAAGAGCATAAGAAGAGAAAACTACTATAGAAACTAAATATGAAAAGAATAAGAAATAATTAAAAGAAGTTGAATATTAATATAATAAATAAGCTTCAACATTGGAAAGAGAAAAAGCAATTTTGACTGAGAAATTGGGACATCTTGAAGCAAGAAAAAATGAATTAGAATCAAAATTAAAGGATGAAACTGCAACTATAGCTATGTAATAAGCATAATTGAGAGAATAAATTGCTTAGGAAAAGAAATAGTTATAATAAGAATTAGAAAAATATAAATAATTAAATTTATAATTAGAATAAGATAAAAGTGAAATTTACACTAGTTATGAAAGAGATAAAGCTTTATGGGAAGGAAAATTCTAATTTTTAGAATAATAAAAAGAATAAGCAAAATAAGATTTAGTAGATGCCTTAAAGAAATTTGAGATGACATTAATGCATTTATAAAGAGCTAGATCAAATGAAAAAGATGAGTAAGAAAATAATTTAAATGAATTATTGTTAAGTGTAGAAAGAAAATATCAAGCTTAAATTGAGGAAGCAAATTAAACTCATTAAAGAATAGTTTAAGATTATGAAGATAAAATTAGAAGATTATAAAAAGAAGTTAAAACTCATAAAGATAAAATATTGATTGATTAACATGGAAAAATTGGTAATTAATTATTATCAGAAAAAAAGTTTGCAGAGATGTTAGACAATGAAAAAAGGTTATAATAAGAAATAGAAAATATTAAATAAGATAGAGATTAAAAGATCTTAGATTATTAGAGAATGTTGGAATAAGAAAGAGAAAGTCTAAAAGCTAAAATTACAGAATTGGAAACTAAATACAAAGAAGTAGAGAGTAAAAGATCTACATTAATCTTTGAATTTGAAAAAGAAAGAGCAAAATGGAATTTAGATAGAGATCATTTAAATAATCTTAAAAATGAATTAACAGATTAATTAGATAGATTAAGAAAGAAAGAAGAGTTATTATTGAGAGATAATGAAAAGTTAAAGAATGAATAGAGAGCAACAAGAAGAAGTGTAGCTGCTCATAATATGACTAGTAATAATATTATGACAGGTAATAAATATAGAAATCCAATCAATAATGTTTCAAGTATTTTTTGTATTAATAATTATAGCTATTGGTCTCTAAAAATTAAGTCCAACACATTCAAATAATACTTCAACTTCATCAGCTAATATATCAGTACTCAAGAAAACTAATTTAGCTGATATAACTAATTTTGAAAAAGTTGTTCCTTAAACATAGCAATCATTTTAAAATAATAAATATTACTTTTATGGTAATTAATAAGGATAAAATGATGATTCTATCATCGGTCAAAGCGATTATTAGAAATGAATAATTAATAAAGTTATTTAAAATTAATTTATTATTATTATGATATTGTTTAACATTAATCATTCAAAAGATACTTAATATTTCTTGTAAATTCATTATAATAGCTTCTAGAAATAACAAATATAGAATAATTTATTTTAAATGAATAATTAAACAATTTAATTACTCTTATTATCAAATATGCATATATATATTTTCTATTAAAGCATCAAATAAATATGCAAAAGATTTAAACATTATTTATTTTATCATTTTCAAATGCAAAACAGACTTACAAAAGAGCTACAAGACTTGACCACAGGTAATCCTCTTGCAGGAGTGCAAATTACACCTGATCCTAATAATAGATTATTGTATAGATTCAATATATAAATCATAGATGGACTGCTATTGTTGCAGGACCAGAAGGCACAGCTTATTAAGGAGGAAAGTTTAAACTCTCTATCACCTTTCCAGAGAATTACCCTTTTAAGGCTCCCTTCTTTTAATTTTAGACTAAAATATTCCATCCAAATATTAATGAAAAGGGGGAATTTTGTGAAGATATGATAGAAACAAAGGTATTTTGATTCATTCAGAATTAGGAATAATGGCAACCAACAAAAACTGTTAAGTAGGTTTTGGAAAAGATCTTAAATATCCTCGGACAAGTCAATACTGATTAATCACTTAATAATTAAGCAATGGAGATGTATAAAAGTGACAAGAATAAATTTGAAGAGTTTGTAAGAGCTGAAACAAAGAAGCATGCTTCTTGAATTATTATTAGTATTATTCATTGTAAAACATTAATCTAAGACACTCATTTAATTTATTTATTTATACCAATTATTATTCATATAAAATATATATAAGTAAGTTATATTAATTTCTAGAAAAAAAGTTCTTTTTTAATAGTAAAATAAAATTATTTTTTGAATTACTTAATCTCGGAAATGATTAGAATATAAATTAAGAATGGAAAATATTCTTTTAAGAATTTCATCAATACATATAGCTTTAATAAGGCCATTCATCCAATTCATTAGTCTTAAAAAAAGGATACATATCATCTCAACGTCCTGCTATATTTAAGCTCTTAAAAATTTTTGTGAGATTGCTTCTGCCCTTTTTGCGGAACATTATTTTAGTATATAATTTATATGGAACTTACTCTACATAACCAAGGCATCAATTTAAAATGTAATAATTACTTCTTATGAATAGCAACTTTTACTAAGACTTTACTTCAAAACGAGTTAAAGAAAGAAGCATAGGTGAAGCATACTTTAGAGTACAATAATGGAGATATTTATTCAGAAATGGAATTTAAGAAAATGGAATTTTAAAAAAGGTTACTTTAAAAGAGGCAGCTGATTTAGTGTAAGTACCAAAAAAGACTTTAGAAGATTACATACAAATTTTTAATAAAGCTAAGTTACTTATCAATATTGAAGAGATTTCTGAAAGAAAGATGGGATATTTAAGATCATATATGAAAAAAAACAAATCAAAAATTAGAAAAGCTATGATTATTGAAAAACAAAAAATATTATAAGAAAAACTCTAAAAGTAGAATTAAGAAGAAGTTTATGAAAATATTTAACAAAATAAAAATGAGGATGAATTAACATTTACTTACCCAAATATCTAAAATAATCTACCTGATAATGGTGATTAAGTAAAATAAGGCTACTATTAAGATGATGATTGGGAATACAGTAATTAATTTTTCAATAAAATATGTCTAAATCACAACTTTGATTGATTATATGTATATATTTATAATACGTTAATGGTAATATTATAACCTTTAAATTCCTATTGATTTCATTATAATTTCTTATTTATTTATAAATCTTAATGTTCTAAAGTTTGAGCATTTAAATTTAAGAGATATAACACTCAAAAATTGAAACATGAATTTTATTATTAAAATAATTCTAAAAATAGTGAATTATAATTTTTATATTAAAAATGAATTATATATAAATCTCTTTTCATTCATTAATATTTTTTCTCTTAAGTATTAATTAATATCTTAGTTTAAGTTCTCAAAATGTAATTTTTTTATTCAATTATTGACTAATAAATAGAAATTTTTAATAGATTTATTGAAAAGGCATATTATTTCAAATCCCAAAATAAATTAAAATTAAATATATTTTTTGCTTACATCTTTTCTAATTCTATTATTAAAATGGTTTATTATGCAATTACTCTTCTAAATAAATTCTTATTTAAATAGTATCATAAATAATTAATCTGTTTTCAATATTTATTGAGATTAGTAATGAATAGATTCTCTTATTCAAAAGATAAATTATAATATATAATATTTATTAATGACAACACAATAGTTATAAAACCCATTAAAAGAGTCTTATAAATAATCTAAGCCTCAAATCAATTTAGATATTACAAGCTTAATACTATTATATAATAGCTTAAATTAAGAATAAGTAATTTTTTCAGAATAAGTGAGAGTATAAATCTTACTAGTCTAATTGATATGACTCAAGACAAATATGTTTAAAATGATATGATTACATTATGGTAATGTTCGATAGCTCAAATAAATACTGCAATCTTAAAACCTGTTAATCAAGAATAAAGATAAACATCAAAAATCACTTAGATTCCAAGTATGATCTATTCATAATTGAGCAAATCGATTACATATAATTTAACTTAGTGTTCTTTCTAATTATTAGTAAAAAAATAAAATGAAAGATAAAAAAACACAATAGAAAAATAAAATGAGCAATCAAACAATAAATTTCCAGTTTAACATAGATATTAGATAGATGATAATAAAAAATCCCCTCATACAATTCCAAAAAGATATAGAAGCATATCAAGCCAATATTCTCCTAAAAATCTTTAACATTATTTAAATCAAAAAGAATCAAATTTGAGAGTTAATAAAAAATGGTTATAAGTTTCACCTCACAAATAATCGCATAGTACATAATTAAGAGTATAAGCTTAATTGAATGCTTAATAAGTTAAATAAAATTTTATCGATAGATGTAGAACTACAACAGGATCTTTAGCATATAAACATATACTCATGAGTTCAAAATTTTCGAATTTCTAAGGATTAGAATATTGATGATTTTCATTTACATATATTTGAACATCATTATTATATCAACAAAAACAAGTATATTAATAAAATCAATCTTTAACAGTAATCTGTAGATGTGATTAAATAAATTTTCAAATTTTATAAATCTTATTTTATAATGTTACAATACATTTTATTTTAGTCTTTATGGATAAACTAATTATAGCATTATGAAGTAGTATAAAAAAATAAATTAAATGGTTATATTAAAGTATAAATAAATAAAAAATTAGAGAATTACTTTATTGATCTAAAATAATACGAATATTATTTTTATAAAATAGATTTTTTTCACTAATAAATCACAATAACTTAAAAAAAGTATATAGTTTTAAGATTATCATCTAAAAAAGCATAAAAAACCCAAATTTTTATTAAATCATTTAAATCCAAGTCAATAAATTTTATGAGTAAACTAATAATCCTCTTGCTTGAGTATAAATTAAACCTAATTATAAACATTAATTATTGTATAAATGCAATCTATAAATCTTAGAAGAATGGCTATAATTTCAGACCAGAAGATTTACCATGTCTATAGATAATTATTTTTTCACTTTTCAGAATTTTTCTTTAAAAATCCTTGTGTTTCAAATTTTAGATTAAAATATTAAATCTAAATATTACTGAAAATATATATATGAATAGAGATTTTATTGAAATATGATTATATGAATTAATTCTACATTTTGTATTATGTTAAGAATACCAGAGTAGTTAAGCAGGTTTATAAATAATTTTAATTATATTCAAATAACCTTACCTTTGATTAAAAAATATTAATAATTAGACATATAAAAAAAACAAGGAATAAAGTTATGAATATAATATAGCTGAAACAGAAACTTGCATATAATTATTTATAGTTATATGATATTTCCATAATTATGTTAATTTTATAAATTATTTATGATTTTAATTATATCTTCTATATATATATCCAACAACCTAATTAGTTAATTAATCTTGAATTTTAAAAGATTAAAATGAAATTTATATAGTAAACTATATTTTCGAATGGTGATAGAATGATTTTATTAATAATAAAACCTAAATTATTTTCATAGCATTCTTATAATTATATATATATATATGTTTATAACAATATATAATATAACAAAGATAGGATTATAAAATAATACCAGGAAATTATAGTTATTAAATAAACAAAGTTTGAACATTTACTTTTGAAAGCATAAAAATTTATATCTTTTATTTTTAAAATATACATTATGGCAGACGTCCAATCATAAAGAGCCTTTTAAAAGCAAGAAGGAATCTTTTAAAATTCTAAAAAACTTTTAGCTAAGAAAACCTCTAAAGGAGTAAGATATTGGAAAGAAGTTGGACTTGGATTCAAAGTACCAAAGGAGGCTATTGAAGGACATTATATTGATAAGAAATGCCCATTTACAGGAAATGTTAGTGTCAGAGGAGCAATCTTAAAGTATATATATAAAAATAGTGTAATTACAGAGGTATCGTGATCTCAACCAAAATGACCAGAACAATTATTATCAGAAGAGATTATTTACACTATGTTGCCAAATATAATAGATATGAAAAGAGACATAGAAATGTTCCAGTCCACATTTCACCTGCATTTGGCCCAGTTAAAGAAGGCGATATTGTTGTATGTGGATAATGCAGGTATTTTGATTATCAATTTTAGACCATTATCTAAGACAGTTAGATTCAATGTATTGAAAGTTATCCCAAATGAAATCATTGGTAATGTTAGAAAACAATTTGTTTTATTTTGATTCAATAACATCATATTCAAGTACATTATATAAAGTTCATAATTTTTGATATAAATTATTTTATCCAATGTATAATTTTATAATACATGTACTCAATTAACATGATATTGTTAATATAAATTGAAAGAATCTAAAATTTTAAAGATGAATATCTTTTGATTTTAATGATTAAATTATTATTTGAAGGCATAGTAGAGTAATAAAACAAAATATATTCATTTTAATTGATCAAAATATTTGTAAATAATTATTTCATATGTAAAGAAATCTTAATAGAATTTAGTAGCCTTATATAAAAGCTTAAGAGAAGAATATAATATTTTATATTTAAGTTTATGTTTAAGTTTAAACTATGATCAAGAGTTTTATTTAAGTAAAATTATGGTTATTCATTCTTATTTATGTATTGAATATTTAGTTTTCATATAAGGTTAAATTTGATATTTATTTTTCACTTTGAATCTATGTGATCTTTTTTATAATAAGCCATCTTATGGTATTTTTTTATTTTGATTTCTTTTGAGATTAAAGGAAAAACAATTTATAATATTAATATTATTACTCTATTAATAATATTTATTCATATAAAAATTATATTTAATTCTTGAGGGATATGAATTCTTATCAAACTTGATTGAATATTCATGAACTGTAACATTATTTTAATTATTTAAAATTTAGAATTATTAATAAAATATGAATAATAATGAAGAAGAGACAAATAAACTATTATAAGAAATTAGAAATGAGGTTATAGATTTTACTGCTACAAATTTCTTAGGTTAAGTTGTTGAGAAATATTAAAATTATGAAAAAATATGTTTTTAAGAGAATAAGGGAAATAGCATAGAATTTGTGAAGTGTACAATAATTAATATTGTAAGGTATGATGAATTTTCAAAAGAGATAAATAAAAGAAGAAAAGAAAATGGAATTTAAAATAGATTACTTAAAAAATGAAATTGCTGAGTGTCTTAATATTAATGAAAGAAATGAATGTTAATAATTAGCTATTAATAATATAATGTAGATATAGCAAGATTTTTTAAAGAACATAGAATTATCATTGAAGAAATGAGTGTTATTATTTTTAATTAAAATTTATTTCTGGTATGAGTTCAGCAAGTCCTGTTCATCAATAATTATAAAAAACATTAGATGTTGTTCAAAGAGGATTTGAAGAAATAGTCTAAAATATTCCAAAACAATATCATGAGCTATGTATGAATTAAAATGCCAAAAATATGGAGAAATATGCATAATGTATTATTAATTGATAATTTTTAAAAGGTATGTATAAAAAAAGCAAAACTGTTGATAAATAAATGAAAGCCTTTGATTTTAAGATGTTGTTTATGGGAATTACATTTGATTAATGTATCTAGACAAATTCATAAGATTAATGTATTAAAAATGCAAAATCATCTGTTGAAGGATTTATAAGTGATTTTTAGAAGAATGTTAAATGAAAAAATAATCTATTCATATTATACATTATATCCTGTAAACACTTTTTTGATTTCATTTTTTTAAGTCCTTTATTAATATAAAAATGTTTAATAAAAAATTATTAGTAATCAAATCAGAATGTTATTCACAAAATTAAATAGAATAATTAGCTTAGAAAGGTATTCAAACTACTAATTTGAATCTATTGCAATTTACATATAAATAATTTGAAATAGATCAAGACATTAATTATGATTGTAATACTAAATTTATAATAATTGAAAGATGTTCTATTTCATAGTATTAATGGAGTTTAAACCTATATTCAATGTCAAACTAAATGTTAAACAAAAAATTATTTAGTGGTTGGCAATAAAACTAAAGAAAAGATAGAAAAAGAACTAGGTTGTGATTCAATCTAGGTTTTTAATAATTAGAATGAATTGACAATGTATTTGTTATCATAAAATTAACAGTTTAATTTGTTATACATTATTGGTAATTTGTCAGAAATAGGAAAAGAACTTTAAAGTATAAATTATCTATAATTAGATAAACATTAAATTACAATAATTGAAGGATATTAAACCTTATCAAATAATGTGTAGGAAAAGTAAAATTTGGATTTTAGAGAATTTGATTACATAGTATATTATAGCAATTCAAATTATAATCAATTTAAACAAATGTAAATGGAATTAAAGGAAAATGTCCTTCATATTTTTATAGGATAAAAATGTAGTTAAGGCCATAATGAGAAGAATTTTAAAATATTACCAGTTCCAACATTTGAATGTTTATTAGAATGTTTATGAAAATATAAAAATAAATATTATTTATTTATTAGTAATTTTATTACAAATCTATATACATGAACAACACTATAGATTTATATGGGTAGACTATTTTTGTCGATAAATAGAGCAGATGATCCAGTAAAATAACTACGACCCTTTACGATTAGTTTGTCAGAAGACAACAGTCCTCCTAAAAAATTCAATCTAACAAATTAACCTGGATTATAATATATAAAATAGAATAGAAAAAAATTATAATTCTCTTTATATCAAATAACTCAAAGAGATTATTATAATCCAAGTTATTTATAAACTCGTTCTCCACTAAATTATTAACTATATAATCTATAAAATACTACAAAGTCAATTCAATAAAAAAAGACATAATTTGGTAAATCATTTTGTTAGAAATACAAAACTTTATCTATTAATGATTCAAATTAATAAGACATATATAAAAGAATAGATTTTAAATAAAAGATATTAGAAAGAATGTCATAAATTAGAAATAGAAGTATAACTTGTAAATTACCAGAGTCTAATCAATTTCATATAATTTAAACGTAAATTTGCGTTTAATCACCAGAATTTCAAATTAAAAATGAAGAAATCTTAACTCAACGGCCACCATAATCAAGAGTTAATTCTTCATTTCAAAAATGCAAGAAAATATGTTTAGTCAAACCTGCTATTTATACTTTAGGATTAAATGTTGAAAAGTGTAAAATAATTGATAGAATGAAAACAATCTCATCCTAACCTTAAGAAAGACCCTATAAAGTAAAAACATTCAAAATCAACAATGTTTAAGATAAATAATAAAGGCAAAATATTGATAAAAATAATATCTAATAATTGAATTTCAAAAAAAAATCTTCAATTACATTGAATAAATGGGAATATTCTGATTTTGAAAATGACTGATCTTAGTAATGATTTTTATTTTGTTTACAGGATTACTCAAATATAATAGATTTGTATTAAAAATTTATATAATGTATTCTTAAAAATTTCCTTAACTTGAACAAGGGACTCCAAAAATATTATCTAAAACAACATTTAAGTTTGACATAAGATCGTATAAGACTTCAGAAGATTTGGGAATGAAATAATAAGGATAAAGTGTTTAAACAAAAAGACAAAAAACTCAGCCTAGTTTGAAATAGATGCCTGTTTTTAAGAAATTAGTATAGAAAAAGTTATTTAATTCATTGGTAAATCCAAATTAACAATTTGAAATACCTTGTAATTGGGAATAAAAGTATCAGGATAAAGTAAAACAATTAATTATGTAAATTGAGGAAAAAGAATGCTCAGAATTATAAGAAAAAAATCAAGAGCAATAAAAGACAATTGAGTAACTTGAAAGGAAATTCTTATCTCTAAAATTGGCTTATGAAAGTTTACAAGAAGAATAATAAGATGACGATGTTTTAAATATTAAAAAGTAAATGAATTTATTAGAATCTGAATTAAAAGATCAATTGCATAGAACTGAATAATAATTATGGAAAACCTAAGAATAAAATTTCTCAATTTAAGACAAATTTAAATAATTTGAATTGAAAGCGAAGTTTTTAAAATAATAAACAGTAAAAGAGATTTAACATTAGATTCATCTTCACCAAGAGTTGCTTTGTAAATATTGTGGAAAATTAGTAAATGATGCAGTTACTATTATTCCATGTGCTCATACTTATTGTGGTACTTGCAATAAAGGATATTAAACAAAATGTTTCTTATGTGGAGATGAAGTAATTATTGTTGATTATAATTTTATTAAGGGTAAAATTGAAGCTACTTATTATAATCAATTTATGAGTGAAATAGTTAAAATGTATGATACTTTCTAAACAATTGTTCAAATATTTTTAGGATGAATAAATTATTAAATTTATCTATACTTTCTATGTATTCTAATAATAAATCTATATATTATGAGTACAGATGCCCATGTGGCGCAATTGGTAGCGCGACAGCCTTCTAAGCTGTAGGCTGCAGGTTCAATCCCTGCCATGGGTGTTCTTTTTTACTTTTTATATTTAAACTCAATTTCCAAATATATATTGAAATTTATAATATATTTTTGAATATATAAAATTTTATTATTAAATCCATAAGATGAAGAGTTAAATAAAATTAAGAAAAATTAAACAATAGCAATATGCAAAAGCATTATTAAAAATGATGTTATGAAAAATTCAGAAAACCAAAATCAAACTATTTCTTTATTTTAATAAAAGATTACTTGATAATTTACAAATTCCTAATTATTTAGGTTGAATAGGAAAATGGAAAATAGTTACAGACTTTTAGTGCTTATTGTGATATCTAGTTGGTAAGAAATGAATATGTTATATAAAAAAATTATATTTGTATGAAAGAATTTATTATTACTTACAAAAAATTAAGAAATATTATAAAAATTAAAGAAATGATTAAATTTATATATTGTGGCTTCTTTATGGGGATTTGAAAATTATTCATAAATAAAATCTTTTTTCACTTTCAAATGGGAGCATACAAATATTTACAAGAACTTTGGAAAAAGAAACAATCAGATGTTTTGAGCTTTATCATGAGAATTAGAACATGGGAATATAGATAATTGCCTGTAATTCATAGAGCCACCAGACCAAGTAGACCAGACAAGGCTAGAAGATTAGGTTACAAAGCCAAATAAGGTAATTCATTATAAATAATTATTTAGGCTATGTCATTTACAGAGTGAGAGTACGAAGAGGTGGAAGGAAATTACTTATTAGAAAGGGACTTGTTAAAGGAAAGCCTAAGAGTCAAGGAGTTAATTAATTAAAGCCAACAAGAAATCTTAGATCTGTAGCAGAAGAAAGAGTTGGAAGAAAAATTGGAGCCTTGAGAGTTTTAAATTCCTATTGGGTTGCTTAAGATGGCACATATAAATACTATGAAATAATTACTGTTGATCCATTTCATCCAGCTATCAGAGGTGATTCAAGAATAAATTGGATTACTAAGCCTGTTCACAAACATAGAGAATTAAGAGGTTTTATATATAATTAATAATATAAGGATTAACATCAGCTGGTAGAAAGAGCAGAGGACTTAGAGTTAAAGGACATCGTAATAATTAAACAAGACCTTCAAGAAGAGCTAATTATGCAAGAAGAAATAGGATTTCCCTTAGAAGATTTAGATGATTTTGTTATTTTTTCTGTACAATTAATCAGTCATCTAATATAAAATATATTTGAATTCTTCTTATCTTATTTGAAATATTTGATAGAGTAGAGTAACAATTTTATTTAGTAATTTAATATTAATTGTTATATAATTAGATTGTTATTTTATTATATTTAATTATATATAGTAATTTAATTATATTTAATATTAATCTTTAAATATGTAGATGTCTGATAGTGAATTCTTTGCTGATCTTAAATATAGACTTGATTATTTAAAAAAGCAAGAACTTATGGGTGTTGATATTCATGACAGAAATTTAGAATCAAGTAATTGTGAATCAGAAATTGACCCTGAATTAGATTCTATATTAACTAAACAAGGTTTGGTCAAAAAAAAATAATAAATTCAGAATCATAATTAATTAAGTATGAAACTTAAAATGCTAAAACATAATAAAATTAACTTTAAAGAACTTAAAATATAAGATTTTGAAATTCTTTCTACATTAGGTAATTATTATTATATAATTATAAATTAGGGACTGGAACATTTGGTAGAGTTAGATAAGCTAAGATAAAAGGTGATCCTGAAAATTAAGTTTATGCACTTAAAATTTTAAAAAAAACAGAAGTAGTTAGACTCAATTAAGTTGAACATATAAAATCAGAAAAAGACATTTTAACATTTATAGAACATCCATTCATTGTAAAAATGAAAACATCCTTTCAAGATTAGTTTTATATCTATATGTTATTTGAATATATTTAAGGAGGTGAATTATTTAGTAGATTAAGAAAGGAAGGTCGATTTGCTAATGATGTTTGTTTGTTTTATGCAACTGAAATATTAACTGCAATTATATATATGCATAAAATGTAAATAGTGTATAGAGATCTAAAACCAGAAAATTTATTAATAGCTAAGGATGGACATGTTAAAATTACAGATTTTGGTTTTGCTAAGAAGATAGGAAATGGTAAAACATATACTTTATGTGGTACTCCTGAATATTTGGCTCCAGAAATTATTAAAGGTTCCAAAGTTGGTTATGGAAAATCAGTTGATTAATGGGCTTATGGTATATTACTATTTGAAATGCTATCAGGGTAATTATAATATATAATAAATAGATATCCTCCATTCTATGATAATGAACCTATTGGTATATATAAGAAGATCTTATCTGGACTTATAGAGTTTCCTAAATTTTTTGATAATAAAGTTAAAGATTTAATTAGAAAACTATTGAATCCAGAAATTTAAAATAGATTAGGATTTAATGATGTATATATATATTTTGATATATAATTAGAATGGAGAGTCAATTAAGAAACATAAATGGTATAGAGGTGTTGATTGGACACGTGTAGAAAATAGATAAATCCCTCCTCCTTGGGTCCCTTACTTAAGATCAGAGGATGATGTTTTTTGGTTTGAGAAGTACCCTGATTCTACTGATGTTCCAAAATAATTACCTCGTGAACTTTAACATATGTTTGATGATTTTTGATTTTAATTAATAAATTGCTCATTTGCAAATTTTATTATCATATTTCAAAATCTCTGACATTTACTTTCTGTTTCATCACTTAATAACTATATTAATAATGGATTACTTAATGATAATGAAATGATTAAGAATTATATGTGTGGAATAAATAATTAAATAAATTAAAAAAAGATTTAAAATGGTATTGACTTTCACTTATGTTTATTTAGGGAGCTCATAAATCATTGAGAATGAAGAAGAGATTGATTAAAGCTAATAAGCAAAATAGACCTCTTCCAAATTGGTTTAGATATAGAACTGATAACACAATCAGGTATCAAATCAAAATAATACATTACTAGGTATAATTCAAAACGTAGACATTGGAGAAGAACTAAGCTTAACATCAATTGATTTGTTTACAAATATAATACCGTACATTTATTAATAAATTTTAACTATTTTGCTACATTTATTAAGAGCTGTCATATTTGCGAATTCATTTTCATTTTTAGAGATTATTCATTTTTTTAAACATTAAGATAGTCTTTCTTAATATTATTAGAAAATATAATATTTTACTTTGGTAAAATAATACTTCATCAACATTATAAACATTAAAATTATTGTCTATGTTTAATTTATAAATTAAAAAAAATATTTTATTAAAGTCCTTTTTACTTTAATATTCTTGTGCTGATATTCATAAATGCTATACAACTATTTATTAACTGAATTAAATTATGTCATACGATTATTATTAAGATTTAATTTTATTCAGAATGGAAACAAAATGATAATAAACCTAAATTGAATACTAATAGTTTAATATAAAAAAAGAATATTCAATTTGAAATGAATGAAATAATTATTAAAGTTAAAATATTTGATACTAAAGAAAAAGGATATGTTAAGAAGTATGAGGTAAATAATGTTCTTAGATATAATTAATCAAATTTGATAATAAGAACTTAAATTTTTAGATAATTACAAGTTTATTAATAAGTTTAATATGGATGTAAAGATTATGAATACTAAATTTCTTTATTTAAAATAAATCTGTGAATATATCAATAATAATATAATGAGAAATAATTAAAAATCTAAGAATATAGTAATACATCAAAAATCTGGATATGTACTAAGATCTACAATAATGGAAACTATATAAAAAGAATTTGAATTTATATTTAATTTTGGATTATCATAATATTAGCTATTTATATTAATGATGAAAAAAATCACTATTTACTGTACATATTAACATTAAGATAGAACTGTAAATCATAATCAAAAAGAAATCAAAATTATTTTTGTTGTCATATATAAAGAATTTAATAAATGAGAGAAATCAATTAAATGAATAGGATTTAGGAAATATTGTGTTTTTATAAGAAAATATAATTTATCCTTTTTTATAATATATATATTATAATTCAGTTAATAAAATTTTAAATACAATGGGAAACGCAACTACAAAATTAAATAGAAAATTTGATGGGTGGCTTAAAAAAGCTTACAGTTATATTTTCAAAGAAGAAGAGCTGAGTGAAATTTCTGATGAAGCATTATCTGATAATGAATAAAATCAAAGTACTTCAGATTCATAATAAAATAACGAGCCTGAAAATAAATAAGATTAAGAACTAGATTAAGAAATAGATGAAAATGTAAGTACTCATTCATATTAAATGGAATCTATTATTTATACTTCGATTACAAAAGAAGAACTCTTATAAGATAAACGCAAGGCTTCAATTCTACTTCTATCTGAATTCGACCCTAAAAGAGTATGTTTAAATAAGGAAAACAACAAAGAATGATAAAACATATATTGTTTTAATTTTTAAATTTTGTTTAATAATTACATGTAAATAGGATTTCATAATTTGCCTTGTAATACTTTATGAAGTATTCCATTTTCCCATTATGCATAAAAGTCTTCTTAATTAGGTCTTTTTAAGTAACCATCTCCATGTACTTCATCTTTCTCAAACATACCTAGTAACACTGAATTATCAGTTAAATGCCAATATCCTTACCCTTGTTTCCTATTATAATTAATTAAAACATTTACTCTCCTTTTGAAAAAGTTCCTTAATATTATTCCCACCATCCCTTTATATTAACATCTCTTAAATCATTATAATTAATATTCATTTCTTTCTATGGATTCTCATTTTTTAAGATTCCATATCCTTCATATTTTCCATTAACAAAATCTCCTTCATATTGAATAGTTCCATTCTTAAAATATAAAGTACCTCTTCCATGCATTTATCCAGTAAAAAGTTATCCTTCATACTTTAATATTGTATTAGCATCATCATAAAAGATTTTATGATCTTTTCTATTTTATGATTAATTCTGATTGAAATATTTTAAGTGATTAATAGTAGATTGTTCCAAAAAGCTTCTGCAAGATTCAAGATTGCTTATTCCATTAAATTATTTTTCTGGTTTATTTACTTTTTGATCTCCTTAATTTTATTATTAATTAGACTAAATCTGAATTTATAATTATTCAGTTTGATTTTAGAACTCATCAGATCTAAATGAGATTAAATTGTTTTATAATCCTGAATTAGATTTTATTAAACCATTATTCCAAATCCCAATAATTTTATTATTTGATTTATTCTAGAATTCTCCAAAACCATTTATTTAATCATTTCTAAATTCTCCACAAAAGATTTCTCCATTTGTTAATATTAATCTACCTACTCCAGATTTCCTTAAAATTAAAGATTTTATTACTTTCCAAATTAATAACAACCTTCATATTTTTTAAAATATTCCATAATATCTTAGCATACTTCAAAGTTATAACTTTCCTCCAACTAAATTGAATTCTAATGGTACTCAACTCCCCAACCATGAAAATATCCTTTTGAAAATTCCCCTTCATAAATTAAATCTCCTGATTTAGAAAAGAGATAACCTATTTAAGATTAATATCTACCTTTTCCTTCATATACATTATTCACAATTTAACCATGATATTTTTATCCATTTTTATCTAATTTAGTTTATGCATTTTTAATATTTTATAATTCTTATTTAGTTTTTATAATATAATCTGAAATTTCAATTTTAGCTTATTATAAAGCTTTACTTAATTTAGCTTCATCATATTTATTTAAGCTACTTTCTTCAAATAAATTAATTGAATCAAGTAGATTTAATTTAGGAATCTCTTTTACAAAGTTAATTTTAGTTTAAAGATACACTATTTATGAAGATGGAGATTTCAATTTTTTTAATAATTATTCAAAATTGGGTCTTCTAACTGAATCTGTATCAAGCATTTCAATTATGATATCAATAAAATTTCCACAGAATTGATTTTTTTACTTCAACATTGATTAAATTCGTTATTATAGAAGTGTTTCATCTACCTTATATTCCTTATAAATATCATTGCTTTTTTGTTCTACAAAATAAAATCCTTTATACTTGTTATCAATTCTAAAATAATCATACCAAGATTAAAAACTTGAACTCTATCAGTGTCGCAAATATAACCAAAGAATTCTTCAGGAGCAGGGAAACCATCTAATTAAAAATTAACAATATTCTATTATTTAAATCTCATCAAATTATAATAAGAGGATTCTGAATCAAAAAATGGCCTAAGTTTCCAAACGTTTCCATCATTAGTAAATATATTATCTAAACTTAGATATTATTTTTTCATTCCTAAAATGTGCTAAGCTTATGTTATAGACACTAATAGTTCAGTTATCTATTAATTTGATAAAGTTTTGTCATTTTTTTGTTTATATTCTTTTAGGGAATATTTAGGATGTTCAATTAATATGCACAAAGTAAAATATTTAGTAAACCATTTTTCTTATGTTTAAACAATTACATCTTCAATTTTAGCCATTCCGGTAAAATTTTAGTTTTATATTTCCCTAGCAACCTCTAACTCATTTTAAAATGAATTTTAGGTTGATTTAAATTCTTTATAATCAAATTTTTGGTTTTTATCATTCTCATAAATCTAAAAATTTCCTTTATCCATGATCATTTTCTTATTAGACAAAAAAGGAATGTTTTCATTTATATTGCTTTATTAAACACCCATTCAATTAAATATTAATTATAACAGTAAATGCAAGAATCTACTCTTGGTAATTATGCTATAGGAAATACATTAGGTGAAGGTACTTTTGGAAAAGTTAAAATGGGAACTCATTTATAAACTGGAGAAAAGGTACTTTAATTTTAATTACTATTAGGTAGCTATTAAAATTTTAGAAAAAGCTAAGTTTGAAGATGAAAGTGATGTATATAGAATAGCAAAAGAAATAGAAATCTTAAAGAAATTGAGACATCCTCATATTATTCAAATTTATGAAATAATTGATACAGATAAGGAAATTTATTTAATAATGGAATATGCGAGTGGAGGAGAATTATTTGAATATATTGTAAAAAATCACAGAGTTTCAGAAAAGATAGCATGCAGATTCTTGCTTTAAATTTTATCTGGAGTTGAATATATGCATAAAATTGGAATTGTTCATAGAGATTTAAAACCAGAGAATTTGCTTTTTGATAATAATCAAAATATTAAAATAGTTGATTTTGGTTTATCTAATACTTATAAACCAAATGAATTATTAAAAACTGCATGTGGAAGTCCATGTTATGCTGCACCTGAAATGATTTAAGGTATGAAATATTCTGGATATTTAATTGATATATGGAGTTGTGGTATAGTTTTATATGCTATGCTTTGTGGATATTTGCCATTTGAAGATTAGAATACTAATTAATTATATAAAAAGATAGTTGCTGGAGATCTTGTATTTCCTAAATGGTTATCAATAGAAGCTAAAGATCTATTAAAAAATATATTAAATACAGATCCAAAAAAGAGATTTACAATACCATAAATAAAAGGACATAAATGGGCTAAAATAATTAAAATAGAAGAACATTTTGGAAATATAGGCAGTGATAATATTTAAGTTGATGAAATAATTGTTGAATAATTAAAAAATCTGTATTCTATTGATCCCTAACTTTGTCGAAAACTTGTTAAAAAAAATAGACACAATAATATAACAACACTTTATTATCTTTAAATACAAAAAAATAAGAAGAATAGAACTTATAATTATTTTAAAAAAGATATTGAAGATTCAATCACTTCATCATATATACTTAATTCATCAAATCTAGATTCTTTAAATACAAGCAACAACAACACTTCTAGATAAAAGTAAAATACAAGTAATGGTCATTCTCCATAACATAGAATCATGACTTAAATCAATAATAGATAATAATAATCACCTTCACCTTAACCAATTAAATAAATAACAAAACCAGATTCACCAAAATAATTTAGCATTCTATTAAAAAGAGATATTATAAAACGACCACAAATTAGACCTATCATTCCTCCTATGCTAAAACCTATATATTAGGCTGTTAACAATTCTATATCTAGTGTTGGCACAAATGGAAATACACCTATATAAACAAATAGAAAAACTGAAGATTCTTTTTCATTAGATAAAGTTAAACCAAAGGTTCTAATTAAATAATAAAATTTTAGGTTATTAATAGAGAACGTGCAATTAGTGCCATATCTGAATATACTCAACCAAGTCCAGTTAAAATTCCATAACCAAAAATTCATAAAGGAGCATTCAATTTTCAATGTACAACTCATAGAGAACCTTCAATCTTTGCTTCTGAGTTATTAAAGATGATAACTTAAATGTAAATAAAAATACTCTAGGTACATTTATCATTTATTTGTTCAACAGTAAAATGATCCATATGAAATGTTATGTTCAGCCAACTTATCTCTTAAATTTGAAATTTAAATTAGACAGATTCAAAATTGTGATGGTCTTTATTTATTAAAGGCTCACTATATTAGTGGAGAATGGGAAGAATATTAGAAAACTTTAAATAAACTTATTTAATTGTTAAATTTTTGAATATTAAATGATTATATTATAGTTAAATTAATTTTAAAAGATCTTAATCTTAGTCAATATTTCCAAGAATGGTTCAGATTATTCATTTTCTGCATAGAAATCACTTGTTACTTAGATGATTTTATAAATATATTAATTTATTTGAAAAACAATTAATATTAAATTTTAGAAGGGTTATAATATATTTAAGAAATTCCTTTTATCAATTTATTTTCTTTAAATCACTTTATTTAACCTCAATTAATTATATATCAACAATCTATATGATAGTTATTTTTCGTACATATTTTATAAAAAATAAAAATATGCTGTAATTTAATCAAAATCAACTTATTGGACCCAAACCTACTTTCATGCAGCCTTTGGATTCTTATAAGAATCTAGATGTTGATGATACTTAATGTACAGATGACTTTTAAATTAAAATTTTATCTTAAACTAACAATTCTTTTATAGAAACTCCTCAAATAAAAACAGAAGGACTTAGTAATAAAAAAAATAGCTAGAAAAAAGTTAAATTTAATCTTAACATTGTTCATTGTTAATTTAATTAGAGAGAACCTGTTGTAGCTATAAGAAGGCTAGTTTAGAAATTAATGAATTAAAAACCACAACTCTCTTGGGTAAACCCTTAAGTCTTTAAAAACTAATGATCCATGAATTTTATTTGTATACTTAGTCTTATTATCTTATATCTATTTACAAATAATTATTTATATAAGCATTATTACTAAATTTCAGACAAATTTAATTAGATTTATGAAGAAACTGAATAATCTAAAAATATATAATAATAATAATTTTTAGAATTTCAGAAGTCTGAGCATTCTTAAAATCTAAGAATTAATATTTCAAATCAT